TTGTGCAGCGCCTTGGGCTCAAACGTTGACCCCGGTTCGATAGGTTCCCGAAGGACTTCAAGCTGCGGTTGAAGCCTCGCTCGGCACAGGCTGAGGCTTTGCTCGCTGAGGTTTCGAGTTGTATTGAGTAACTTTAAATTTGTTCCAGAATGTTATGCAAACAAGCTTTAAACTTATCGATGATGGAAAGCATTGGATGTCTGCTTCGAACGAAGACTCGCTGGTTGTTGTACTCGGGCCCGATCTCGACAAGGGCACAGTCGTCACCCCATGCTTGTGGCTTTCTCCTACCGTGCCTGGATTTCCCGAACATCCGAATGCACTTTCAGGTCAATCGCCGCTCGTCTAAGCCCAACAAGCCCGATTGTTTCGGGACGCCGGTGGGGATTTCACCACCTAATCCCCAACCCTCACCCCCACATGTCGACCAGCTACCGAACAACGTTCAATTGAGATCCTTCTACCCCCATGGTGTGATCTGATTTCCTGACAGAGGTTCGCTCTTAGAGCACCGCCATTTACAAAGCGAGGGAGTACTCGGACAGGGTACGTCTTCTCCCGTTTTCGTTTTTCTATCGATCCGATTGACTCGGTACCACATCCCAGACACGACCAATTAATGATTAATAATTCAAAGTTTAAAGCCCCAGATGGGCTGACAGAGGTCAAGGCCCAGTAGCGACAGGCAGTGACAGGACGAAATAGGCGCTGGTAATAGTCTTGATGCACTCCGTCGGGATCACAATCGTGATTTACGAACCCGGTGCTGATGGGCCTCTCTGCTTGTTCACCCCACGGTAGGTATCTCGTCTGATAACGGGGACGCTCTACTACGACTTACCTGGATGCTGTAATCTCGTTATGTTTTGCTGGTATCAGATGTACACGGGGAAAGCGCCGTACATGCATACCTGGCGCCGGGAAGACGAAACAGACTTGGTAGGCTATATAGTCCTCGTCAACTCCCACTCGGCGTTTTCATTTACCCATTGTACAGTCCGGACAAGCAAACACGATGGACAGCACTCCAGGGTCCTCGGATGTGCTCAACCCCCTTACGCCGATGGCTTTCTTGGAACCCAAGCTCGCGAATCAGAACATGATCTCGACGTACGTCTACGTCGGTAGCCTTTCCGTAGGTCTTTCAGTCAAGCTCCCGTCTTCTTGCTCTCATGTTAGACTGGTGTCGAATTTCTGAAGGTGCTGCTGTGGGATGTTCTGAGTAACCTCCGTAAAGACTTGCCTCTCGTGTTTCGACTTCCTGTGAGACTTCCGGGGGTCGTCTTCGGTTTATCGAGGTACGTTGCTGTCCCAAGGTCCGCTATGTCAGCTATGGAGGAGCTAAAATATTAATGTAGGCTGTCCGCCCTTGTTTTCATGTTCTGTTCTGCGATATTTCAGAGTACGAGGAGATTCTCTCGGCGCCACTTCCGGAGAATAAATGAACTGACATTACCCTATACTAGCCGCAGCCATTGATATTCCTTGCAAGCGGTACGGCATGATCGTGGACTGGCTGTTCGCTGTCGTCGTCCCGATGACTTCTTTGCTCTTCCTGATACGTATATACGCTATTTTCAACGGGAACAGACGCGTCCGCACCTTCTTTACCGTCATGTGGTTGGCCGTCTTTGCGGGCTCGTTGACACCGGGACTAGGGCTTACTGCTGCAAACATAGGACCAACAAAGTATTGCAAGCAAGTGAACGTAGAGTCGTATGTTGCGGCAGCTGCTGTTATTCCGCTGGTGAATGACACGCTGGTGTTCCTCGCCATCTCGTGGAAGCTGATGAAAAATGCGCACCTGGAATTACATCCTATGAGGAGAACGGGATTTCGAGTGTTCTTCCGTGGGGATTATCTCCCTTCTTTTTCACGGGGACTCCTACAAGACGGGCAGGTCTATTATCTGTAAGTTTGACCTAATGCTCTTCCTTCTTCGCTAATATTCAGTCAGCACGACAGTCACGACCAATTTATTGACGGTGATCGTCTTCACCTTCACCTTTCTCCCGCCAGTATTTCGTGCGATGTTCGCGGTGCCAAACACGGTCCTGATGAACATGATGGCATGCCGTGTTTACAGACGCACCAAGTTGGGTCGCTTCAGAAACTTGAAGAACCTCAGCAACCTGGTGCCAACAGGAAACGAGGCTGGGATCATACCTCTTGCTTTCGCACCAAACAGGAATGGTGTGTCGGACGCTCAAGGGCTGGGTCAAATGAAGAACCAAACGTTCTGTTCAATCGAAGTTACAAAAACGGTCGAACAATGCTCTAACGATCATTTTCGAGAACGAGAAAGCTCGTAGAGACGGTAAATGTAGCGATCCTTCAGCCGTTGGATGACAGAGGTTTAACATAGGTCTAAATTGTACAGTAAATGAGAGGGCTCCCTGAAGCCGAACTCTGATTTGAATAAGAGGCTTTTTCAAGAAACTCTATCACCCAGATTTCTACTCTGTCAGTAATCGCGTGAGGTTGAAAGTTGAAACGGCTTCTCGACATCGGGGCCCGGGCCGGGCTGATGTGTAACGGTGTTACCCGACTTTCGTGCCAACGGGCCATCACGCGCACATTCAACGTCAACTCTCACCTCTGCCAGAGTTTTATTCCTATAATATCATTCGCGCAACTTCCTTGACCTGTGGACCGCGGTCTTGATGGAATTGGAAGGACTGATCCCTGCTGCATTTCGCGCAGGACGAGAAGGATACAATTGTCAGGTCGAAGCGGCCTTCTCATATGATCATTAGGTATGGCCCTATCCGCTCTGCAGGTTAACATCGGTGCTTCGAATTTCCCATCTAGAGCATTGAACGACTTCCGACGAACTGAGAAATGCCTTGCACTACGGGTTTCACGTTCTGATACCACAATACCGATCCAGCTCCGCCTCGAAGTCATTGGAGCAGAATTTCAAGAGGTCGCTCATGAATTCCAGAGCATCAATTGCTGTCGCCTCTCTACGCCGTATCGTACTTGGATTCCGAAGTTCAATTCCTGAATTCTGCTGCTTCAACGCTCTAGGTGTTTGCTCATCGAAATAGTCGTGGACGAATCTATCGACCTGGAACCCAAGATAGTACGCCTTTTAGACTATGCCGTACGAAAATCCGGGTATACATCACAGTTCTCAAGGTATGTTTGTCAGTCTCTGTGATGGCACTGATAACAGTTCTAAGTACTATTCATCTTGTAGGGTGCCCCTTCGATTTGATACGTACCTATGAGAGGTCGATGAAACGCTTCATCAAAAGATAGACGGCGCTGGACCATCAAGTGACGGTGGCTCGCTACTAACGTGAGTTGCTCCCTTATCATACCTATATTTTTACCCGCTAACTCGCAACCGACGGTAGAGGCGCGCTATCCTCTGCGAGCTTGATTTAGACCGGGCTAAAACTAATAAGTCAGTATTGCTTCCCCTCGAGTCATGCTCTCCATTTATTTGGATTGAAGAATGGCCTTTTCAATTGGCCAACTATCTTGCGTGCAACTTGGTCTGGGTGTCAAATATTTTGAAGGCAGAAGTCCACGACTCAGCTTCAAGCATCAGACGCCACATGGCCTATCCTGTGTATTTCCCCGCCATTCGTTGACAGCCCAGAGGTCATTTACCCCAAACCATCACAAGATGCGTAAAGGATAAATGCCTGCTCTCCTTCTAACTGATCGGCGAAAGGACGGTTTGATATACCTTCTGCACACCTCTTAGCACTTGTCGCAAAATACTCATGAGAGCCTCTTTATTGGGGAGTTTAGGAATAGCTCTTCTCAATCCCAGGTGCAATTACCGGACGCCTTTCAGGTTTACTACGGGTCAACGCCATCGAGCTCAACTCCCCACATGAGACTATACAACCCCTGCTAAAAACACCTATTCGCTCACCGTCGATGTTGGCTCTTGAAATATAGGTCATCATTCCGGTCAGTCCCGTTTGAACTTGGCCAACAGAATCGAAGAACTTCACCGCACGAGGTGGAAAAAGAGCGGCGCATGACCCATTTTCGCCTCCTCTTCTCGTCTGAGGGCGTTCTCAAAATAGGTCCATCAAACCCTCTGTCTTGTATGTACCGTTTTTGTTTATATAAAACACCTGTAGGTCACCGACGTATGCCTCAGGTGTAGCTTCTCCTTGATCCATTTTCCAGGGCTCTCAGACAGCATGGCATCAACCACCCTCCCGAACTTCGATGTACCAAATCCGTTGACTCCAATGGCATTCCTGGAACCTGGAATTGCTGGTCAGGTAATGAACGGGCTGTTCATTCATATCGGTATACTGGCGGTTTGTATATATAGTTGCTCGTGAGCGGAATAAGAAAGGAATTAATCCTTCTCATCTGTTTTCAGGTCGTAGTATGGGATGGATTGCATAATATACGGAACGACCACCTACTGGCAACAAAGCATCGGTTAGGAGTACCTACCGCTGCTTACTTTCTGTCGAGGTTAGCAATGAAAACTCTATATCTTTCGAATTTCGAAGACTTGCTGATCAGTTTATGGCTAGAATTGCTTGCCTTATCTATGCTCTAGGAAGAGCGTTCCTACTCAGTAAGAGGCACAAGGGCTGATTGTGATCTCTTCTCTTCACTAACACAACTTCCCCAGCTATTCCCATCGCGCACTGCAGACGAGTGGAACTAGCCATCGATTCCTTCCTGACCATCTGTCTATGTCTCAACACCCTTCTCTTCTACGTCCGCGTCTGTGCAGTGTACTACAACAAGCACTACATCGTCGTCGGTTTCGGAATCTTCTGGCTCGCAACGGTCGGCGTGTCGTGCCTCATCCCGCGAGCGATGACCGCGATTCACATTGGCCCAACAAGGCATTGCGTCGAGATCGTCGATACTCACTCGCTTATCCCGACCTACCTCGTCTTCTTCAGCTACGACAGTGCTATCTTCTTGGCCACGGCCTATCGGTTCTACAAGTTGTACACACAAGAAGAGACCTCCATCCCGACAGGTCTGCGCGTTGTTTTTTTAGGCGCATCGATGCCAGCCTTCTCGAAAGCGATGTTACACGAAAGCCAGCTATACTATATGTCAGTTACTCCTCTATTGTTGCCTGCCGAAGCACCCACTTAATTTCTCTTAGGGCGGTTCCGCTTATCAAGCTTGGCATTATCATCGGCGCTTTTTGTTTCTCTGCAGATACCCCTGGGTTGGTCGTCGTTTCCAACCTAGTCCCAGCGCATGTCATGCTCGCCAACGTCGTCACCTGCCGTGTCTTCAGGAACACAAAGCTTGGGCTCGTGCGCGAGCCTATCGATCGCCACTCGGAGTCTCTGCCTAGGAGCACCCGTCACAGCTCTCGCGCGGCAGGGATGCAGTTCTCTACGCACTCTCACGTACGCTCAGGTGGAAAGTCAGAGGACAGAGAAGTAAAGGATCTATACGAGACTGGGAAGGATGGAAAGTCGATGAACATGAGCCTCCTGGCGGTTCGTAAGGAGACGAATACCTTCACTGTCATCGACTATCCGAGCCCGATGTCTGATGGAGGTTTCCCAGTCAGCCCGAGCGAGGCTAGCACGAAAATGTAGGTGCATATAAAATAGGCCCTACGTTCTTTCATACCTAGCACGAACGTCTCTGTATTCTCCGTTTACTCTGTGCTTGAAGCTACCTGTATATTAGCGCACCACTTCAATTTCACGGAACAATTCATATGAGAATATAATGTAGAGTAGAGTGCATCTGCTGCTGTTCAGCAAATACCCGAGGTTCATTTCGCCGAGACATGTCGGCGCCCAAGCGTGAGAATAAAAATAGGGGCAATCGGGTCGTGTGGCGCGCTTGCCTTCTACGTCGAGCGAGAGGGGTGATCGGTGATCGATGACTAGTGCTGCACTCGATATCTGAACACCGAGTCCTTGGCACTCCTCGTTCTCACAAATGTAAAAATACACACTAAAAAGAACTACTAGTTCTACTCGTCTCCACTCCTACTCCCACTGCCCCTTGTGTCAACGAGAAAGTTAGAAGCTCGTGGTACAAAGAGGAGAAGGCATGGGCACGTGAGGGAACGGTATCTACCTGGAAATGAAGTAGATTTATATTATGGGATTGGCGATCTGTTGGGCGGCCGGGACGGAATTGCTTAGGGACGGGTAGCGTCGACCATTCCCTCTCCCTAGGCAAGCTCCACTGTTGCAAAAAAAATGGCAACGAATCTTTTCTCCTCCCCATCTATAGCTAGAGCCATTAAATTGTTTGAGTCCGGTGCCGGCCTCATGGAGGTAAGGCTTGTGATAGTATACCATCCGCACCCAGTCCTTTTGCTCCAGACGCTTTGTGCGAATGGACTGTACGTGTAAGACAGGAACGCTAATTTTCTGTCTCGCTCAAGCACAAGTGCCAAGGGGAGCGGATGAGTTTTGCTTCTGCGCCCTCGCAGTTTGGGATCCGGCCACATCGGAAAATGACTGCATGCATGTCTGGCGCTAACCTGACTAGTCAGCTGTAAGTACTCTATTTTAAACCCTTACAAAACAGTTTGAGGGTTCGATGTACGTCCTATCTCTCCCGTCATCTTCCTTCATCGCCGTTCTGGAGTACAAGCGATGGCGAGTACGCCAGCCCTTCCCAACCCCTCCACCCCAATGGCCTTTCTGCCCGAGCAACTAGCCGTTCAAGTCACAATTTCCACATATATCCTTGTTGGAACGTCAGGCGTAGGTCAATAAGCTGCACCGGATATGTTTAATTCTGATGAATCTGTGGGACAGGCCCTCGTCTGGAATATCCTCAGCAACATTCATAGCGATTTCCACTTGCTGGTCCGATATCCTATCAAGCTTCCTACCATCGCATATTTCTTCTCCAGGTTGGCTGCACTGGGGTATGTGGTATTGAGTACAACATTCGAAAGTATGCCCCAACTTTATTTAAGTCAATCCCATCATTCCTGAAACGCTTATAACTTTGTAGCGGCACCTATCAGCGGTCCGTGTTTTAACTTCAACAAAGGTGTCGACTGGATGTTCGCCATTGCTATGTCTTCGACGTCATTTCTTTTCCTCATCCGTGTTCTGGCCATCTTCCACCGTCATAAATACGTCAGGGCCTTTTTTATTCTCATGTGGCTTGGTGTTGTGGCGGGGGTTTTGACTGCCACCCAGGGTGTCATCGGCGGCAGCATTGGACCGACAGAGTATTGCATGGTGTCGCAAGCCAAGCCATATGTTGGAGCTGCAGTGGTCGTGCCGCTCGTCAATGATACATTGGTATTCCTCGCTATTTCATGGAAGCTCATGGGCAACACTTGCGTGGAAAATCCGACCCTGAAATCGGAGCTGCGGGCGTTCTTCCGGGGCAACTACTTACCGGCATTATCAAGAGGTCTTCTGAAGGATGGCCAGGTATACTACCTGTAGGTTCCATTTTATATTATGTGTCCTTCTGGCCCAAACAATTTGTCAGAACGACGGTGTCGACAAACCTTGTGACGTTTATCGTCTTCTTCATCCCCTTCATACCACCTGCCTACCGAACTATGTTCTCAGTACCAAATGTCATGCTCATGAACGCAATGGCATGCCGAGTCTACAAACGTACGAAGTTTGGTCTCTACAGAGAGTCGGCAGACTCGGTGGGCCTGGACGACCTACACCTATCCTCCAAGAATGGCGCTGTTTCGATACCTCTTACCTTTGCCCTTCCAACCATTAATACATCAATTTGAAGACTAGTACTGATCTACGAACAATGGATAAAAGCATTTCTGTTGGAACAACGATGGATGGAAGAAATGCCACAGCGAGAAAGAGCGTTGAATGAGACAAAGGTTCTTAACGTGCATGGCGAGTAATGGTGGCGCCAAACCCTCCGCGGAGCATGCGTCTCATTCACCTCCCCAAATAATGGGCACCTCCCTCGTGAAATTAAGCAAAGCCGGACATTTCTGTCGCTGTGAGTAAACAAGTGTTATTGTAAGAGGCAGGAGACAAACCTGTCTAGATATTGGAACACAGTGCAAAAGGCCTCAATGCAGGTCGAGGAGCCTCAAGTTCAGCTGGGACTTGAAAGCCTTACAATGTCGAAACTGAACGGTTAAGAGAGCCCTCGGCTCCTCTTTTGGTGGTAAAGCGTACTTCTTCAAGAAGGGAGAAACCTGAAGCAGCTTTATCTCGTCGCCCTTTTGGTTGCTTATTTCACGGAGTTGTGTTTTTTCGGTTGGTGCCCGACCATTCTAGGGTGCGGGTGCGCCCAAACGATCCGCAGTCGTGATTCAGTGGGCACCTTGGAGTTCGGATCTGTAGAAAGATTAAATTTTGACACCTCTCGCGTCCGCCAAGAGGGCGGGCCGTCATCCGGGCCGTCGCGGCCGCCGGCAAATTCGGATCTCCATTCCGCTGATTCCTATTGTGCTCACCCCGTTCGTGAAACGCATCGCGTAAGTTCCTTGGAACTTGAAAGCTTGAAGCTTGAATTGCGCTAGTTGCTCATGACAGCACAACCCCGAGGAAACCCAATACCCATACTAGTAGTGCAGGCCGGTAACGTTGAGGGTCATGCCACAGCATTTTAGCATGGTGTCGATTTTTGGTGTCGATTTTTGTTATCAGCACCTTGCCTTGATGTACTGACGTCCGGGACTTCCACGCATCCGAATCAAGTGACACTTTTGGTATCGGTGCCTATCCATTTCGTCCACAAACCCGGCCGCATCTCTGCCACGTCTTCTCATCTTCGTTCCTTCCACAATGCACCCAGAACACGTTTCTATATAAAAGATAAGGAAGGGGTCCCAGATGTCAAGGTACCCTCTCGACAACATGTTTGACAGCATCTCACACACCAATCTCCTCCTTGTAGTCGTCGCCAGCGGTCTGCTCCTCTATACTCTAGGATTGAGACGGAACAGAAGGCTTCCTCCTGGACCAAGGCGCCTACCAATCATTGGAAATGCACATCAAATGCCCACTGAGCTTCCTTGGAGGATTCTGTCGGAATGGAGCAAGAAATACGGTAAGCAAGACTTTCATACTCTCGATTCCGATGAGGAGCTCAATGATCCACTTGTATTGAACAGGTGAAATCATGCACATAGACGTCGTCGGACGACCGCTCATCGTCATCAGCTCTTCGAAGGCGGCGAAAGATCTACTTGACAAGCGGTCTGCCATCTATTCCGACCGGCCGCACTCCGTGAGTCTTTGCTAGTTGTGTTCCGAGCTGAGGTCTCACACACCGACAGGTCATGGCCCATCTGTACGTCTTCTTTACTTGTGCAGTGCTTTTCCCAGATTCAAGGAATCCCAAGCATCGGTTACGACGAAACCTTTGTCCTGCAGCCGTACAACGACAACTGGCGGAAACAACGTCGCCTAATCGCTCAAGACTTCGCTCAAAGTAACACTCCGAGGTATTACTCTCTTCAAGAAAAAGAAGCCCGCATCCTCGTTCGCAATATTCTCAAGAACCCCTCCTCACTGTTTTCCGAAGTGAAAATGTACGTCTGAACAAGCATCTTGCACCACTTTACTGAAGCGTGGGGTTAACAGGAGGATCGGTACCATCATCATCCGTGTCGCATACGGATACTACATCCAGTCTCCGGACGATCCAATTCTCACAATTCCGCTGACTGCAATGGAGAACTTTAGCTACGCAACCGCGGCCGGAAATTTCATGGTCGACTTCATTCCTGCTAGTAAGTTCATGCCCACCACGTCCATGTTCGAATCCTGAAGGCGTTCGTAGTGAGATACCTGCCGAGATGGGCGCCAGGCGCAGGATTCTTGAAGGTTGCTGAGAAATTTCGAGAAACCTTCTTGAAAGCCACATCGGGCCCGTACGAGTGGTGCAAGGCCAACATGGTAAGTCCAAGTGGGTATCGAATAATTTCGGGACATTCTTCATTATTTTTCCGTGCTGTACAGGAAACCGGCAAGACCCTGATGCCCAACTTGTGCGGAACGATACTCCAGGAAGCCGGTGGTGAGCTGTCGAAAGACGAGCAGGAAAAGCTAGTGTGGGCCTCTTCTAGCGTCATGGGTGGGGGATTAGACACGGTAAGTTCACCTCGCTGCAATGAGGCGACGTTCTCTCATCCTAGATCCTAGAACATGTCCTCGGCCCTGACGTTCTTCGTGGCCATGATAAGGCACCCGGAGATTCAAGCGAAGGCTCAAGCCGAACTCGACGCCGTCGTTGGGCAAGATAGGCTGCCTGCGATTTCGGATATCGTCAATTTGCCGTACATCCGAGCTATAATCGCTGAGGTCTTCCGCATTAGCCCTTCAATTCCACTATGTACGTCTCCGATTATCTGCCACCGTCAGCTTGGCCACCGTCAGCTAGCTACAATGTTCAATGACAGGCGTCCCCCATGCCGTCCGTCAGGACGACATCTACAACGATTATCTTATCCCTAAAGGAGCTCTGGTTCTGCCCAATATCTGGTTAGTGGACGATATCAACGCCTTCATTCGCTTTCCATCTAATCACACAGATAGGCACATGCTCAATAACCCAGAGGTGTATCCCAACCCCTTGGAATTCATCCCCGAACGATTCAATGGCTCGGATGCGGAGATGGAGAAGGTAAAAGACCTCATGTTCGGTTTTGGCCGTCGCGTGTGTCCTGGGCGGTACTTTGCTGAAGGGACGCTGTTCGCCATCGTCGCAACGACTCTCGCAACATGCGAGATCCTGCCTGCGCTTGATACCAATGGGGAGGAACTCATTCCTGAGTTTGCTTATACCTCAGGCGTTATCACGTACGTCGTGCTTCTGTGCTTCTCTGTCGGTGATTTGCGTGCTTATTGTGGGTGTGCATAGATTCCCGAAATCTTTCTCGCTGAGATTGAAGCCCCGGTCTGCGCAGGCGGCGGTGATGCTCGCCGAGGTTTCCAGCGCAATCGAGTGAGATGGATATCTGATCTCAACCATGGGCGTCCGATGGCCCCCTATTTCAATATAAATTCTTGTATTTCTACACAACCAACTGCATTCTGCCCCCGCCCATTGATATTGAGCGCCCATGACACTGGAAAATGGACACTGAAATCAGAGACCGATTCAGCGCAGGAATCGGCGAGCTGTGGATGATGCCGAGGAACGATCTGCCAGATATCGTCCCAGGGTGCCCTTACAACACAGGGGCCAGTGCAGGAGAAGCTCAAGAACGGATGATGGATCTCACCGTACGCATAGGCTGACGAAGGTCGGATATTTCGTTATTATCTGGTCTTCCTGCGAATTTTGCGGGTGATTTGTATGTGTAGAATTTCCCATTCCAGCAGCCGTAGGTGCGAGTGCGTGCGGGCGCGGGTCCGGTGGGCATATTCAGTGCCACCGAGCCAGGTAAGAAGACATCGCCTTGAATGAATGAAAGCAACAGAAGCAATAGCATAAGTGAAATGAATCTGCCAATATCATGGTATATCTCCTTCAGGGCTCCGTGCTTTTCTAAGGTGCCGAAGATATCGTATTGTCCTGACGGCCATCTGGGTTGAGCAGGAACGGCCATAGAACAGCTCTCTCGTTCCGTCAGAAATATTCACGTTGTATAATTGCATAATTTCCCTTCTATTTGAAGGCATTTAACCAATTTAAACAATCGTCGAATTGTCATTCCCATTGACAAACCGCTTTGCCTTATGGTCCTCGGATCGGTCATCATGCTGCTCGACGGTTTTAAGAACTTCAATAACTCCTACTGGACCGCTAGTTGAGTGGGCATTCCGCTTGGAGGTAAACGAGAGTGGGATGAGGCTGTCGCTTGTCTTCAAGGCGGATCCTAGGTTTATGCTGCTGTTCTTCGAGTTTTGGTAGCGGGCATTCTTGGTTCGTCGGTAGACGCGGCATGCCATGATGTTCATAAGGACGGCGTTCGGTACCGCGAACATCGCGCGATAGACGACTGGGACAAAGTGGAAGTAGAAGACCACGACAGTCAGAAGATTGGTTGTTACCGTGGTCCTGGACGAAGGTTAGGAGAATATTCCAGCAGTGCATAGTAAGAAACATACAGGTAGTAGGCCTGACCGTCTTGCAAGAGCCCTCGTGAAAAGGCGGGCAAGTAGTCGCCGCGGAAGAACACCTTGACATCCCATCTTAGAGCATTCGTGGTGTACGTATTCCTCATCAATTTCCACGAGATGGCGAGAAAGATGAGCGTATCGTTGACGAGGGGGATGACCGCACCCGCTCCGACGTACGACTCGATCGAGACGTTCATGCAGTATTTCGTCGGTCCGATGTTGTCACCAGTGAGGCCAAATACGGGCGTCAATACTCCTGCGATGACGGCCAGCCACATTGCGCAGAAAAAGGCCTTGACAATCTTATTCCGGTGGAAGATGGCAAGGACTCTGATGAGGAAGAGCAGAGAGGTCGACGATACGGCCACTGCGAAGAGCGAATCTACGGCCTTATTGAGCCCGTAGCAGGATATCTCCACGGGTGCAGCTGCAATATCCGATAAATCGTTAGAATCAAACGGTAAATTTCGACGTTAATCGATAAATCACTGACTTGAATAAATAACCGTTGTGAGAGTGAAGGTAAGAATCGCAATTCTGAAGAGAAATAAGTGGCCTTGGGAGAATAATAGAGGGAAATAAACTCGCCTCGAGAACAAGTATACCAGCGAAGTCGCCGCTCTCGTTCTCATCACGAACAAGATCAAGAAGCAAACAGTGATGGAGACTATTTAGAGTTGGATGCAAGTCATCGATGGCGACGAAGGACCAGATCGTAGATGTGCCTCGAGACACGGAAAGCCGCTGCTCCTGCCCTCTGGTGGTTATGAGCGCCGATGGGAGAAGTGAGTATGGATACCGGTGTTACGAACACGCTGTTCGCTTTCTCTCTACCTGCAATTCATGCCGAAGCCGCCCGGAAAGTGCATCATCGAGAAAGTCCTAGCGTCGTCCGACCTGGCGTCCATTCCGCACCTTGATCCTTTGGCGGGGTCACCGCTGAATCACTCCTTCCTACCCACTTCCGAATCAAGCCGTCACCGTCACCCTATCTTCTCCGGATACACTAATTCCTGTAATCTACTTCGAACGGTGGCAACTTGAGTCCTCTGGAAGGCGAGATCGTTTATGGCTGTGATCAAGGCCTTCTCTCCGCTGAAACCCAACGTTCAACGAGATAAAGAAGCATGCCCTTCATAAACTACCGCACTAGTCTCCAATATTTAATGCGCCCCCGCCACCCGTCCGATATTCGTGCTCAAGACGATTGATTACACTAGTGCCCGGAATCTCTGTGTACGTCTTCCACCCTCCACGAACGCGGACCAGCCGCTGAGTGAATATAAATCAAAGGTGATACTCTGGGTCACCAATACGAATACAGCGTGAAATCATTGATCACAGTTGGCCACGGAGCCAGGCAATTGGTCGTAATCATGGAGCGGAGAAATCGAAGATCAAGTTGGTGAAACACTTCGCCTACACCATTCCAAAGCGTTCGCAGTCCCCTGATCGCCCCTCCACTTCGCGCTTGTCAGGTTCGAATGAATCTGGGTGCTGCGCCACCGTCGCGTGCACTGGACATGAATCACCCCAACCGATTGACTCCATCCTCTCCCACGTTTACCGCCTACTGAGTCGGTCTCGCTGTCTATCAGAGTAAGGGGTATTGCAGGGGTATTGTCGATCTTCAAACTCGCTGATATTCTTTCCACCTCACAAAATGACCGAATGACAGTGTTAGGTTGACTGAAATAACACGCCTTTTAGTTCCTGTTCATCATTCGTCTCTCTGATGAGTGTCTCGTACGATATCTCATTGTCCTCTTGCAACGAAGAGGCTAATTTTAGACGAGTATCAGTCACCATGACAGCATCTACTGCTCTGTAAGCTCTCGTGGTCAACGGGGAACCCTGGTCAGATAGCCTTGACACGGAATCAATCCCAGACCTCTCTAGCGCTCGTGCCAGAATTACTCGCGGAGGAAGCCAATCGGAAAAATACTCCACTCAGTGTCATAGTTGAAATGAAGACGAAAAGTTGTCTCATCCATTGATAACACTAGAGTATAATCAAAACCCACGGTGAATAGAGTCGAGAGCACTTTCTTACCATTTCGAGATCTTGCTTATAAGAAGTAAGGGCTTCACAGGCCAACTCTGCTGCCATTAAATTTATTATAAACGGATAAATCCCAGGATCATCTTCGACGCCGTCCCAAACCCAACCCAGTTCGGCTCCACCCAGCCGCATCTGATGCCCGACATTATGTCTAAATATAGTACTGTGGCGCATCTCCCCACGGTAAACAAGAGCCCACGTGCTTCAAATCGGATCAATGCTCAGCTGATCGTCAAATTATTGTTTCCCCATCCGCCATACTTAATCGATAATCGATTAATCGACCATGATTCGGGATGACCTTATCTCTGCATCCGCCTCAAGAGCTATGTCCACTATCATGATCTGATGATGAGGGAGCCTTCCCAAGTCCATCATAGTCAAGAACATTTATGGACTCTTGGTCTTTGGATCTTCCGAAGGACGACTCGTCTCGAAGGGGCTTAGAACATGCGACACGGTGGTGGATAACAGTTGATGATCATAGGTGATAGAATTCCTCCACAGAGATAAAGGTAAGTGAGCTTCAGAGCGAGGTCAAGAGCGTTTCGCTCTTCCTGTGCTCCCAGCTTCAGCTCAGTGTATACCACAGAATGTCTTCCAATAACGCGACGGACACCCCCACGGCGCCGTTGTTTCAACTTCCCAACCCGCTAACTCCTATGGCCTTTCTGCCTCCGGATCTTGCATTCCAAGTGACCATCGCGACTTACGTCCTCATAGGAGCCACAGCGGTACGGCTTCAATATTACCATGTTTTCTTCTACTGATAAGTACAATAGGTGATGGTTTGGGACTTTGTCAGTCATTTGGCGGACGATTATCGTCTCGTTACGCGGTATAGGATTGGCCTTGCAACAGTCGTCTACTTTGTCGCAAGGTAGGTTGGTCTTCACTGAATAGGAGAACTGAACTGATGTTGAGCTTAGGATTGGAGCTTTGACATATCTTGTTGGCACCGCCGTCATGAACAGTAAGATATATTCTACCTCTCAGGTTAAAATTTGATTTTGGCACAGCTGCTCCAATCGGATACACAAGCTGCTCGGTGGGGACCAAAGTTATCAGCGCCTTCGTGGCCGTAGCGATACCTGGAACATCATTTCTCCTCTTCCTCCACGTTCGCGCTATATACAGCAACAATAAGTATATCGTCGGCTTCTTTGGGTTCCTCTGGATTGCTGTCCTGGGAGGTTCTCTAACCGCGCCTATTGGGGGATCAACCAACCAGATGGTGACGTTAGGAAAGTACTGTGCCCAGAACGTACTCCCAGAATATACCTCCGCGGCAGTCATCATCCCTACTGTCAACGACACTCTTCTATATTTATCCATCGTCTGGCACATGTTGCGCTGCTCGTACGCCGAGTCCACGGTTTCAAACAAGTTTCGGACACTTGCATTCGGGGACTATCTACCCGCGTTGTCCGGGGCCCTGCTGAAGAATGGACAGGCGTACTTCTTGTGAGTGGAGTTCTTCTGTAGGAGTCCTGATGTTTATGAAATTCCACATTCAGGAGCACTGTCGGATTGAATTTGGTGGCCCTCACCATGTTCTACATCGACTCGGTCCCGATCCCATATCGCGCGATGTTTGGTGTGCCGAACATAGCGTTGATGAACATGATGGCAAGCCGCCTCTTCCGGTGTACGAAGTTCGGCAAGTATCGCACAAATTCGAGTATTTCTACAACGCGACTGAATACCACCTCAAATGGCCGAGCCAATTGCAAATGCTCGCAGCCAATCTTGGTGGCACCGGCCGGCGCACCGCTACAGGTCCAGATTGACACTTTCCGCACAGAGTCTGATTACCCCCCGAGTCGTCGAGAGGGAGCTTCGGAAAAGCGGAGCGAAGAGCAGTCAAAGGATGATTACTCAAAGTCGATGGTTTAGTGGTGGCACTTTTAAGTTATTTAGACACCCGACGCGCAGACGCTCTTCTATTTATCAATGCTGGAACATTTCGTGGCGCTTCTGTAATCACAATAACACCATTAAATGGATTTATCCATTTTCGACGCAATTTCGATGTACCTCCTTGCTCGAGGACCGAAATTAGGGCCTTCTACCCTCCAGCCAAGGGGGAGATTTGAAGGATCCACGGAATAGATGGATCTGTAAACTCACGATGGTGTCCGAAGCAATTCAGGAGGCGACCTGTTGTCGACCCGAGGAGAGAATCTCCAGGGTCGCTATCTCCGGACACAAGGACTTTGGTTCTCTCACGAAGATGGGAAGAGAGTAGGTCAGAAGCCATGTCATACCATGTCTCTGTGCCCGATTCCGATGACGGGCCATTATCGCCGCCAGTAAAACATGGAATCACACCAAGAGGCGTGCGAGCGAATCTGTGCCTGGATTTTTCCTCTTCACACTCAACTAGACCCACGAATTCTCACTCCAGGCCGCTTTTTCTGCCCTGTCCAGAAGTTTATTACCATAATCGCGTTCTCTGGTGTCGAATAATCATGGAATAATAATATTTCGGAGATCCACTCTCGCTTTCGTCCGCGGATGCCCAAGACCCTTGGTACGACCTTTGCTTTCTCGTCTTCTTTCTGCCCCTTCATTGCAATTCATCAGAATCCCCTTCGAAGCCTTCTCTATGGCGCTAGGAGAAACCGAGCACCCCCACGTGCACTGTCCGTGTAGGCGACATTTATGTACAACAATTTTCATTTTCCGAAAGGAGCTCTCGTACGTGATGCCGAACATTTAGTAAGCGCCCATCGCTTATTTGATGTCTTCGTCTGCCTAGCATCTCATCATGCGTACAGGCACATGCACCACGGCCAACCGATGGAGTTCAACGTTCAACCCCGACCGCTTCAACGGCTCTGACTGCCCAGTGCCAAACGGACCCCATAGGTCGGTGCATCTGCCCGGGAAAGCACTTCGCACATATCCCCCGTTCTCGCAACGTGCCATACCATTCCCGGACTCAACTCTCATGTCAAGGAAGTCCTGTTCGAGTTCGCGCACACGTCAGGCACGAGCATGAACGCTTACCTCTGTCCTCTTTCGTGTTCGCACAGCTTATTCTTATGGGCGCCCCAAGAATCCCGAAGCCGTTCACCCTGAGGCTACCAAAACCTCGATCTTCGCAGGCAGCAGACTTTCTCACTGAGGCTTCAAGTTCTATCGAGTGGTACTTATTTAGAAGATTATTCCCCCCCTTGTGTGTCTGGGAACTTTCACAAGCATAAAAGTCACTGGAAAGAGGTGAGGAGCATCCTGATTATGCCCAAAACTGGAGATCCCAGTGGCTCAAAGCTTACTGAGTTTGATCAATGTCGTACCTTCATATCACGCAGTCAAACGCTAAGAGACACAGTTCAATCGAGTAGATGTGTAAGGGATAAAACGTAGAAGCAAATCTTCCCAAAGGTTGACCAGGTTGACCCCCGACCATCGCGCCCGAAACAAGCGCTTCAGCGCCCATATAAGTATTTCGGCAGAAATGCGACTCTAGATCTCGCGTCGAGCTGCGATTTGTTCGTGAAGGTGCCGTGCAGTGATCAGACAAGATGTTATCCTTGGAATGAATAATTACAGAGTCGTTCGACATTGAGAATTTCAGTCACACGATGGTGGAAGCATCAGTTCCTCTTCCATAACCAATCCCTTTATCATCCTCGAGGCGATTGTGTTCTACTGTTTTGACGATCTCAATGACATCGCCATGCTTATTTCCCATCCCCTTCGATATTGCCGAACCCGTCTTTCCGTTCCTTTTGCCGGCGAAAGATAGAGGGATGACGGCGTCGTTCGCCTTGGAGGAACCCAGATTGGTGCTGATGTTGTGGGACTCCTTGCGATAATATTTTCCAGACTTGGTGCGTCGGTAAACGCGACACGCCATTATGTTCATGAGCGCTGCGTTTGGCACTGCGAACATTGCGCGATAGACGACAGGAATAAGGGGGAAATAGAAGACGATCACGGTAAGCAGGCTCGTTGTGACTGTTGTCCTGAAAAGAGTCAGAAAGCATCCACAGCCAGGACCTTCAGGCTCACAGATAGTACACCTGCCCATCTTGTAAGAGGCCTCGGGAGAAAGCAGGCAGGTAATCGCCACGGAAGAACGCTGCGATTCCTCCTCTTAGCGGATTGGACGCGTAAGAAATTCTCGCGAGCCTCCATGAGATCGCGAGGAACACGAGCGTGTCGTTCACAAGAGGGATTATCCCTGCTATCCCAACGTATGTTTCGATCTTGACATTGATGCAGTGTTTCGTCGGACCGATATTGTCGCCAGCAAGCCCTTGCGATGGCGCCAGGACGCCTGCGAGAACGGCGAGCCACATTACGCAGAAAAATATGCGAGCGGGCTTGTTTCGCTCGAATATTGCGAGCACGCGAATGAGAAAGAGGAGGGCGGTTGAAGCGACTGCTACTGCGAAAAGCCAGTCGATAATTCTACAGAACCTTGAGCAGGGGATGGACACGGCTGCAGCTTTTAAGCGTGTTGCGATAAGAGGCCTTTCCACAGAAAGTTAGAGGAGAGTCGACGCTCACTTTGGTATATGACAGTGCACAGGGAGAAGGTGAAGGCTGCCGATCTGTACCGAAAGTAGAAAACGTTAGTATTCCAATGGAATTCAAAGAAGAAGAAAAAAAGACTTATACCGACCTCGAGATTTGGTACACTACCGATGGCACCTTTACGGGATAGGTGAACACTGCGAATAAATCATGCCGGGCATTGTTCAGGATGTCCCAGATGAGGACCTTCAGTTCACGCAGCGGGATTCAGCATTCCGGATTAGAAGGGGAGGCGAGAATGAAAGCAGAGCTCACAGACAGCGTACCGACATAGACATGTGTTGCAATCATGTTTTGGTAAGCTATATCTGGCGGCAGAAATGCCATTGGCGTGAACGGATTCGGGAGTACTGGTGGACTGGCGGTACTGTTCATCGTATGTCTTGCGCGTAGAGAAAGATGTTCGACCTGCAGAAAGAGAAAAACGCTACTCTTAGTTGGTTATAAATTGTTCATACGAACATGGAGTACGTACTGATCAAGTGGAAATTGTCATGAATCAACGCCATCCCCGAGTGACCGAGCCAGGGTGATTCCAAGTCACGTAATTAATAGGCGCCTAAACCGAAGGCTCCTGTGAAAACAACCTTCGTATCATATCAACTCAATTGAGGAGCTTATCCGATCTCACCTGTCATCGAAAATCGGTGTAAGCCATTCCCTGGTGGAAAAGGAGTGAGTTGGCTGCAGTCAATCAGTTCATGGCACGTCACGGAACCAATAGGTAGTGGGAGTTCACGGAATTCAGGGTCCTCGTGTGAGGCACGAGTCAATTGTCATAGCCTGGGATATTCATTTGAATTTGAAACAAGAGACCGATCTCAGCCTTCAGCAGACCTTCAGGCACGAGTGCTGACATCGAGTGCTGAAGGCCTGGCGAAGATTGGATCAGGTATGTATCAGACAAAACCAAAGGGCATGACGCACTCGTCAATCCCTGGACAAATATGTCCGGTAGTGAATGAAGAGGGAAAGAGGATGTAAGAAATTAGTCAGTTAGATGTAAGTAACACTTCCAGACTGGATGGTGTAACCCTCAATGGGTCGGCCGGACTTCTAGCTCAAATTTGAAACTCTGACCATTGGACTCGAAGGGCTCCAGGGAACTTGACGGCTGGGCCATGTTCGTAGCGTTGGGCGCCGGAACCGTGTCGATGACTCCATCCCCACACTGACCAAGAATTTATGCCCCCGGGTATCTTTGAGATGCTAGGGTCTGTATGATGGTGTTAGCTTAATCTGACTCGGACATCTTTTGAGAACGACGACCAGCGACGACCTGATCATTGAGCTAAAGGCAGGAAATCACCTAGCAGCGTATAACTCCCGCGACATATTTTGAGAGTCGCAATGGTTGGAGTATCACCGGGTCAAGGCAACATGTCGTAGTCGATAGACGAAGTGGATAGTGTGGGTAGGCTGTAGCAAGCTCACAGCGTTGTTTGAATCGATTGTAAAAATTAAGACGTCGACGTCGACAGCGGTTCATTCGAATTCGTCTGCGGGGCGATCCCGCCCGGTCCGGCGTCGGAGCTTGAAACAAGTCCGCAGCGATTTTGCGTTCAGGACGTCTCCTTGCTCGCGTCTGTGGGTTATTTTGCTTCAGATCCTATATATCTAACTAATTGATTTCTTCGTTGATGTCAATATCATCTTGCGACCTCTTGCAAAGGAAGAGGTGAAGCAATTCTGCAGCACTCGAGGCCTGAATCGACAGAATGGCCTTGAGGCTTTATTTTGAAGGCTCGAGGCTAAGGAGAGCAGCGGGATCAATGCGTGTAAGCCCCATGCTGACGCTGTTCCATCTCACTGTCTGAATCTGACCTTCATTGTAGTCCTTCCATACTCTTTTCTGTATAGGAAAGTGTTCGGCGCCGACGGTGTGGTCCCATCCATCGCGCAAGCCTTCTCGATGATTGGTCATACAGTGACACAAAAACACAGTTTTTGGCCTGCATATCTTCCAACAGAGTCTGCTTAATCCATCGAGTCCCTCATAAGACTTCCGAAATCAAGACTGCTGACAGTTTCCTCTTCTCGACACCGACCTGAAAGCCATGGATTTTGCTGGCGGATCCGTTCCTGGGGTGTCAAATCCGCTTACTTCGATGGCCTTCCTGGACCCGGACATTGCCAGTCGAGTGGTGAACGGAACGTACCTCCACATCGGATCGCTTGCCGTGAGTGGCAAACTTATTCACAGCGACGCCAATGCTCATCTTCTCCGAGGTTTTGGTCTGGGATATTCTACAGAATATGCACCACGATTATCTCCTCTTGACGCAGCATCGTGTCGGCTTTGCGACCATGGTCTATTTTTTTATCGATGTACGTCCTGAAGGCACCGGGCTGTCGATTCGATTCGTTGGATGTCAATACTCGGAACTAAGGATGGCCTGCCTTGTTTACGCGTTAGGATGAGCCGTCCTTGTCAGTAAGATATCACATACTCATGTTTACTCGTCAACTGACATTAAATCATGCAGCCGTTCCGAGTAGAGACTGCTCGAGTCTGGAACTCATCACCATGTCCTTCCTGACGATGTGCCTATCCCTCGACAACCTCCTTTTCTACATCCGCGTCTGCGCCGTCTACTGCAAGAAAAGATCCGTCGTCATTTTCTTCGGGGGTTTCTGGCTCGAAGTTGTCTGTACGGCCGCACTTATCACCCCTACCCTTTCCGAAGCCGTCGTCGACATCCGCCCCACGAGCTCTTGCTTAGAATTCGCTTATAAACGTTCCATGATCCCGGCCAATATCGTGGTACTCCTCTACGGAATGTTCGTTTGCGTGGCGACGTCGTATCGGTTCTATCAGTCGTACAGGATTCATGACGCCTCTCTTCCGAAGGCCCTGAAAAAGCGCGGTTTTGGCCTCGATGCCAGCTTTCTCCAAGACCATCCTATACCAAAGCCAGTTGTACTACTTGTGAGTCAAGCCCTTCGAAGATTTAGAGCACCAGCTGATTCATTCCTCGCGGAACGAACAGTGCAGTCGCACTTTGGAAGGGTGGTACATTTGCTACTACACTTTCGGCTTGAAACTTCTCATCACCAGGCATCTTGCGCCAGATACCGTCATCTTGGAGAACACCCTGACTTGCCGAGTGTTTAGGAACACGAAGCTCGTGCTCGCTACGGAGCCAACAGATCTCGGGACGCTTCGCTTTGGGTCTTCTTCGATTCTCGAACCTCGGTCAAGAGCCGGTGAGGCAACGCAGTGTCCCGGACCTGCGGATGGCAGGGAGGAAGGTGGAATTTAAAGCGAGAGGAGAGCCTAACGAGCTGGACAGAGGAAAGAAGGTGACAACCAGCTGGGCTGTTCAGAAGGGCATTTCATGTACAAGGCCCATTGACTATCAGCGCTCAGCTACGACTTGGGTTGTCCTATCACCACGAGATGTGTAGAACCATTGCATGATACTTCGATATTTCCTAAGTAAGTGCTGGCGAATTAAGCCTGGAAGCCGTGCACGACAGCAACGCATAACCCACTAGTGGTAGATCGCGGAAGGCAGATAGGTTGTAGGCCTGCACGTGAAAATGACAGATATTTTGGGAAATTTATGTTGTGTGGCGCACTGGGGTCTCGAACCCTCTTCAATCTCGACTCATTGCTTGTCCTCCTCCATTCATCGTTTTAAAATGATGAAAATCCAGGTCGCCGAACTAGGCATCGAATCCTGATTAATAATTTAACCTCACGGTGCGAAGGATTCTCACTTAAATTTCCTCCGGCTCCACATTCGCATGCTCCATGGCAAACAGGAAATCTGGTATTTCTCGCCAAGATCCTCTCACTAGACATCCATTCAACTAGAATGCAGGCTTGCAACAGTCAACTATAGGCATTAACGAATGAGAATGGAGCAGCCTTTTCCCTCTGCCAGTGGTGAAAAACCGTGACAACTGGTGAAGAATTCTGTGAAAGCTACTCGCTCGGATCTGGACCTTCAGAGGGATTTATACGACATCGTTTTCTGTCAAACGGTTGTTCCCTTGCTGTGGTGGTTTCCTTGTTGCCCAGAAGTTCAAGTACGTGTGCATATGACTTCACTCCGGAAATCTTACCGCGCAGTCGCGCTTTGAGAGGGACTTGTACAATTTGCCAACCGCCGTATTATCCCCCTAACATTCTTTGCAGAATGCTTAAATTCTGAATCTTCTCGCCACTCTTCTACCTTTTCAAAGTCCTGCAAGCAGCGCACCAAACACGCCGCAGAGCCTTCAGGCGGGCAAGGGCAGGTGGATTCGCTGCGGGCACGTTTCGCCGGTTATAGAACGCCAAGACCTCCTGTCCGCCAATTTACGTGGAGCCTTCGGGTGCCCTGAAATTTCAGTTTCTCAACAAAGGTACTCTACTGGAGTCTGGACAAGCTCCCATTCCCCCTTGACTGTAAGCCGTATCTATATTTTTTCTGCATTCCTCGGACACTTCAATTGCGTTTATGAAAGGTATGTACTGCCTCTTCGGCACGGAGGAACCCAACAGCGTCATCACCCTGGTAACGCCGCCGAAAGCGGGTTTACGGCCATGCCAAGCCAGGGGGAATTGCCGGATTGTTGATAATTCTGGTTTAGGGCCTCTTGGTTTTCAAATCTTCCCCTCTTCATTCCCGCCACGTTCGATTCCCCTCCGTCGTCTCGCCTCTCCTCCCCATCACCGTTACGTCGCTCTTCGGCGCATAGACTTTCTTTTCGAAGACCCACACTCGTTAACTCTTCACCATCACTCAAAGTCAACCAACGATGTTCGCTCAACTCTTCGCTGCTGCTTTCGTGGCTGTTGCTGCTCAATGTATGCCAACGCATTGTACTTTCTCTCTCGTTGAAAGTCGCCTAACTTTTCTCTTTCTTAGCTGTGGTGGCCGCTGATGCCTGCTCAAGGAGCTACACCATCAAGGCTGGTGACTACTGCGACAAGATCTCGCAAGCCAACAACGTCTCAACGTGAGTTCAATCATTTTGAACTGCGACCTCTTCTCACCATATTTTCGCTCAAAGGTTCCAGCTCGCTGCAGTCAACAGCGGTTCAATCAACTCCGAGTGCACCAACCTTCAAATTGGTGCTGAACTTTGCCTAGGTCATTCAGGAGAAGATTGCGCAGAGACCTACATTGTGAAGGCCGACGATACTTGCTCTGGTATCACCAGCGGTGCCGGTGTGAACTCCACCATCCTCTACCTGAACAACCCTCAGATTGATGAGGGATGCACCAACATCTACATTGGAGAGGTTCGTGTTTCTCTTGCTTCGTCAATTTCATTTCGACCCTGCCACGTCCGTTGAAAAAAAAAAAAAAATTGCATGCCGCCAGTCGACGTCCATGATGCACCGTTACGTCGTGGAAGGTCACCTAGGCACCCTGCTTCTCTCGGAAGCTTCAGTCCTCATTTCCGTAGTCCTCATTACGTTTCGTACACACCACTCACACTTTCCACCCAACAGGTTCTCTGCATCTCCAAGACCGTTCAAGTCCCGCCCATCCCCTCCACTGGCGTTGTCGTGCCCGTCTCCGGCCCTCCCGCCCAGGCTCCTACTGGGGACAAGCCCGCCGCCGACCCACCCAAGGCCATCACCGTCACTCCCACCGTGAGCAGCACACCCGCCCCTGCGGCCGCCGCGCCGACCCCTGCAACTGACGACAATGACGACGACTGCGACGACGATGCCGCTGATGGCGACAATGCCAACGACGGCGATGACGATGATGACGCCGACCTTCCCTACTGCGACGAGATCTAAGCCGTCTCGCACGTTCGTAATGGATGGTCTCCGGAGTTGTGATCCCCTCGCGCCGCGTCACCCGTCATCACCATCATCCTCATCATCTCGCACCTCCATACACAACACATACTCATCCGCATACACATAACCACGAAACCCATCTTGCACATCACATCACGGACCGCATTCCTACCTAATCGCTTCATTATCCCTCATCTTATCTTGGTCTCTCTCTGTCTCCTCCATCCTCTGCTTTCCTCCTCGCTGCCCAGCCAGCCATATTTCCGCTCGCTCGATGTCCATAGTCATACCCGGGCCCTTCTCCGTACCCGTACCGCCCCCAGCGCCGTACCTACACGTACCCCTACCTGCAGTCAGATCTGCACCTCGTTTACTCCTTAGGTCGTTGATCGATGTTTTGTTGGTCCCCTGTCCTTCGAGAGGCAGGGTTTATATCAAGATGAAATGATATGCTTTTGCTCAACCTTCGTGTGTGTCGAGTTATCTCAAACTCAACGTTCAATCCTTCAAGCTTCAAGTTTCGATGGCGAACAGGTGAGTTTCATCGATGCATATGCCTGATGCGCCGCTGACTGATGCTTGCTTTGACTAGCTTCCATTGAGCATCGTAATCCTGATGAAGATGAAGATGAGGTTTCATAGGTATCCTGCGGCACCACAGCTTGAATCACTGATGTCGGCCCTCCATGCGGCGCAAGGATTGTGTAGGGAGATAAAATTAGATCCCAAAAAAGCTATACTACTACATTTGAGTACAGGTGAGTAAACTAGTTCCTAGTCTGTCTTTTCCATTAATACTAACAATGCGTATAGTGTATCCTCATAGCATGCAAACTCTCTCAGCGTTAGCTCTTCTCATCCTCCTTCATGGTCTTTTCAAACCCAATTTCAACATCGCTCGAGAACCCCGTGCTCATAAACCCAGTCTCGACCTGCCTGAACACGATCGGCTCTCTCGTAGCTGACATATCCGTGGCCGTTGCAACGCCGCTCGATATCGTCGGCAGCGTCAGCTCGTTTTGAACGACCGTCGTCTCTCTGTAGATCCCGAATTTTGTTCGCCGGAAGACGCGGCACGCCATGACGTTCATGAGCATGATGTTCGGCATGGTAAGGGAGGTGCGGTACACGATGGGGATGGAGTTGTTGTAGTAGATGATGAGGTTCATGACGTTTATGACGACCGTGCTCCTGCGATCCGAGGTCAGGAATGCGGCATCGTCATATGAAGTTGCTCACATATAATAGACCTGCCCATCCTGCAAGAGCCCCTTCGTAAACCTCGACAAGTTCACCCCAAACAACCCTGTCTTCAGCCCATTCTCCACCGTCTTCCGCAGCTCCCACCTCCCAGGTGTCACCTTCATATCTCTCTTTCCCCCCTTCTTCCTGCACCCTCCAAATCCCTCAATCGGCGCCCCGACATCCATCAACCTCCAAGTGATCGCCAAAAATACCATTGTGTCATTCGCAAACGGGATGATGCCCGACATCGAGACGTAGCTCTTCAATCCTGAGTTGATGCAGTACTTGGTCGTACCAATGTTCGACGCGGTGACCCCTGGCGTGCTGACGATGGACCCACCGAGGACGGCGAGCCATATGAAGGCGAAGAAGCGGATGACCCAGGTGCCTTGGGTGCCGGTGGAGAGGTACATGGCGCGTACTCGGAAGAAGAAGAGGAGAGAGGTGGAGGGGATGGAGATGGCGTAGAGGGTGCTGATGATCTTGCCGGAGGTGTAACAGTTGCCCAGTGGTGCAGCTGGAGGAGGCGACAGTGGTGCATGAATTGCTGGAGGATCTGGGAAGGAAAACAGAAATTGACGCACTGGCGAAAATTGCCCCTCCGAGAAGATACCCGATACTCGACCACCTGTGGAGATATAAATGTTCCTGTCGCGCAAGCTTCCACATGAAAAAGTTCTGGCAGACCTCGACACAAAATATGCCACTGTCGGCGCTCCTACGCTATACTTCCTCACAAGCTTCCAATCGTTCTTCAGGTTATTGAGCACGTCCCAGATCAAGACCTAGTAGCCCATTCGTTTAGCCCGCCCAGAGTACTCGAGGAATTACGGAAACACTCACCACGAGCGACCCGACCAAAATATAGATCGAAACCATGACCTGTGAAGCTAGCTCCGGTGGAAGGAAAGCCATGGGCGTGAACGGGTTGGGCAGCTGGGGTGGCGCATCAGGACCCGGAAGTGTCCCAGCACTCGTATCGTTGGAAGCCATCGCGTCAAGGAAGATATCTTCCTTTTTCCGAGGGACTTGACGAGCTGGACAACACGAACACTTGCCAGTCGCAGACGGGTAGGAAGCCAAAACAAATCCCCAGATGCCTCTATGCTGTCTTTATATATGTCGTCGCTCCAAAAACCCTAAAAGTGCTTATCGGCCATGCGGAGCGCCCGGCGTATCCCTGAGTGCGACGGGGAGAGCACCTGGCGATTGCGCGGTACCGGAGGCCTTTTTTGGGATTTGAAGGATTCCGGATGGCTTAGCGACCTCACTAAGCCTCGCTAGCACTTAAAGTAGGTGCCCAAGCCTCGTGGTGAGTGAATTACAAGACCCCATGGGCGGCTTCGTCTGACTTTTTGCAGGCGGTGTTTCTCGCAGGGAGATATGAAGATGCAGGAAGGATCATGTTGGGAAGAAAGCAGGGAGAAGAAGGATTTGGGAGTTGTTGGAGGGCAGGAAAGACGGAGACGGAGATGACGTGATATCTCTTCCATCAGTACAAAGCCGTTTCAGCCCATCACGGCGATCGTCGGTGCCGTGAACAGGCACAGTGTGGCGCACTCGCGTATCCGGCGTCTTGGACTCTCGCTGTCGCCAGAGGATCACGTCGTCAGCCTTTGCCTGAGAAACACGATATCCATGATTAACCTTTCTCCAGCAAGAAAAGACTGGGTCCAGAACTACTCCTGACGAAGGTTGGCGACCTGGGTTACGTGGATTTGCAACATGGCCGAGGTTCGCCTCTTCGTCCTGGTGCTTAAGTTGGGGGGCCCTTTGAGCGCACTGCTTAATCTGGAACACCAATGTGCAAAGGCTTCCTTCTCGTGGAAAGCGTAGAGTCGCCCAACGGTATGGCATCCCAGGCAATCTAACTTCAGTTGGAAGCAACGAAGAGAAGCCATACTCACGAGGAAAGCCCGATATCTCTATCTGGCACACTCGGAGAAACGCAGAGAAACGGGTGGAAAAACCTCTCCAGGTGACTGTCCCCGGGCCGCAACGAACGAGTCTAGACACCGTCCTCTGAGGGTAAAGAAGAAGATAGCAGGCAAGGTGACGCCGTCGCGCACGTAGCGCACGTAGCGTATGACGCTGTGGATGGGTGAATGCATACGTAGGGCCTCTTGAACAACTTGGGAACCTGATAATTATTTGGCGTTGCTCCTCATCTTACATCGCGATGACCGTGTCGAGGCGTCATTAAGTATCTAACGACACCATGAAGGAACCCAGAACTATGCTTCTTGGATAGCTGTTCGTGGCCAAGGATATAGGGTATGATCCACATCCGGATGGAAGGATTGGGATATGCCCTCGTTCAGCAATAATAGAATCGCCAAGGTTGCTGAGAGGGTGTGAATAAAATAGTGCCTAGCTGGTGTGTGGTTTGCCTTATCCGCCTATGCTGTTCTGTATCGACCAAGTGAGCATCACAGGACCCAACGAACTGAATTTCGTCCCACATTATGACAGTATTAGTATACTAATGATATTTCTATGCCCTACCGCGCATAAGGACGTCTCGACCATTGACAAGACAAAAAAGCAAGAATAGCATTCCGCTCGGTACGCAGTAAAGGTCCGAGAACATGCCACGACATAGAACTACACTGATAACTATCACCTCACGGTAGTAGAAGCTGATTTTGATTACTACCGACAAAATGACTGCAGATTTATCTATCGTTCTGTGCAGAATGATTTGGGATGCGAATATTTTCTGGTGACAAACGCTCTGAGAGAGCTTATAAAAGGGACGCGTTCAACACCAAAATCCTTCAGAGAATATCTGTCCCCCACTCGAATACCACTACCCGAATACTCCAACATGAAGGTCTGTGCAGTTCTGTACTCGCTTGTCTGCTAATTGCTCACCCCGTTCTTCCAGTTCGCCACTCTCATTCTCGCCGCTGTTGCAGCTGTAGCCACCGCTTCCGTCGTTGAAGTCACTGCACCCGCACCCGCTATAGCGCTTGACCTTGAAGCACGCGTGCGTAGTCGTTCACTCCGCGAGCTTGTGCCGTGCTTGCTTATACGTATTTGCCTATTCAGCAAGGCTGCGTCCCCACACCCAACTGCACCTGTAACAGAGTCCAAGGTCAGGTTTGCGGCAACGAAGCGATCAACCGCTTCTGCACCAACGGACATGTCTTCGAGTGCAGCGCCAGTACCGGTCAAACTTGCGACTACGGCATCAGGAACTCGTGTGTCCAATGTGGCCGTCTCGTGTGCTAAATACAGACTATGTCGAGAGCAAGCAATCCGAACTGGATACTCGCAATGCTGAAATTGAAGGAGGCTGATAGTTTCCACCTATATTTGAAATGTACATATGCAACTTGAAAGTCTGATATTGTAAAACTACTTGCCGTTTTTGTTTATGTAACGCCACACAGGCGCGATTCAATTACTTGCACGCTGCCGACCAAAATGGATACTGTACGTAACCGGTTACTCGGTCACACCAACAACTCGGTCATCGCCTTTGTGGACAGCACAGTTGCTCATTTCACTCAATTCTTTTTGCACAATCAGGTACAATTGTACAAGAGCAACGGAATTCCATTTTTTCATGAATAGATAATCTTTCCTCGTGGAGAAATGAGCCTCTCTTTGGCTGTTGTGATGCGTGACACCCAATTTCCTTATTTGAAAACCTGTTTCCGGAGGGCTTTTCTCAACGACATGACTGGCTGCTGGAAAAATACTTTGGAACTAAGGAGTAGATCATAATTAATGTATAATCAAGTTATTTTATCTCGTGTGGATGGATTCCTGCACTTTCAATATTGAAAATTAGAAGGAAGATCATTTTAGAGGTGGGTTGGACTGTTCCAGGTGATTTATATTGTGACGAAGCCTCTAGGGGATCAATTGAGGCATCAAAAGAATAGTGCCCCAGATAGGTGCTTAGGAAAGAAGTCTCTTTAATTTTTGCAAATTTCTTTCGAGCATGAGACACAAAGTAAAGAGAAAACCTCGTTTTCAGTGATAAGAAATGACAAATCAAATACTTTAAGGGAAGTTGCAAGGTATCATGAAATAAGGGGACCAGATAATTATAGAGGTGTTTGACTTTCATTGGAAGCTTTTTTTCCCGTAGGTCAGACCAACTTTGAAGAACAATTCAAGGTGGCCGAGTACTGTCCTCGTATTCCGACATTATCTTATCATCAGCTTACTAAGCACAGTTGACCCTGGTTACAGCCGGTGTACGGGACCAATACAAATCGGTCTAGTCTCGGGGCCTGGCCGACTTCCTGGTTTTGACCGATTTTGACCTATCAGAATAAAATATTCATGGAGGCCTCAAACCTTCCCGTAAATTTCTGATAACTGGTGCACAGGTACTTCAGATGCTTGCCTATTGAGTAGTACTGCTATTTTATTCGAAACCCCCAAACCCAGCGAGCAATTTTTAGGCGACTGTAGAGTGACCGAGATGCCGGTCATCTACAGTAACACTTCTAGAAATAGTAAGCCAAGCGAATGTACAGAGCTTCCCTCGGCGCGGTGGTAACATATCTTGATACGTTTTACCCCAGTTCTCACAAGACGAGCAGCGAGGCGGAATGCGGGAAATGCGACCAACAGACCCTACCGGCATCAAACACCCTACCAAGAGCATGTAAATCGCTCTTCGATGATTGATAAGTTCGTGTTCCGGATTAGTCTCTTACTTTCAATCTTCACTCAGCGCCCATTTTCCCTTAAAAATGGCTTTTATTGTCGTCTGCCCTTTGAAATTGTTTCATTCGACATTGCTTCCCTAGATGACTAAATTAGTTCCTACGTTGAATCCTGAATTAAGACTAGCGATGCATATAGTTCAGAATGGCCTTAAGCCATCGCGTCAAGGATGGTATCCTAAGGACTTGACTGGGTGGCAGTGTTGGCCGGTCGATGACTGATGGTCAAACGTCGAACGTTGACCACCTTGACGGTCAATTGACGGTCAACGACGGTCAATATTTGATGGACTTTCCCACTGCTTTGCCGAGGGTCGAAGCCTAATTTAGACAGCTCCCATCAGCGCATCAAACATCAAGTGCACTATGCGTTCAGTTGCTCTTTGATCAGACAGATTGCTCTTTCGTGCGTACAGAATAGATATAATCCTTTAATTTTACCCCGGTGTGATACAGGCTTGCTCTTTTGTGTGAACAGAATAAATATAGTCCTTTGATTTCACTCCGCAGTGTGACACAGGCCCCATTTCTGGTAGATGACAAGGTTCACAACCTCAAGGATCCTTCCTTCTCCAGGTCCTTTTTCACCCTTTATCTTTCTCAGAAGTATAATTATTTCAGTATTGACAGATTAGCATGTGGAAGCTCGTTGTAAATTACACACTATCTACATATTTTTATTTCAAACCGATAACTGAGAGGCTTAAAAAGCTGGGAGAATCACTGACACAGACCAGGCAGCTTCGTCTTTGCGTTTCGCCTCCTACTCCTGCATTTGTCTCTTTCTGCTATGTCGAGGCCATCCGCCACACGTAGTAATGCCCGATGGGGATGGTGGCGCGCCTACTTCATTGATTGTCCGTTGTCTCAGGCTGACCCAATTTTCCATTTGTTCGGCAAATCTGGCGCAAAATCGACAAAGTCCGGCAAAACGAAATGCTATTGCAAAGCCTGCTATGAAGTTGAAATCGAGCAGTGCTGCCAGGCAGAAGCAGAACAACTTCGTCTGGGATTTGTTGCAGCAGCCCGTATGAAGGATGAGCTCAGCAAGCAAATATGTGAGTCGCTCGCTTGCCTCGCTATTTGATTTTGCTTCGAAGCATTGGCAAGACCGCTTCCGCCGCCATGCAACTATTAACTACGACGAAGAACTTGCCCTTTACGAGTTTCTGGAGCTGGACGCAGATGGCGAGGAGGATCCTGAGCTTGATGGGGTCGCAGAGGAGGTTCTCGCAAACTAATTACATTCTTTATCGACGTATGTATCCTTGTACTCGCTATCTCTGTTCTTTGGAATGTGTTGGAATCGGGCAATCCGGCATTGTCCCGGATCTTTGAGTAGGCGCCCGTACATGCTGGAATGCAGATTAGTCATCATAGCACAGCTTCGTATAGGTATAGTATTTAGTAGATAGTTGTAGAACCTACTAGATACAAAGTGTGTACAGTATATAAGGACCTCTGTAGGAGGCCTAAATATTAAGTTCTCTCTTCCACTGCGCCAACAGGTTATGGGCCCCGAGCCTCAGTAAAGCGAGTCTCACCACCGTTTACTGCTTTGATCTTATCTCGCTCTCGTCCTTCTCTTACGTGTTATCTTATCACATGCCGGGCCGAATCACTACACATGGATTAGCCCCCGAAACGACGATCACACGCAATCGCCTTCGAGCACGACAGACGAGACACCACCGCATTTGTTACCATTGCAGGCAGCACGGGCAGGCAGCACGGGCATTTAGTCAAGGATTGCAAAAATCCTCCCAAACCTCAAGAACTTCCGTCGGACAAAGAGATCACGTCCGTTCGAGAACAATCAACTTTCGCTTACGAGCGTGGCAATAGTGCCGAGGTCCGGATTAGAAAGGGAATCGGACATTTTGGGTTAGTCCGAGCAAGTTTGCTCATGCATCGCGGAAAAGCTGCGCGCCCCGCGGCATACGGGACTAGGAAATGGGACGCAGCCACGCTAGAGCTGCCACTTTCCCATAGGAATAATTTAGGTTCCTGAGCTAGGTGCTCTGTGGAGAGATCAGGATGATCCTGCCACATACGGAACAAAGACAAGCTTCGAGCTTGATGGAATAGGTTGCCGAGGCAAGAATGCCAACGGCATCAATGCGCTTCGTGCGCAACGCAACGCTTAGTGCGTGCAAGACCGGCTTAGTGCCAGAATAGGCTTTGTGCCGCCAGAGGCTTCGTGCCACCATTGGATGCAGGTAGAGGATCTCCCTGCTAAATATTGGATTTGGAAGAAGGTGGAGGATCTCCCTTCTTGCCAAGAAATTAGGACATCGGACTTGGAGGTAGAGGAACTCCCTCCACATCCACGAATTGGATTTATTAGGCTCAGCTCGAGGTAGAGGAACTCCCTCGGAGCGGTGAGCAGAATTTTCGACGACAAAGGTTTCGGAGCTGCAAGCTCGCCTTCCTCATTTGGTCAATGGATCACATTCGGATCGTTAATTTTGCCTCAGCCGGAATGCCGGATTGAGGGGGAGTGTTGGAATCGGGCAATCCGGCATTGTCCCGGATCTTTGAGTAGGCGCCCGTACATGCTGGAATGCAGATTAGTCATCATAGCACAGCTTCGTATAGGTATAGTATTTAGTAGATAGTTGTAGAACCTACTAGATACAAAGTGTGTACAGTATATAAGGACCTCTGTAGGAGGCCTAAATATTAAGTTCTCTCTTCCACTGCGCCAACAGAATGTCATGGTCAACGTTAGTGATGTCATCCCTTCTCGTTATGGCAATCGGTCGAACAATGGTCAAACATTTTGCGACGGGACCGTCGCTGATGGCATTCTGACCGTCATTGACTTTGTTGACGGTTGCTTGACCGGCACACCACTGCAGCACGAAGACCCGTCAGTGGCAGACGCGCAGGAAGCCAAAACAAGCTCCCCAACGCTGCCAGGCTGTCTTTATATGTCGTCGCCAGAAACCTTAAAAGTGCTTATCGGCCATGCGGGGAGCCCGGCGTATCCCTGAGTGCGATGGGGAGGGCACCTGGCGAGGGGGACCGGAGGTTTTCTTGGGACCTGAGGGTTTCGGACGGTCGGCTTAGCGACCTCGTTGGCACCCAAATGGACGCCCAATGTCAACCCGCGCGACTAATGAATTACAAGACTCCATGGGCGGCATCGTCTGATTTTTTAGTGGGCGGTCTTTCTCGCTGAGAGAGATCGGGACGGCGGGGGAGGGTCATGGGAAAGAGAGAAGCGCTTGGAAGCTGGAGGAAAATGGGATGAGCGTGTTACCATCGCCGGCTATTTTGACAACCAGTTTGGCGTCAGAGCGATTCTCGCCGGTCGGTGCCGCGAAGAAGCACGTGCATAGTGTGGCGCACTCGCGTATCCCGAATCCGGCGTCATCGACGCTCGCTTGCGCTAGAGGGTCACCTCGTCAGTCTCTGCCTGAGGAGCACGATAATCCATGACCCACATTTCTCCAGCAAGAAACGACGTGGGTCCTGGGTCAATCGTGACGAAGGCCCGAGGTCCCAACTCCCGGCTTTCATGAAGCGCGGATATGCCATCCCAGCTCGTTTGATTGTTCCATCGCCACCTACGTAGAGCCCCTGCTGAACAAATCGTCAAGATGCGCAGGGAGCTACTGAAAGAAAGAGCGGATTTACGATGAGTGGTGCAAGTGAGCACTCATCGTAGTTTGGCTAGGGTGTGATCTTCTATCCATCGTGATGGCCGAGGATCGCCTGCTTGTCCTGATGTTCATGCCGGAGTCCGATCCCGGGTCCCTCTTAGTGCATTGTCTAATCCAGAACACCAAAGTGCAAAATCATCCTTCTCAAGGAAAACGCAGAGTCTTCGCTGCGAGGGCACGGCATATTTAATAGTCTCACTTCAGTTGGAAGCGAAAGAGAAAGGTCCTACTCATGAGGATAGCCCAACAACAAAATATATACATCCCGCACACAAAAAATGCAGACAAGCAGGTGCAAGAACCTCGACTTGCTCAGCACTAGCCCCGGGCCGTAACGAGAAATTCTGGGCTTCTGATAATTATCCGGGATTGCACCCTGTTTTGCATCGCGGCTCAAGCTAGTTCATGATAACGATCCTGTCGAGGCATTATTAAGGATCTAATGACCGCATGAAAGAACTCATGACGCAGAACTATGCTTCTTTGCTAACTGTAAGTGGCCGAGGATGTAGGATGCGATTTCTATCTGAATGGAAGAGTTGAGGTATGCTCTTGTTCGGCTATAACAAAATCGCCAAGGCTGACGAAATGGTGTAAATAGAGCGATCCCTATCTGGTATGTGCTCGGCCTAATTCGTCTCGATTTTGCCTCTACGGTCTACTATTCAGTTTCGACCGAGTGTCCATCACGAGACCATGGACTGAATACAAAGGCCTTTCGTTCCTCATCACAAAAATCTTAGCGGACTGATTATTATGATGTTTCTAGACCCGACGGTACAACAATGTCTCGTCCACAAGACAATAATATCGCTCCCTTTCATCGATCATTTGGCATGAGCGTAGAGCTGTTGGCTATGCCTTTACTGATCAGCATCTTATGTAGTGACGTACCGTTCGATACTTCGGTACTTACCCCTCGATTGTCCCCCAAGATCCCGAGTGGCAGTGTATTAATTTCATGAACGTGATACAACATTGGACTCCACTGATAGTTATCACCTCATGCAACGGCAGGTTTGTGTTCAAACGGAACTTGGCATGGAAGTCTAGCCTTCATTGAATCCTAAGCGCCGGCGCCACGACCATAACGCACAGTTGATTGGGTGGAATTAGAAGCTGATTTTGATTTTGACTTTGATTATTACCAACAAAATGAGCGCGGCTTCATCCAACGTGCTGGACAGAATGATCTCGAATGCGAATATTTTCCGGTGACAAATCCTCTGTCAGTAAGCGTATAAAAGGGATGGGCCCAACGCCATAGCCCTTTAGCAAATAGCTGTTCTCTCCTCGAATACCACACGCAGAATACTCCAATATGAAGGTCAGCACAATTGTGTGGCGGCTAGTCTTCTAACTGCTCACGTTGTTCTTCCAGTTCGCCACTTTCATTCTCGCGGCTCTCGCGGCTGTAGCCACCGCGACCGTCCTTGAAGTCCCTGCTCCCGTTCCCGTTTTAGAGGCAGGGCTTGAAGCACGCGTACGCGTCTGTTCACTCCACGAGTTTTGCCTCGCTTACTGACCCATATTTGCTTAAATTTACAGGCCTGCGTCACCTCTAGGTGCACCTGTAACAGAGTCCAAGGCCAGTTCTGCGGCAACGAAGCAATCAACCGCTACTGCACCAATGGGCATGTCTTCGAGTGCAACGGTAGTACCGGTGCAACTTGCGACTACGGCATCAGGAACTCCTGCGTCCAATGCGGCCGGCTCTCCTGCTAAATACCGACTACATCAAGAGCAGGCAAGTCGAATTGTATACTAGCAACGCTGAAGGAGGTCATAGGCGGTTTCCGCATATATTTGAAAAGTTGAAATGTAAATATAGTACAACTTGAAAGTCCGATATCGTCAAATTACTGTTTTGTGGATGTGACAACAGACAGGCACGGTTTATTTACGCAGAGCAATATGGCCAGGTTCCGTGAAAAGTAACATTATCGGCAGCCGGCGCACATATGCACCCACATTTAGTCACGTTTCGCGCAGGTGCGTCACAAGCCTGGGAGGTTCAGCGAACTATTCATTCTGCTCTAGCGCTCTAGCTCCACCGACATAACCACCAGTGTACTCCCATAGCACTCTCGCAGGCCCCGCCTGGGTAACCAGCGCCTATGGCACAACAAGCACAATCCGTGTACCTTAGCAGCATTCCGTCACTTCATGACATACACCCACATCTCCTACCTACCCTCTACGGTATTGACTTGAACCGCAAGGTCGCCCGGGGCGACAACCTGGATATCGCTGATATCTCTCACGCCATAGGTCTCATCGACTGGTTGATAGTTTATCAGAGTACGCTCCCTCTGCAGTTACATGACTGTTCGCTCCGATTTCTCGGAGACACAATGTCTGGATCATCGGCCACTCGTCATTGCGGACGATATCATCCAAAGCGCCCAATGACGAGTTAGTGCCCTTGAGCAAGCCCGTCGGTGATCCTTTTTTGCTCTTATTTTCGAAGATTTGACCGCCTACACTGGACTCCCAGGCGCGAACCAGCGGTTCCTACCTCAAGACATCCATGGACAACTGGTGCAAGTGTTTACCTGGGTCACCGAATTCGACCACAAAGCAGCAGAATTGGTCCAGAGACTAGACATCCTCATCGCTGAGCAGCGCAACTTCAGAATCCTCACCCGTAACGAGGACAAGAAGTTGGCTGCTGGCCAGGCAATCGAGCCTCTTCAGAAAGCGGTGAGTTCGTCTCAAAATATACCCATTATCCTCCTCACATTTTATTTGTAGGTCCCTGGGTGTGGACAAGCGCTTGCTCTTCAATTGGCTCCCCCGGATTTCGTTGAATCCTTCAATAGCCTGTATCCTATTGAAACCCCTGCAGGTGCCGTAGGCCCAACGCCTGCCGACTTGCCAGGTGACTTGTTCATGTTAGCGCTTGACCATGGAGAAATTCTGAGCACTTCGGCATCATAGCAGGAGATAACCTGGACGACAGGAGGACCAAGCTGATTAGGGCTTTTAGCGCGAAATGATATCCGGACTTCCTCGAAACAGTCCCTATAAAGTAGCGACAGAGTCATATTGTACTCTTCTAAGTGGTAAACCACCTTAGTGGCATAATTCGACTGTAGTTGGGAGGACATAAATTTGCTGTCTTCCTATAATCGAGGGCTTCCGGGACGATCGCCTCTGCATGGTGTGTGAGGATTCCTCCTTGGGATTCCTCCGTCTGTAACCATAGTCCCTAGCGTTCGCTGCGATGTCCCGATCCAAGAGGTGTACCCTGTACTTCACAGCTCAGACGATATTAGGACATTAATCGCGGCGACGGGCAACACAGCGTCCCTCCCCCCTCCCCCATCAAATGGTGTATATACGCCGACATGGTTCATTGACAAACCTACTATCTCTTCTAAGGACGCTGTCAGAATTTAAATACGGAGTAAAGTTGGCCTTATTAGGTCTAAAAACATGATCCTGGATAAGCGGGGTGCTCACGAAAGCGGAGACGGAGAGATGCGAATGGCCTTGTTGCGGTTGGATGCAATGACGACATCGACTCAAGAGATACCAGCTGCATTTATCGATCTTCTGAGCTGGTCGCAATTGCACGAAGATGATCCTGTTCACGGCGGCCGTTCAGCACACTCTACACAAAGACAAGGACATAACCACAAGAGGAAGAATTCGGGCAAAGTCCTGAGATTATAATATTATCGAGTCCGTATTAAACCAAGTCGAAAGGTCCGTCTAGAAACAAACTCTATCCTATCGTCCATGATGGCAGTCAATTAGACTCGAGCCTTGCTCAGAGTCGGGGCGTGTGGAGGGGACGCTCGGAGAGGGATGAGGGCAGTAGGGCGGCGGTGGTGGCTGCTGCGTTGGAGCTGGTGTTGTGGTACCTCGCCATCTCGTTCTCCTTCTTCTGGAATCCACACTTCTCGTAGAAAGCTGCATCCAAATCAGCAACCAAGACCAAATGAACAACTACAACACTCACGAATATTGGCATCGCTGCAGTTCAAAATCGTCTTGTACGACCCCACCCTCTCGCTAATGGTCGTGAGCGCCTGGATGATCCTCAAGCCCAGCTTGCGGCCTTGCACGCTCTTATCGACCGCAATGTCCTCGATGTGGCCCACCACGCCCAGCCCGCGCGTGAACTTCTGCTCCATGAACACCGAGCCGACGCCCACGACCTGGTCCGTCGCGCGGTTGATGATGACGAGTGTGAAGTAGGTGTTGGGGCACGACTTGAGCCGGTTGAACGCCTGGGTGTATTGCTCCTCAGTGAGCTCGGGCGTTGATGTGAGCACCCGCAAGACGGAGAGGTGTGAGCGATAGAGGTCGTCCTTGGCGAGGGGTCGCATCTGCGCGGTTGTACGTCAGCACCGTCGTTCTTGAGACCCTTCCCTGTGCACGTACATGCAAATCCGATCCAAGTTGGGCTTGTACATCAGAAGGAATGAGCTCAGGCGCGAAGAGGAGGTCGAGGTGAGAGTCGGGGGTGAAGGAAGGCATCGAAAAACGTCTGGTGTGAGGTCGGGTCTAAAGAACGGCTAGAAGAGAACTGTCTTGGGACTGATGGATGAGTGGGACGATATAATTGCTTGTCTGAGGTTGACCCACCTCTTTATACTCTAATTCTATGAGGTCGTGGAGGCGGTGGCGGGAGAGGGGCGGTGGGGTGGTTGACAGAGGCACAATCGCCAGAAATAGCAGGACTGTATGCGGCACACAGCCACCGCAGCGCCGACAGTGCACTGACCAACGGAACCCTTGGTGGACAACAAATCTGTCTCAAGAGCCGTAAAAGGGCCGTAATATAAGATTGGAGAGGGGCCAGAAGTGGCGGAGGATTGCGAAATCTCTTTTAGTCGAGCAGTTTGTATGTCAAAATTATACAAATAAAGATTGTTGACGCAGATGGACACTACAATTTGCACAGAAAATTGAACTTACATACCGAGAATTATTGAAATGAGAAGAACACTTTCCTTCATGTAAGAGGAATTCGAACAAAGAAAAAATTACAGTAGCCCACCGCGAGGGTCGAACTCGCAGCCTTCAGATTGCCTTGGAACTCCGCCTAAGTAAGAGTCTGACGCTCTATCCGATTGAGCTAGGCGGGCCATAACATAGTAATGGTTTTGCATTACTTAAGCATTATAGCGTTTCTCCAAGCTGGGTACCAAACCGAGGTTTCCAAATTTACGCAAAAGACTGTTATTTATAAACGAGTGGCGTAGGATTATACCTTGGGTATGTTATTCTAATCATCATAACGCGAGAGCGAGCCGTCCAACTTAATCATCTATCTTTCCTGACGTCTAATCGTCGTTTCAAGCGCCACGAGAGCTGGGTGTCTCCATATCGATAAACGACTTGTGGTCAGTCTTCGTCTCCTCGTCATCATCGTCGTGATGGCGTTGAGCATCCTTCATTTCAGCATCGTTCACATGAATAGATGGCATGCCAGTTTCGTGGACGGTCGTGACGAGCACCTCCGTGTTCCTAGCGCGCGCTCGAGACGCAAAGGAAACAGGTATCGGGAGCGAGTGGCGAGAGCGATCGTTGTCCCTCCTGTTGCTGCTGAGTGGGGCTTCTCTGAACTTGCCGAACTTGACGTTGCGGAAGACCCGGCAGGCCATGACGTTCATAAGGACGATGTTGGGAACGGTGAACATGGTTTGGTAGGTCACCGGCACACTCTTGACGTACAGCATGATCACAGTCAAAAGGCTTATCGAGACAGTCGTGCTAAGGATGCATAATGAGCCGCAGGATCGAAGGAACGGAAGGAGGACGTACAGGTAGTAGACCTGGCCATCCTGCAACAAAGCCTTGGAGAACGCGGGCATGTAATCGCCAAAGAACAACGTCCTGACGCCACCCTTGAGCGAAGGTTCCACATTCGCGTTCTGCATGAGCCGCCAAGTGATCGCAAGGAAGATCAAAGTATCGTTGACCAGCGGGATAATCGCAGCAGCTGCGACGTACGGCTGGAGACTGGCGTTCACGCAGAACCGCGTATCGCCAATCTCCGCTCCTTCGACTCCTTGGGTGACCGTCAAGCAGCCCGCCAGGACCGCGAGCCACATGAACGCGAAGAATCCGACGACGCGCCTGTCGCGGTCGAAGACTGCGCGGACGCGGAAAAAGAAAAGGAGCGAGGTGGCTGGGACGGAGATGGGGTAGAGCCAGTCCAATCCTTTTTGGAATGAGCGACAATTCCCGGTCTTAGCGGCTGGAGACGTTTAGCGTCTTGATAAGTGCGTTGACTAGAAACGCGAATGACTCACTTTCGAAAATCGTGCTGGAAAGGGCATAAGCCAGAGACGCCAGCCTACGAAGGGATTGAGGATATGATAGACGAATCGAGTCGACATTCCCTCACCTTGACACGAAATACGCAATTGTGGGCGCTCTGATTGGGAAGTTGAAAAGAAGCCAATAGTCTCCTCTAAGGTTGTCGAGGATGTCCCAAACCATAACCTTCGTTGACATAATGAGCATAAGAACCGGCACAGGAATAGAAAAGTGCTGTAAAGCGCTTACACCCAACGAGCCCACCAAGATGTAAATCGCGATCGTCACTTGATACGCCAGCTCGGGCGGCAAGTACGCCATAGGCGTATTCGGATTCGGAAGCGGAGTACTATCGTTGGCGGACATTGCGAAGTGCTCGTGAGGGAGGAGAAGCGAAGGTTGTCGTAGTCGTGGTGGTAGAGAAGAGAAAAAAGTGCGTCGTCAAAAGTTCCGACAACGGCGAACCAGCACCTTGCTAACGAGTATTTGGCTAAAAAAAAATGAGGCTAAAACGGTGAGGGAAGGCAACAAGCAAGGTGTCGGATGGGGCTACTCACGGATGCCGACCTGTAACCTGTTGCTCCGTGCAGGGTCTCAAAGGGCGTCTTGAGCCTCGACGGCGGCGATTACACCATTTACATCACCGGAGAGAAACATTTCCCAGTCGCTTGTCGGCCTCGTTCAGAATATGACCAATAATGAACTCTGCTCCATTGACGAAATGAAAATTTGATGCGCCTGGTCGGTCGACTTTGCAAAACATCGCGAGGTTGGGGTCGGACGACATGGCACCGTAGCACGGAGAGCCCGAGAAAGGTCGATACAGGGCGTGTCCTGAACGAATACAGAATACAAGAGCTACTGGGGTCGAAGCAAGCAATCTGGACAGGACATGCGTCTTGGTGAGGTGACGTTATTTTTTGGCCTCGATCAAAATGGCGTCCCCGCCCTGCGCGTTTGAATTTTCGCCAGATCGATCCGAATTCGAAGCGTTAGATCAACCGGCAAAGTCTTCTAGGCGAGCTTGGCTGGCAAGATGCTGCAGTGAAAAGGTGATGACCACTGACACTGGACAGTGGAGACTGGGAGGCCTTGAAAATGGGCTGTGTCAGACCCTCCGGATCCAAGTACCAGAGCCCCTTTCATGGGCATAGATTGAAGGGCGAAACCTGAAACAGAACAAAGAGCGCCTGTTGCGAAGGGAAGATGGAGCTAGCGCTCAAAAGCGTCAACGGTTTTGTTCAACAAGCGGTCGTCCAGATTTGGCTCTAAGTGAGCGCCGGAAGTTGCCGACGTCGGACAAGGAGCCCCGATGCTCCGGGAAGTTGTTCGACCAGCAATAAATACTGCATTTAAATACGGAGGAGATAAATACTTTGCGGCTTGTATTGAGGCATATACATCTGAGGGTAGAAGAAGGACGGAGGTCATAATTATATCAAACCATCGAGAATTCATGAGGATGTGGCCGATGGCTTTGGTCGGAGATTTGTTGGGTATGTTTACCTCTTTCTTCCTTGCTACTTGGACAGCTAGAGGAGAAAGGATTAACGTATTCCACGACCGCGTCCGAGCGGGATGCTGAGAGTCCTTGCGTGTATTCTGTCGTCTTGCTATTCTTGGAAGTATTTCCCAATTTCGTCGGCGGCCCGGGCGTGCCAGAGAAATGCCCAGATCCTCGGAACTTCGTATTTCGGAAAAGCCGACACGCCATCATGTTTATCAGCGCGATATTTGGTAGGCCAAACATCGCTCGGTAAGTGACAGGGACTGAGTCGATGTACCACATAGTTACGGTCAGCAGGCTAATACCAACTGTGGTTCTGGATGAAGTCGCTCTTGAGATACGAAATTCAAGTCTCGCAGCTTATAGAAAGTACGCCTGCCCGTTCTGAAGAAGTGCTCTGGATAATACTGGAAGATAATCGTCGAATAGCATGGTGCGAAAGCTATTCTTCACTGTGTCTTCAGCGTACGAGTTTTGCACCACGCGCCATATGATGGCGACATAAAGACAGAAGTCATTCACCAGCGGAGCAATTGCGGCTGCTGAAGTATACCACGGAAGGATTCCGTCCTGAACGCAATAATCAGTGGGTCCAAGAGCGCGATAGGCTCCTCCGAGTTGCCGAGCCTGCAACAACTGGAAGCCACATGAAACTGAAAAAAGCGACGATACATCTATTTTTGTTGTAGATGGCGCAGACGTGAAAGAAGAGGAGGAGGGAAGTTGCAGGGGTGGCAACCGGAACGAGTGAACTGACAAATTTGTTGACAAGGTTGCAATTCTTCGCACCAATTGGAGTAGCTTGAGGATTGGGAGTGAAACAGCCCGATTAAAAGGCTTCACAAAGTGAAATACCAAAGCCAGACTTACTGGCTAGGACCAAATATCCCGAAAGGCAGGCTGATGCTGCCAACCTGAAAGTATCGAGGTGAGTGAACGCTTTTTGCCTATTATTGGACGAGCAACCTGGAAATGAAGTAGACAGCTGTCGGAAGGTTGACCTTGAAGTAAGCGAGGAGGCGATAATCGTCAACAAAGTTAATCAGGACATCCCAGATAATTACCTTGAGTACAAGAGGACTAGTTAATGTAACCGCTTATGAATTTTAAAAAGACTGACATACTGAAGTAGTGCCCACTACAACATACGTAGCTACAGTTACCTGGAATGCAGTACCCGGCGGCAGGAATGCCACGGGAGTGAAGGGGTTGGGTGGGGCGAGCGTAGCACGCCCAGTGGCACTTCGCATGGGATCGATATAGTCAAGTGCGCTTTCCATCACGGAAAAGTGAGGTGACAATGGAGTGGTCCCATCGACTGGATTTATACAGATTTCCAGAGAAGATGGAGTGCAGGATATGCATCAGTGGTGTAGTACACTGTAAGCTTGCCTCCATTCCCCGTATATTTTTAGGTTGAGACACCAGCAATTTATGACCATGGCCCCAGAAATAAAGGTACCCCGAAGCTTACGCCTACTCACCGTGGATCGGCGTCTGACAACAATTAATGCCTGGAGAAAATCCACAGGTAACAACGCAACCGAGGTCCGAGGTCTTCCCTTCGACTGACATCACACTCTCTGAGACAGTGATACCGGCCCTCATGTTCCACTTCCGATTCCGCGTTTTTACGAATATCTGAGACGATTAATATGGAGAAGAGATGAGAGCGCTAGGGGAGCATCAACACAGATGGGTTGTCGACGGAGCACTTCAACCGTTGCCAAAAGAAGGCGAATTGATCAAAAATAAACACAATATTGCAGTCAAAAAAGAGTGCTGGAAGTAAAAGAATGGTGTTGAATACGGCTCAAGCCATCGAAGATTGATCTAAATATGCTCCATAGGCCGTTGGAGGGACCTGTTGACCACGCTCCCCGCATTCCGCCTCAGTGCTAGTCCTTCGAGAGCTAGGGTAAAAGGCGTCGATGTCCGTCGCTGCCGTGTTGGAGCCGGCCGCCGAGGGATTCTGCACGGATTCGCTTGGCTTGCTATTCTTGGAAGTTTTATCCATTTTGGTCGGCAGTGTCGACGAAACAGGGGCAAATCGACCAAACTTCATGTTTCGGAACAGACGGCACGCCATGATATTCATCATACCGATGTTCGGCATCCCGAACATTGCACGATAGGGGAGTGGAACCGAGTCGATATACCACATTGTTACTGTCAGCAGATTAATGCCAACGGTGCTCCTAAGTATAGTGTCCCATGAGACCCGAGAAAGAGAGAAGATCTGGTACACGCACATGAAGTACGCCTGGCCATTATGTAGAAGAGCCTTGGATAATCTGGGGAGATAATCCCCGAATACCATCATTCGCACCCTGTTCTTCACCGTATTGTCTGTATATGAGCTCTGCAACATGCGCCACACTATTGCGATGTAAATGCAGAAATCATTTGCTGTTGGGATGATAGCCGCTGCTGAGGCGTAGCTGGGGAGAGTGTCGTTGATGCAGTAGTCCGTCAGTCCGAGTTTGTGATAGGATCCTCCAATAACGGCAGTGGCGGAACCCCCGATGACCGCGATCCACATGAAGCTGAAGAACGCGATGATGTACCTGTTCTTATTGTAAACTGCACACACGTGGAAGAAGAGGAGAAGTGACGTTCCGGGGATTGCCACTGGGACAAAGGAGCTGACGATTGTATTGACCAAGCTGCAATTTTCACCGCCGATTGGGGTAGCTGGAAAAGGATCAGTTGATTTAGTAAGTAGCAGCTCAGTGAAGGCCTAGTAAACGCACTATTTATAACCACATAACCAGCAAGGGAAGTGAGGGCGGCAAATCTAACATACCCTCAATAAGCAAAGCCTTGGAGTGAAGCACCACATACCGAGAAATAAAATACGTGATTGTTGGAAGGCCAATTTTGAAACGAGTGAGAAGGCGATAGTCATCGACGAGGTGGCTGAGAATGTCCCAAAGAAGGACCTACCGCCCAGTAATATCAGTCATGTAAAAAAAACAAGAAAGAAAGGAAATACGACGTACAGAGGCGGCGCCCACAAGAATGTACGTAGCAATCGTCACCTGGAGTGCAACATCCGGAGGCAAGAATGCCATAGGCGTGAAGGGATTCGGAATGTCCGGCAAAGTAACAGCAGCCACATCCGTCTCGTTCACCTTTTCCATGCCTGAAGCAGGATGAAAGTGAGAAAAGGAAGAGAAATCGGTTCACACCCTCCTGTGAGCTGTGCTGTACTTAAGTACCTACAGCTCATGCAAGCACGAGGCTGCAGAAGAGGATCATGAATGTTGCTGTGTCGCCTCATATCAGGACTAAATTTGGAGTGATCTATCATGGCTATAATCCTATAATCGCAGTCGCGTCGCGTCGGGAGATTTACACGCTGAAAAGGGGCAAGAAGCGCCTCGCTTGCGATCGGCAGGCGCTGCACCACTGGAATATGTCCCGAACATGAGAGGCGTTATTGCAGTGATATTTTGGGACGACGACCACGCGCACGGTTTGGCAGTTGTAGCCATGTCATACCCGCTCTGGAATCTGTTGATTAAGAAGACACAATAGAAGGCTGTCTCTTGATAGGTACACTTAAGGTGTAGAGTATCAACACGATGGTCGCAGTGGAAAGATAGAGGAAGATCAATCTGATTGAGGTTCTCGAAATCGTGCAACAAGCTAGGGTTGGATCAGCGTCAACGTTCGGAGGTGAACAATTGCAGAAATAATCACCTGGAAAGGAATAGTCCGAGCTGGAGACAGATGGTCATGTCTAAGTCAATTCGTGGTAGACCACTCTCGTGCGCCACACAGGCAAATAAGGCAATTACTCTCGTCTTGATCGCTGCCTCGATCGCCCTGGTCGAGTGCGATCATGAGATAACGATTTTGTTGGAAACCGGTTTCGGTAACTTCGTCGTTTGGAGGGAAGTGTTCTAGGTAAGTCAAGGCCTCGCAGACGAAGAGCAACCAACTGGGCGATAAGGAGCCTAGGGCAGGGTCGGAACTCCTCGTAAAAGCTTTATGAAAGCTATGAGGCTGTACAACTGGTATCGTCCTCAGAGTCATACCGATCCCAAATGGAGGGCCCATACTACCTGTCTGGATCCTGGGTAAATAAGAAAGTTTATCAGAGTGATACGCAAACCGAGGCACATTCCATTCTGCTCGGCGCATATATGCAGAACTTCTAAAAATACAATTGCCCTGTTCTTGTCTCTTAACTATGTAAATTGTTAATACATACATCATACTGGTGTCACTAGCGTCGAAGACCCAGTCCTCACCGATTTATCGAGGCCTCTAGCGGACTCGTCGTCTATGGAAAGACTTCTCCCGACCCTCCCAAGTTCCAACACATCGACAACCAACTTTGCGTCCTGCGCACCTCCAATTCTACAGCTTGGAATAGTGGACAGCGCAGAATTTCGGCCGAAGGCTATGCCAGACGATTGACCTCTCGTGGTGTCTGAGGCAAGAGGCAATTCGTGCGTCGAAAGAACCGTCGTTTCTCTATACACGCCGAATCGAATTTTGCGGTAGACGTGGCAGGCCATGGCATTCATCAGAACGATGTTGGGCACCCCGATGAATGATCTGTATACGATGGGGATGGAGGTATTGTAGAACATGATAGCGGTGACAAGGTTGAGGCTTATTGTCGTCCTGGAAGGAAATATTAAAAGTCATGAAAGAATCAGATCATGTGCGGAGTACGTACAGATAGTAAGCTTGGCCATCTTGCAGGACGGCCTTCGAAAATGCGGGTAGGTACTTTCCAAAGAGCATCACCTTTAGCCCATTTTTTATATTGGTATCCACATAGGTGTTCTGCATGAGCCGCATAGTCGTCGCGATAAAAATAAGCGTGTCGTTGACGAATGGAACGATTGCGGCCGCCGAAACGTATGGTTCCAGACGAGAGTTGATGCAGTAGGCTGTGTTTCCAATGTTAGAACCAGATATACCTTGGGTCGGCGTCAGGCATCCCCCGACCACCGCCAGCCAGGATAGCGAGAAGAAGGCGACGATGTACTTGTTCCACTCGTACATTGCGACGACGCGGAAGAAAAAGAGTAAGGAAGTCATGGGTATGGCGATAGGATAGATAGATTGAACAAGTCGAATGTTGTCGCAGTGTCCGACAGGTGCCGCTGGAGGCCGTTTTCGTCAATAACGACGACGAGAACTGAAAGTTAAGGACTGACTTTCAAGGATTGTAAGTCCTGTGAGGTAGGCCAGACAGCTCCATCTAGCCTTGTCTGAGCATGGGTTACGAAGCAACACGAACTGAACACACCTTGATAGAAAGTACACAATGCAGGATATGTTCATGCGACATTGCGTAATCATCTTGTAGTCGTTATAGAGGTTTGTGACGATATCCCATATGAGGACCTACAAGCAACTGTTGTAGTCTTTCGGGTCTGAGGAGAGCGACACATAAGTACGCACCGCGAGAGACCCAACTAGCACGTAAATAGCAATTGTCACTTGGTACGCAGTGTCCGGTGGTAGGAATGCCATGGGCGTGAAAGGATTTAGAAGCTCCGGTGTCGCGCCATCGTTACTACTCATCACAGGCAGCCTGCGGTAATCCAATGGCAGACTCGGGGTTGGTCAGAGCGGAAAGGATTCAGACGGACGTGTCGGTATGGATGACGATTCCTTTAAATACTTCCGCCATGTGAATGTCATCGAGGCACGGTAATGGTTGAAGAGCGGCCTTCCAAGAAGAATAAGATATATGGAGCACGGCATGCAGGAAGACTTACGAAAGGCTCGCTCCTTGTGCATTGACGGTGGGAAGAAAGTGTGCTATATTTGTAGAGAGGCATGCTCGGCGTACTATCATCTGTACTGCTTTTGACATAGCAGGCGAAGGAGGAAGCGATACGCTGCACATCTTGACCATCAAACATATGCTTCCGCACTGCATGTTGCGCGATACTATGCGTATTCGAAAGGCGCAGGGGCGGCCAATTCGTGGGATGACCTGGGCGTTATGAGGCTTGTAATTGGACAGCTGCGCTTTGCTGGCGGTGTGTCAATGGTCAGTCTTCGCCGACAAGTTTGGGTTGTGAGTTTTCTGTTGTCTTGGGAATGCAACAGCAGTTGTTCCCAGAATTGAGCCACGAAAACGAACCGCAGCCCTTGAAATATGTAACAGAGATACACACGCTGGCGGGGACGTGGACCCAGACGGTCAGCGAAGACTGAAAGTGTTACTCGAGATGTCCGACCCCTTTCGTGAGCTTGACTAAGTCGAAGTCTTGAATCGTGGATTGTTGAATTGATCTTGCGCGGGCGAGGGGGTTAATCATAGCACGAGGTGGAACGGGAGAAATATTTCTTTTCGAGTGCTCCTTCGTCGTCGTTCCTCCACTGTTCGGGTCGATGGTGGGGCCAATCCTGACGGAAGATATAATCTGGATGTCGGACTACACCAGAAAAAGAACTGTTCCTAAATCAGGACGGAGAAAAAACTTGCTGCGCTGGGGTTCCTGGTCTCTCAAGGTACCGAGGCCCTTCCGGCGGGAAGAAGGCCAGATGAGGACGAATCTTGAGGGGGATAAGTGCAGATTGAGAGAGCCATCGTACCCGAGGGTCGGCCGAAATGAAACCCTGGAGCGGAAACCATCCCACCATGGCAAAACACATCGTCATTCGAGTTCCAAAGCCACAATCAGAGGGAAAGGGATGAGGCGACATGCTCCGCCACCTGAGCCATGTTCGTCCACCAAGCCAACCCACCAGACCCGTCCGTCTTCTCGACCGTCGCAATACTGCTCAGGACATACGGGAAACCACCATCCGCACTGGCACTGACGCCTTCGACGAGAGGCAACTCGCCGAGAACGGGTACTTGCAGACGCTCTGCGACTTTATGGAAATTATCCGGTTTTCCTGAAGAATTGTGAGAAGATGTAGGAAGCGAAAAACCGAAGGGCGTACCGAAGAGATATCGCGGAGAATGTGATTCACAGCTGGGGCAGAGGTAGTATGCTTGGTTGAGAATCAGACCGGTAATCTTGGGGTAAGAAGTGAATATCCTTATACACCTCAACGATAAATATGAACGTACCGGCACAGAAACTTTCCTCAACATGGCAATGCCTTTCCTGACATCGGAAAGCGCGACATCCTGCGGTGTCGACACTATCACAGAACCTAGGCTTTGTGTCAAACCCTCCGCACTACGTTAGAAAGACATTAATTCACCATCAACCGAAACCAGCTGCCCCAACGTCAGCGGCACGTCACCCGTGCCAGGCGGCATATCAACGACCAGTACGTCAAGCCCTTGGCCTTCTTTCGACCAGTCTACGTCGAACAGAAGTTGTTGGACGGCCTTTTGCACCATGAGACCTCGCCAGACGATTGGAGTGTCTGTGTTGTCGCCAGTCGAAGAGGAGAGGAGAAATCCCATCGACATGCAAGGTAGACCGTGATTGGTTAGTGGTAGGATGGCTCCCTCTCGAGGAAAGTCAGCAAGGGAATTGGTAGGAAGTTGGTCGAAAGTACACACTGCTTGTCAACTCTGGCTCGCCAGCATTCTGCAACCCCATGAGTGTCGGGACTGAAGGTCCGAATATGTCGAGGTCCAGTATGCCCACTCGAAGTGGCGCTTGCGTCTGCTGGTTTTTGCGGAGAGCCAACGCGAATGCGAGGTTAACTGGAAGCGTCGATTAGCATCACACACGTCGCGCAACAGATGCGGAGCTGCTCACGAGCAATTGTACTCTTCCCGACGCCTCCCTTCCCACTGGCGACCGCCACGACTTTCCGGACGTTGGGAATTGGCCGCTTCTCGATGGGTCCCCCTCGACGAGGCATTTGGGGCGGCGGTGGCCGCTTTGGTAGGCCCTGCAGAAGAGTAAGACGACCCCAACAAAGAGCGCGATGGAGCTCACTAGTGGATTTTCATGTCTACGAAAGCACGAGGTGGAGAGAAATCGAGAAACTCGAGAGCTGAGGGAAGTGCGTCGATGCAACATGACACACTGAGAAAAAGTTGGACGCGGTTCTTGGAAAGTTCGCATCACATGGTTCCTTCACGTCGCGTGGCTCGCAAACTTCGAAAACTATAGGTTCACTCGTAACTAGCCATCAAGTACTCTACATAAAAACGATACAATGGGTATATCTACGAGAAATTACGTCACAGCTTCAGGCTGTTCTTAGACATCTCGATCATCAAGGTCTTCGACTTGAGCAAGCTGGAAAGCCAGTCTCCGATAGAGATTCCCCAAAGGATATCGAAGTATCCAGCGCCACCATTCTAAACAGGTGATTAATCTAGAGACATCATAGATTCAATGTGTAGAAACACACCTTTCCGTTCGTGATGACAATCAACTCAGTGGAGCCCTTGTAGTTTATCAAGCCCTTAGGGTTCTCGCCGATGAGAGAAAGCGCGTTGTTCACGATGATGGCCGCATGGTTCGGAGCCTTCGCTGCCTGCTTCTGTTCCGCATAGTCGATGACGTCTCCAGCTGCGAAGATACGCGGGTGGTTGGCGAGCTGTAGCGTGGGCTTGACCTTGACGAAGCCGGAATCGGTGAGGGTGTCAGAGCCAAGGCTCTCGATGAACTTGGTGTTGGGCCGAGGACCACGAGTAGGAATCTGAAAGGACGTAACACGATCAGTATTGTGTACGTGTCCTGTTCCACTTGCAACGATGCCCGAGGTGGTTGTCTGTGAAGCCTCGGGTCGAAGCAGTCACCTCTCAAACCGCGTGAGGAGCTTCTCAACGTAACATCCGCGAGAGCACAGAGCTATGATCAGCATCCACAACGCTGGCTCGTTGGATGAACCTCACAGCGTCGATGGCTCGGCATTGGCAAAGAGAAGAAACAAACATACCACAAGATCAGCCTCAACCGCTACACCCTTTCGTGTAGTGATCTTGCCCTCCTTGGGTTCAACGTCGTCGACGAAGTCGTCCTTAATAACTTTGACACCGCGCTTGACAACGCGCCTCTCAATGTCCTTGCGGAAGCGGTCGGGATAGGTTTTGTTCAGCAGGAGAGCATCGCCTTGAACGATGGTAACAGGTTTATTCTGTTGACCATTAATCCTGATTAGATTCCACAAGAACAACAAACTCACCGGCCACTGGTCCTTGAGCTCGCCAGACAGCTCTACACACAGTCAATTAGATTGAGCAACAAAACCTGGAAGCCTGAACTCACCGATACCGATAGCCCCTCCGCCAACGAGAGCGACACTCTTCGCTTTCGCGAACTTTTCGCGCCAGTCCTTCGTCCATTGCAGCTGCCCATCCACGCTCTCCGGGAAATCAAGCGGGCCCTCCCACTTGCTTCCGGGCGCGAGAACAAGCACGGAGAACTCGATCTTCTCGCCGTTGTCCAACGTGACGAATCGCCCTTTCGTCTCGTCGTCTTCGATGGAAACAACCTTGGCGAGCACGACCTTCTTGTTCCCCTCGTTGAAGCTCTCTGGGAATGACATGAGTGCGTGTTTCTCAAGCTCCCCTTCCGCAGTCACCACCATGCGAATAGTGGCAGGCAGCGACGTGTAGTGGGGACGAGGCGTTACGAGGATGATTGAGGTCGTCGTGGACGTGGCGAGTTTGGCGGTCAGGCCATTGAAGACGTTAAGACCTGCGGTTCCGCCGCCGACGATGACGATGTTTTTTGAAGACATGGTAGGGATTGAGGGAAGAAAAGTGAAGAATGTTTTGCAGACATGCTGGACTTTAAGAAGGTTGTGATACGCGCAGGCAACAACCTCGTAAGCATAGTCATCTATTTGACGTAATATCGTCAGCAGCATTTGTCAAAGTCATGTGGAAAAGCTAAATTTGGACAAGTGAATTAGGGGCCTGAAGCAAACCTGGAGGCGTCATTCTCGAAAGGACGACAGCTTCAGTTGTTGCGAGCGAGGTAAATGCGAGGATGTTTGGAGAAATGACGTTACGACTGGTTACGAAGAACCCACAAAGGCCTTTCGTCTTCTGAAACAGAATGGCGTGGTAAGGGATAGCTGGATGGACAGGAAATATCCATCGTTGTCGACATCACTTGAAAGAGGACGTCTGACCAAGCTGTATCAGGGTTCTGTCTTCCAAACTCTTGAGAACGCCGTGGCTGACGGCAGTTATTTTCATACTGAGATGGTGTGGGCGCGGGCGCTGTGTTCCAGTTATACGTCAAAGTACTTCAATGCAATGGAAGACGCGGGTAAGGTAAACAGGGAAAGATATCAAATCAAGCATCAGACCTCAAGGCCTCCGGCCTCAGGCCTCAGGAACGGGTTCTTCGGTCGGTATCTCTTGCAAGTGTCGGGCTACACACCATTGAATGATTGTATTATCATTAGATCAAGGAGGGCCGCCAAAAGAAAGACAAAACAAGAAAAAAAAATAAGAGACAAGAAGCCGAAGTACGAATTAAAAAGTAAAGACTGTAAATCCGAAGGAATGTATTCGTAATTTGCTAGGAAGGGGTAGGGTTCATTGTTCATTGGGGAACGAACGAAGAATGAGCGTTGAGTTCAGACTTTCTTGATCCTGCACAAGAAATATGTGCGATTAGCTCTCCGAGCAAAACGGGACAAGAAAGGAAGACTTACTCGGCGGCAGTGATAGTATCTTCTGTCACCGAGACAGCAGCGGGAAGGTTGGCAGGGCAGAGTAGGTCGAGGACTCCTCGCTTGAAGACAGGTACGGGTGTAACTGAGCGAGGAGCACGGGCGCCGAAGCGAGAGAACGACCTGCGGTGGTAGGGAAGTGAAGGAACTTCGCGCTTGGTAGAGACGGAATCGCCGAAGCAGCGCTAGAAGAACGGTGAGACGGAGAATAGTAGACGAAAAAGAAGAAATCTTACCTTGAACAGCTCGAACCTTTGGCTGAAGAGCGAAATCGAAGTCTCGGGGTTGAACAGACCGAAGAAGTCAGCGTTGGCACCGACGTTGACATCAAGCCCAGCGCCAATCTCGAAGCATCCACCAAACGAAGCGCTCGCCGAGGTGCTGATGTTCGTCTGTCTAGCAGCAAGCTCTGCAGCCTCAGGGGCAGGGGCAGGCTCGGGTGAGCGAACAGCAATATCGCTCGAGTCGAGAGCGGCAGCACGGTTCCAGTAGTGGTGTCCGGGCGAGGTGATGCCGCGCATCATGACCTTCTCTTGCTTTTGCTTCGCAGGCTTCACGACGACTTCACCGTTGGCGGAGGCCTCCAGACTGAGCTTCATAAATGCCTGGCCGTCAATGTCGAGGAAGACGCCAGCTCCGACGACACCGCCAAGAGCAGAGATACCAAGGTTGATGCCAGGAATAAGGTGGGCCTCGAGGGTGCCTGTGGCAGCGATATTGGGGCTAGCTGAGAGCTTGAGGGCTGTAGAAGGGTGATAAGGGATCGCATATATTTGCAACTACAGAGCGAATACTCACGAGTGTCGCGGACGGTGAAGGTTCCGTTGGAAGCGCGCTCGCTGTTGGGAGGGAAGACGAGCTCAGCCTTGTCGATCTTGTAGCTAATTCCGACGGTCATTCCAAGGTTGAGGTCGAGCGATGCCTTGGCCTGCGCATTGAGCTGGAAGGATGGGCCAATGGTCAGGATACTGCATGGAAGGATGACCGTCAGATTCGGTCTGCATGACAGGTGAAGGAAAAATTGCAACGTACCCAGGGAAGTTGAGGCCGGGAATAGCAGCCTCGAAGAGCAAGATCTTTCCAGAATCAAGGGTACCGGTGACACCAGCATTGACAGTGAGATTTCCTTGGAGGTCAGCATTCAAGGCTAAAAACAGACGTCAGAACATCAAGTCTACAACGCTATCAGAGAGCGTACTGGAGATGATGGCAAAATCGTCGATCAGAGGTGGGATGATTGTCCCACTGACAGCGACGCCCAGAGCAACAGCAGCGGTCGCACTGGCACCAACGTCAACCTTGATGCTCGCAGCGACAGGAGGGCAGTCGAGGCTCTCGTCAATCAAGTTGAAGTTCTTGTCGACACCAACATTCAGGACGTTTCCGGACTTCTCGACATCGAAGGTGTTGAGTTTCTTGATGGCTGCGAGAAATCAGATCAGTCGAGAGCTCAGTTTGACACTTGCAGGGTGTACCATCAATGGCTTTCTTCACGAAATCGAAGAATCCACGGTCTTCATAGCGGCCGTTGCTGCGACGTTGAAGGGGGGTCACATCGAGCTCTCCCTCGGCGCCAGGGACGTTGGCGGCGCGGATGGCAAAACCGACGGACGCAGCACCCTTCCGAGAGGGGCCCTTGTCGAATTCGGACGTCAAAGACAGAGCTTTCACTTCAGGGACGGTACCATCACGGCGCATCAGGCGGGGAAGAAGGTTGGACGGAATCGATTGATCCTCCGGGACCCAGGCGTCGGTGACAAGTGAGAAGGGAGATGAGCCGCACTGGATGCATATTAGCATATATATTTCTGCACAGCTTGAATAAACGCGTACGTTTTCGGGCAGTCGGACTACCTTTCCTGATGCTCCTGCGTCCCCGTAGAGGCGATCGCAGTCCGCCTCGGAGCCTTCCTTGCACACAAGACGAATGTCTTGCGTGAGAGTGCTCGGATCGCACCCAATGATCTCCCAGCCACCAGCAGTCGTAATGTCAGCAATGGAGTTTACACTACCGAACTTGAATCAAGACACCGTATGAGAAGAATATCCAATCCGATCGAAAAACTGGGCTCACAATCTTAACAGTGCCGGAGGCTGAACCAGCTGCGGCGGGAAGGTCTGAAAGGTGATGGATATCATCAATAACAGAACGACAGACAACTCTTGAATGGCGCACCATACTCGCAAGTCCCTTCAAAGCAGGGCTTGCTCCAGTCGTTAGCGGCATGTACGGCGGTTGAGACAGCAAAAAGAAGAAGCAGGTTTTGGAAGGCCATTACGAAGGATACACCAGCGGACCACAGGAGAAAGAATAAAGTAGACCGACCCGGGTCAGACGCGAAGGACGATCAGAAAGAAAGTGATGAAGGGAAGAACGAACGAACGAACGAAAGACCTGGGAACAGGGGAAAAAGAAATTATTGAAGAGATAGGCGCCAACCCCGCGTCTGTTATATATCTCGGACGACGAGTGCGACTGCCGACGATCCATTGTGAACACATGGCGTCCGAGTTGAGGACTTGCAGATATATCAAACACGATGAGAAGAAGCGATGCGCGTTGTCGGCATCGCCTGCCAGAAATGAGCGAGCACAGGTTATTTAAATGATCGTCGTCATCATCGAGGTCAACTCGACGACGACTGACGTCGGTCCCGGAGCTTGGCAAAGACCTGACGACCTGCGCGGATTTACATAGGTGACTTTCCTCAAGAGGAACCTTCTCATTATGACTGCGAACGCACCATATGGCATATCTTTAGTCGAATACGCGATTCCTTCGAAAACCAGATATCGTCCCGCCCTCAAGTACTAGTAGCTGGAACCAAGCCATCTGTCGCAGAAATGAAGTCCGAGATCGTTTCTTAGGCACGTAAATGACATATATTTTGACACGACTGTGGAAGGCCATGAGGTGCAGGCTCAGGTGGGGGTATTTATGTTTGAAAGGACACGAAGGTAAGCTCAAGCCTAAGTTCAGATTGATCCGTCAAGGAGGATACGGCTCCCACGGCATTGATGTGCTGACATAAGGTATGTCCCATATGCCACGGGCGCTCGCCAAAAATTCGCCAAGCGCTCCCAGCACTTATATTTCCCCCACGTTCTCCCTTGCCATTGAAACTTAACAACATGTCTCTAAGACTCGATAGTGTCCTGACTGCATCCACTGTGGCGGTTTTATCACCGCACTTGGTTTCCTGCACCGCACAATCGCAATTTACGAGGGTTCACTTGGAAAGCAACCTTTGCACCCCAAAAATCTACGGAGAGACACGAGCGCTGTTGTCGACACGGACATCTAAAGTTGGCGCTTAACTGCATCCTGGACTTGTAAGCCTTTCGTACCAATGTCTTGGAGAACTCTATGATTTACCTACCAAATCAGCTGCGAAAATCCACGGGCTTGACAACACGAGACGTCGTCCTTGTTTCAAATGACTTTGCCCGAAGGAACACATACTCACGCGGCATGGTGTGGAAAAAAGTGTCTATCTCGATGTTGGGTGCGAACCTCGTTTCCGGGCCCGGACACGTAATGATAATAATATCCCTCGTCGTCTCTCTGATATCGTGCATATATTCCAGCCTTTGTAACCCTCACAAATGACCTGTGGCAGACCCAATGGTGTGTGTAGAGGATGCTTGTCTGCGGACGATGTACGAGCCGTCGGAGCGATCGTCGGAAGTCGGAGAAACGAATCCATCTCCTCTTTCCAGGTTGTTGGCTCCTTCTCTCTGTTCGTCTATCAGTCTTCCTCGTCGCCGTGTTCCACCTGCACCGATCCATGGTTGTTTCTATCAACGTCGGCGCCCACCCAACCAGTGTGAAACCGATGGAGTGGACGCAGTGCGTCCGGGGGCCTATCTTAAGCTCACCGGCAGGGAATTGGTAGGGCGCTCCGTTGACGAATATGGCTGCATCCTGAGATACCGACAGGCTACCGAGTGGCAAAGGCCCGCAGACGTGGGAGGCGTACTCGGGCGCTCCGCTATGTTTCTCTGGCTTTGGACAGGGAAGACGAAATGGAACAGCTTGAATCACAATCCTTGGTCTCGCCTCTAGCTCGCTTGTACTGTCGACTTCTTGGATCTTGATAATATAGGCAGCCCAGCATGTCCAACCTTCCAAACGTTGTGATCGTCGGAGGGGGAGGCGCAAATGCCCAAGTCGCACGCCTTCTCTCCTTGAAGCTGAACCCAACAGAAGTACAACTCCGTCCTCGTCACTGCGCGGCCGTACTACCCCCCCAGCATGGATCCGGGCGTCCGTCACAGAGGAAGGGAACCTCGAAGAACGGGCTCATATCCCATATGATCGCCTCTTCGGCCACGGGCATGGGAGGGTGGTTCTTGGGAAGGTCAAAGAGATCTGTGCGGAGGAGGGCGAGAAGGGTGGGTCGTTGACGTTGGAAAATGGAGAGAAGGTACCTAATGAGGTGCTGGTGCTGACTCTGGAGAGCTTGGGAGAGAGCCCTTTAGATATTTCGGACACGAAGAAGGAAATGCTCGAGCATCTGGCAAAATGGCGGCAGAACTTCAAGGAGGCGAAGGACATCGTTCTGGTCGGCGGCGGTGCTGTGGCTCTGGGTACGCATGAAGACCTGTTTCTCAATGACGCATATTCCAATTATTTCCGCAAGGACATGCTCAAAAGCATCAGCAAACGCGGTGTCGAAGTTACTCTGAACGACAAGATTGACGACTTGAACATCTTCGAAGGCTTGTCGCTGACCTTATGGTACGGTGTCCTTCTTTCCCGCTGGCGTCGCTCATCTCGATGTCACTTATGAGGTACCCTGCCGTGGTCGACGCCCAAACACCCACCCTCTCCGCTGGCACGCTCTCCCACACGAAGCACATCCGGGCGTCTTCGACGCTCCAGGTCTTTAATTATCCACGGATCTTCGCTGGCAGTGACGCAATAGAGTGGGGCGAGCAGAAGCAGGTCAGCAAATGGGCCGCTCATGCGTCAGTCATGGCGGAGAATGTTGTGGCGGTCCTCAAGAAGGAGCAGCCAAGAGCTTTGTATCCTGGGCCGCATGAGATGATTGTGATTCCGAATGGAAAGGTGCGTGTATTTTGGGTTTTACGGAAGTAGGCGTCTGACTGAATTCGAATTTTGTGATGTAGCATGGAGACTAGCTACTGGAGTATTTTCTGGGGACCAACGTTCGGTGCTTGGGTGTCATCCACAGTGAAGTCCAAGGATATTCTCCTTATTGTTTAGGTTCTTCTTCATAAACGTATTCATGCATACGGCTTCCCAACGGCTTCACCATTGCGATGTTGGAGTGATGTCCAACTACATATTATGCGTGTAAAATACTTAGAAATATTGCACCCTATTTCGCCTACATTTCTCTCTACTTGAAGTCTGAAAAAAAGGTCGTTTTATATGTTGTTCGCGTCGTGAAGTAACAAAGGGGTTTTTTTTAACGACAATCGTCACTCAATCGCGGAAGACCGGCCCGATTACAACCAACATTAGACCGAAAAAGGAAACCCGTCGGGCTCGGTTACGAATCCAGCCACTTGTGCTTTCCTACAACCACCATCCACATACCCCCTTGCACTTTTTATTCCCCCTTCTTTTCTTTTCTCATATATACCACTATCTTTCTCTATATCTTTGCCGCCGGTCAATGAATTTCTTCAAGACAAAGCCAAGAACACCCCCAGATCTTGTCCGGGGCCTTCGTGATGCTATAAACCGATTGGAGAGCGGCGCACCGGGAGGAGAGACAAGGAGGAAGGTATGTGGTATCTGAGGGTTGTCGAGGTTGTGAATAAGGGACTGGATTCTGTCATGTTACTTACGCGTCATACATCCCGTGCAGGCCATGGAGGATGTCTCAAAGAATCTGCAGCAGATTAAGGGCATCTTGTATGGGGACGGTGGTGGGTGATTCCTTGATGACCATCTCTGACTCTATCTGACGACTCTGTCTATCCCTCTCTCAGAACCAGCGCCAGAGCTAGTGGCCCAGCTTGCTCAAGAGACCTACAACACCGATCTACTGCTGCTTCTTGTCCAGAACATCTCACGTTTTGAGTTCGAGGCAAGGAAAGACGTCGTTCAGATCTTCAACAACCTTCTGCGGAGACAAATTGGATCACGATGGCCGACAGTCGAGTATCTTTCAGGGAAGCACGATGTGATCTTTGCAGCTCTTGCGGGCTATGAGAATGAAGAGGTGGCATTGAACACGGGAATGATCCTAAAGGAGATGTTACGGCACGAGCAGCTATGTAAGATTCTGCTCTACTCGGACCAGTGAGTCCATCATACTCTTAGCTTGTCATTTGACATTTATGGATCCCCCTCTTCGTGTTCTAGGTTCTACAAGTATCCTCACTACATCGAGACGACGACGTTCGGCATCTCATGCGATGCATTTGCCAATCTGAAGGAAACGCTAACGCGGCATAAACCCATGGTCGCAGAGTATCTCGATAAGAACTACGACCGAGTACGGGTCTCCGTTCGTTGCTGTGTTGCCCAAACTGACTGAACGTCCTCGTTTCAGTTCTTCTCCTCTTTCACGACCCTCATCCTGTCGAACAACTACGTCACGAAGCGACAATCGCTGAAGCTCCTGGGAGAAATCCTACTAGATCGCGCCAATTTCAATGTCATGACGCGATACATCGCCAACGAGGGGAACCTGAAGATGATGATGAACCTCCTCCGGGACAAGAGCAAGAACATTCAGTTCGAGGCGTTCCATGTGTTCAAGGTGGGTATATGCGTGCCTTGAGTCATTTTTTGCAGAGGCACGGATCTCAATTTGTCTTGCAGGTATTCGTTGCCAACCCCAAGAAGCCGCCTCAGATCGAGAGCATCCTCCGGCGAAATAAGGAAAAATTGCTAGCGTTCCTGAAGTCGTTCCATAACGACAAGGAGGGTGTGTTTTCATTTTTTCAAACATAGATTGACGCAGATACTCATCGTATGACGTGTAGACGAGCAATTCAGTGACGAAAAGCAGTTCCTCATCGTCCAAATTCAGAGCCTGTGAACGCGCTGCTTCATCATTTTATGTCCTCCTGTGGAGGAGGGTGTGACCCCTCTCCGCCCACCACTACCACCCGCCGCACTCCTTAATGGGATCCGTATCAATCCCGAATATCATATTCCACTTGGCTCTCCGTACCCCCGTTCCTCTCCTTTTCTGGTCCATCCTTCCCTTGTTTTGTCATATAATCTTTCTTTAATACCTGTACCATCGTTTGCTCGTCGTTGAATTTCCATTTTGTTTTCGGTTCCGTTCGCTCGCTGTGTTTTTGCTCTCGTTCATGCTCCCGTCAGTATCGACGTCATTTTTCATTTCTGTCATTGAGTCCGGCGGCCTTTTGTCGTTCTTCCGTGGACGGGTCATACTTGGACCATTCCTCTTCGACCATCCCTCATCCTTGTCTTTCACCTACGTTCATCGTCTTTCCTTTTCGTTCGTCATCCCAAATTTTGTCGGTTGAGGTGCTCAGAGCCAGACCAGCCGTCCTCCGACATTCTCCTGGACCGCATGTCCGCGTTCAATCCAGATATGGAGCATTCACATTCCTGGCTCATTCTGCCTACTGCTTAGAACATGTACTCTACGCTTAGTAAAGTGGGTAAGATCGAAGCACTATGCCATGGACGTGATACTTGGATAACGATGATGAGGTCACTCAACATATTACTCCACTAGTTGTTGGTCGATCTGCATTATATAGAGGACTCAAAACGTTGGTTAGATGCTACCAAATCAAGCGGCGGGTGTATAGTCGTCTAGCTCTTTGTAGGTGCTCATGCCAACGCTGGGTACATGCCTCGGCCCACCTGGGCAAGTTGTCGACGAGATCATGACTCGCGGTAGATACTTGAGGCAAGGACTCATAGCGAATGTGGAACGCTCACGCTTTGAACCCTTCTCTTGAAGCGCGCAGCGCTTCCTTGACGGTATACTCCTGAACTCTTGGAAGCTCAACAAACTCCAAAGGCTTGGGGGACCATCGGTGCTGAGAACTTGGAAGCTCAGTTTGGTATTTCATTCTGTTGTCGAATGAGTGTTGAGTATTGTCGGCTCCAAGATGCAGAGGATATCAAAGAGACTCTCACGTGGAAAATAAAAGTATGTTGTCGAGAAGTTCTTTTAGCAGGGGAAGCAGCCTTGCATCGTCTTCTGCAAGACAATCTGGCAACTCTTGGGCGTCTAATATCCTTGTCTTTAGGAAGGTAAATCGAGACTCCAAGGTCAATAGGTATAACCATACCTGGAGACACTGATAAACCCCAATCGTTTCGCATCGCAGATTGCACGAACCAAAGGTTGTGCAGACATGGCTATACCCGTGTGTTGCATTCACGAAGCGGACGTAGCTTAGCAGCCGACGAGGGCTCGCGTTGGAAGCGAAATTCCTCCAGTGAGAGGTTGCATATTGGTATGCCCTACGACAAGTAAGATGAAAGTGCGAGAAATGCGATGGCTAGGAACGCACTCTTCAATTGCTGTCGTGTCAAACGGCGACGCTGTGGGACGGTATTTTGAGATGTACGTCCTGAGATACTCAAGACAGTAAATCGTCAAATCCGCGTACGACTGTGGTGTCTGAGGATAGTAATCTCCGCAACGTGTGGGATCATCAAGATACGCCTTGATTGCTTCACAATTGAACTTGAAATGTGGCCTGAATAACATGTAGGGTCGGAAACGGAAAGTGGCGCGGCTGAATTCGCGCCAACTCAGGTGCAACAGAGCCTCCATGGCAGCCGAAGAGGGAGGAGTGATTTGACTAACACACATAAAGAGAATGGCCGCAGATTGGCCCACGACGCCCGCAGGAGGTGCAACATTGTAAGACAAACCCCTCTTTCGAAAGTATTCGTCAATAAGCCGTATGAAGAGCCTAGCCTGACTTTTTGCCCGTGGATTGCTTGATGCAAGAAGGCGTGATGCTAAGTTGTGAAATAGGTCTAAAGACCTGAAACCGACTTTGTCGATGTCTTTGCAACTGCCAGCTTCCCCTGATGTTGCACTCCTTACCCACTTATAATAGGTTTGACGGTCTACCACTGTGAGATCCGTCAAGATGGCCAAGCTGTCGTTAACTTGACTAGCGTGGCCCAGCCAATGTTGTGCAGCATAGTTTGATGCTTCTGAGTCATCTGTGAGCAGAATTGTCAGAATTATCAGTCCGAAACGATGAAAGGCTCAATAATCCACAGTATATGCCCACCTTCGACAGTCTTGGGGTTTATTTCGCCACGGTGAAACTGATATAGGGCATTCCAGACAGATCCTGAAACCGGTCGTGAGTCGACTCGTGACAGGCAGCAGAGGCAACAATGCGAAAGATCAGTATGGACGACGTCGAGAATGATGGAGAACATCCCTGCTCTTTGCGGATCGAACAGAAAGTCGCCCAAAGAGGTATGGTATAGGCGAATATATCTTTCTGAAGACGAAGAATCTGGTATGTGGAGCAGCGAGTGAAGATTGCAAAGAGCCAACTCGACATCTCCCGGGTTTAATTCCAACAGGGCCTCGATTCCTGGAACAGAGAGGGAAGTATTAAGACATATGATAGCACCTAAGACTCGCAGCGTGAACTTGATGTCAGAGACTGACTTGAAGATGTGACGATAAAGGAGATCCAACTCTACGAACGGTGATGAGTCGGGGTCAGGAGGAATCAAATTGCCCAAGATTGTGTCAAGTCGTGTGGTAGGCAGCTGGTGTCGAACATCGACGTACCGAATGACAGTGGCCGCATAAATAAATTGGCCTGAGGCCCGCGCTACTAACTGCTTCACAGCTGATTCTGTGGGCCATGGAAGCGGTAAGGCGGACATAGAGCGATTCCGCCGGTGCTTCCGGAAGATTCCCGCAAAGCTGCTCCGCAAATATGTTGCAATGTCCTGGTCAGCATCATACGTGTCACTGAGGGCGATGCGATGCGTTGTTGAGTATAATTCGTTGTCAAAAACGTCAAGGATCGCAGGTTCCATGCGACTGGCAATGAGAATGCGGAAAGGGAATGATTTGCGGTTCACCGCGCTGTGCAGGAGGCGAAGAATGGAGTTGTGCGACTCTTCTGGTTGACATTCATCCAAGCCGTCAATAATGATGAGCTTGCACCAAGACCTGGTGGTTAGACGAGCCGCCGCTTGTTGAATGGGGGATGTGATGAGGTGTCGGAGTTGCACAGCCAATGACTTATCCAAGATTGATGGGTCGTTGAGAATTTCTGCTGTAATGAAAGGCTTAATAGCCTCACAGGAGTGTGCAATTTGGTAGGCGAGGGTAGCAATGAATCGTTTATCGTGCCCGGTTTCGAGTCCTCCTCTTGAAAACAGGAATGTGGCTGCCAGATCGCCAGACTCGTGATACTTTTCGGCGACAGTTTGGCATATAGAGGTCTTGCCAGCCCCAGCTGGACCGTGCAGCCACAAGACATCCTTGTCAGGTTCCTCCTGCGTGACCCAACTCGTGATATCTGCTAAAACAGCTGTACGTGTATCAGGATGACATCGAGGAGGATTTGAGCGTTCAATAGAGTCGTGCATTGCCCCATTGGCGATATGTCGGTACAGATATGCCATTCCTAGCTTCTGTTCAGATTTTCCGGGAGGTAACTCTTCCAATACTTGACTTACCGCGACGTTCCTCCTCAGTTTGGTCATGATGAAAGACCGTACCGATGGCATTGAAAGACCCTCCGTATACGGCGACATTCTGGGCATTACTAAAGAAAGAACCCGTCTTCTTTGCGGAGTGAGCGATTGTACGTGTCTTTAGAGCCCAGAGACAACACCCACTAATTTTGTGTTATCCTTGGCATTCGTAGTTGGGTTCATAGCCTGAGGCTCATAAGGAGGGGCCACTTCAGCAGCAACTTCTGTACTTGTACTAGGTGTTGTAGGATCCGTATCTTGGAGGGAGTCAGTCACCATTAATGCCCTTCCTTCAAGACTCGTTGCTAGGTGCGCCCGGGAGAGCCATTGACCAAATCGCACACGATAACGTCGTAGCTTCGAGTTTTTTGGGGAGGGGGTCATGATAGCGCACATAAGCTGGGGGTCCAGAAAATTTGCATGGGGTGCCGCCGGAGAGAAAGATAGGCAAGATGGTGATTGTTAAGGATCAAGTTTGCTGAAAGCAGCGTTTTCGGGCTTGTCACGTATCACGTGGGAGTCACGTCGCGTCCCCTCCGCGGTTACTAGTCACGACGATCATTCACTACAAGTACGGAACAGAAAGTACCACGACAAGTGTTGTCCTCTCGACTACAGTCATCGAATTCATGTCACAACCTGATGGTACCCTCGAAGGCTTCATAACATCCAAAAAGCCCCAACCAGAGCCATTGGCGACTTCTCAAGAAGTCCGTGACCGGGGTTCCATCTTCGTCGGGAACATCTACCGCGCTACGACCCCGGACGAGGCGCAGACTCGCGTCAGGCACCTCAAGCATTTTGTGCACCGGTCTCGTAAGGCCACACATGAGATTGCTGCATGGAGGTGTATGGTTCTCAAGCCTGGGCGAACCGGACTGGATGGGCCAGATGACTTTGAACTCAAGCAGGGGAGCAAGGACGATGGTGAGAGTTGGGCAGGCGGGAAGGTGCTCAAGGTCATGCAGAATATGGCTGTAATTGATGCGGTGGTCATTGTCAGTCGATGGTGAGTCTTTTCGCGACAGTTTACTCTGGGCTACTCACATTGTGATCATCCGAATTTCGAAGGTACGGTGGAACTATGTTAGGCCCTGCTCGATTTGCCCATATTGAAACATGCGCTGAGGAGGTATGCAAGGCGTTCAAACGTACCGAAGAGCTGCAGGATCATCTCACAACTCTGCGTACACTCGACGATATTCTGTCAGACCTACGCAACCAATTATCTACTCTAAACCCAGAGCCACCTTCTGACTCACTTTCCAACCCAGAATCGACCCCAGATCCTCCAGATCCATCTCCTTCAAAGGATCAGAACTCAAGGAAACCCGATTACGGGGGACTGGATGTCACGAAGGCCAAACGGCTAATCCAGGCTAGAGAAAGCTCGATCAAGAGCGTTAGGGCACTCATCGCAAAAAAGTCAGAGAAAATCTAGCGTTTTCTGGATTCTCATCCAGCTCCTGTTCCCTGTTCCATCGATGTTGGCGAACGCACATCCAAATTACCACCCTGCTGTTCGCATGAAGGAGACGACAATGGCTTTTCTTCGACCCAAAGCACGCATTACAGTCTAACCATCATCCATGATGCCAGGAAGTCCTCATCCACATGCTCCCCAGTCCTCGATATCAAACTCATTGGTCAAACACTGGTACATGACACATGAAGCTTCAAGCGCTGTAAATAATTTGGTACCTGTTACATTGCTGTCATATCTGCACACCGGATAAACGTGCCCGTAGATCATTCACACTCATTAGCTGCGCCTTTCGCTCCTCCTCCGCAGATATCTGGTAGATCTCGGCTGTCATCTTCCTCGACATGCAAAATGTCTGCAGCCCTCCCAAGTATGCTTGGTCCCAGAGCTCCTTCACATCCGTCTGCTTCACCATGAACCCCACTTCGAGGTGTCTCGGAGACACGACCCCAAGTGCTTTCTTCAGAGCGTGGATCTGATAGTTCAGCCCTCCGCCACTCGTGATAGGTGTCTGGAAAGCCAGACATAAGGACTCGAGTCCAGGCAGCATCTTCCCTCGTGTACCTCCTCCAACCATCTCTAATATCTCCAGAGCCTGCATTGAGTTCACGACAATTTCAAGATGGGTGACCGTGTCCAACTTCGATGCCAGGTAGTTGAAAGCGGTGGGATGGACGCCCTTGAGGGTCAAGTGCCGTATGGGGCACTCGGAGCGCGTCACAAACGTCTGAAATGTCTGCGGCTGGGCGGTCAGCAGCATCTGGTGGTCCTCGATCGTTAGGCTCGTCAGCGAGGGACAGACGAGATCTGCGAGGATCCGACCGCAGTGTTGGGCGCAGTTGACGATGGAGAGCTCGCGGAGCTGGTCGAGCTTCACTGCCGTCCCTGTTGGAGGGAAAGGGGAGTACGGTGCGAAGGAAATGTTCGAGAGCGTGAGTTTGGTGAGGTTCGCGGAAATATCCGTGAGGCGTCCCCAGAGCTGAGCCGGATGGATCCCTTCTATATGCTTCAACGTCAGTTCACGGATCTGCTGCCATGGGAGGTCTAATGCTTGATGAAAGTCCAGCAGGTTGCATAGGGATACTTGGGTGAGTGTGGGTGACTGAAGGAAGAGGGCTCGACAGTGCCCATCCGCGACATCCATGGAGTGTTCCCGGCCAACCTGCACCTTAACTGCGCGAAGAAGAGGCAGACGCCCCTTGATTTGTTCGACCTGCTCGACCGCCAAATTGGAGAGAGGGAAATGGAGCTCAATGGATCGCCACCGTTCAGAATGTTGGCCGACGATCTCCAAGATTGTCCTGATCGCCCTGGAGTATGCGTTCGACTTGTCTCCCACCCTGATCGTCAATGGCCGTGTCCCAGACCTCTCCAAGCACAACTCCAACTGCATCTTGAGGATAGGCTTGGTGCCATAGCGGCTCGATCCGCGAGTCGCCTCGACGTCGATGGTGGACCACAATGCATGATATGATTGGGAAACGAGGCACCAGCGCGAGCAAACGAGCTCGAGTTTCCAGGGAGACTCAGTAGCCTCGGTGTCGGCGGAAAGAATGTTAACTTGGCCTACATATACTGCTGGGTAGGCGAGGAGGAAGATGGCTTGGAGGATTTCGGTAGGAAGATCGTTGACAGGCGCTCGTCGCGACCTGGGCCCTGTAGGGCATTTATCTCGCCCAGCCTTGGACCTGTATGGGTAGTCTTAGTGTCAGCTCCCCATGAAGTCAACAGGTTCGTGGAATCTGACTTGTAGGGGAAGATGTCGCCCATTGCATCCCAGGTAGAGACCCACGGATGTGGGAGGGCAGCAGGACCCATTCTAGTGTTGTTATGAGACCTTGCTGACGGGTTAGGGTAGATGGGAGAATTCGTGCGCTACAGGCAGATAGAAACAGTCCATGGCCTCAAGGTCTTTGGATGAGGCCAAAACCTGTGCAAGCACCTCCGCTGCAGACTGAAGGAGAAAAGTACACGTGATGGTAGACGTTTCTTTAAAAGAAAAAATAATAATTTCCTTGCTTGCAAGGATTCTGGGAGTGTCAAAATTCGTGAGAAACGGGCACACCAGCATTCCGACATCTCAACAAATTAACCGCATGTGACTCAAAAGACAATCTTATCCTTATCACCAAATGCTTCATGCTTCAAAACTTCAAAGCTTCAATGCTCATACCATGTTCTCGCTCTCCTCTTGTAAGTTGTATCAAGCCCAATCATGCTGCTTCTCACACAAGTTCCCGCCCCGAACTCCGTAACAGCGCCATGTCGAGACTGAATAGACTAAGCCTCTCTGTCGGTGGTATCGCTATACCCACGAGTAAGTGGATGTTGTTTCCTTTTCACCGCGTGCTGGACCATCTTACCCCTTACAGACACCTTGATATGACAGGTTGTTGAAACTGGCTCGACCAGGACAACACATTCGTCCAACCCTTCAAGTCGAGTGGCTTGCGTTTGCCTGAACTTGACCAGGAGACATGACGGCTGGCACTTCAAGCGAATGATGGCCTTGTTCCTGTGGCTCAGAGATTCATCAGGATGGAGAACAATTTCACCTCGAGCTCACCATGTTTCCTGTCCCTGGTGAGCCTCCAATGGATGTTTTTCCCTCATTTATATCAGCCACCCTCTGACTGTATCTTCTGCCGTGCAGACGAAGGTGAACACTCACAGGTACTGCATTGTCCCAAGGCTCGACTGTGAAATTGATCCCATGACATGAGTCCTCCCCGATTAAAAGATGAAGGAACTGTATGTGATCGGCGTTCACTGCGCCTTACTGAAGATTCTGGAGAAAGTTGTGTCAGACAAGATCAGATATTATGCCTCGTCGCTCCTTGAAGGCTTCAGGCTTCAATGTAACAGACATCGTAAATTCATTTTTTATTGCCTGACAAATCTGAGCTGAGGCGGTAGATTTCAGGGTTGCTGGGACAAGAAAGTGCACCGCGAACTCGCCTTGCTACAGGCGGAAATTGTCTATTGTCCCTTCAATTCTGCTAGGTGGGCAACATTCTAATTCCACCACAGCAGAAACTCGAGTCTGCGGGTAATGGGTCTAATCCTGCGCTTAACTCCAGCGGTGGGTCTTCATCCCATCAATAAATCACACTGGCAATATGACCATTTCTGATTTTCCAATGCTCACATTTAGGTACTCGATCTGGCCGGTGGTTTACTGAGTCTTCTAAAATTTACTCTGAGACCGTATTTGAGCACGTGGACGAATCGCCAACCAAGACGGCCCATATCCTGAAAGGCATGAAGACTGGTCGGTCCTCTTTACGGGGAGTAACTGACCGTCTGTTCTGGGGTAGATATTATTATTGACTTTAGATCCGTGGTTAGCTGTATGCTTGCCATTATGCTAACTGCATAACGTCTGCGTTGGCTACCTTGAAAATTATTGTAAACAGTTCTTGGTCCGTCAATATACCCAGTCATGAGATTTGTTGCAAGCAAGGTGTGAGCCGCCAGCGGCGGCAAATCACTCTAGTAATAATTTTTTTTTAAATTCTGAGTCCGAGCGAATTGCGGATGTATAAGGGCCGTTCGTTAAAATGGTATGGGCCAGACTAAATAGTATCGACATCGACGGTGCCCCCCTGAGTTCGACATCATTATAAAAGACGATAGGTTTCCTCGGGAATAAATTTCATGCCCTTATCGTTATTTTCTTGATCAGCCCCGTCCCTAGCCGCTCAATCTCTGCAACAACCGCTTCCTGGTTGAATGTAACAAGGCCTTTATCCTTGGCCTTGTCGTTCTCCTGAATCGTAAAGAGCAACGATCGAGTGAGAACAACGTTTAGGGGACAAGAAAAGCTTACCTTCTTGATAGGCACACTTGAGAAACCACCAAGAACTCTGAATGGACGCGATTCTTTCAGTGTTGGATCCCAAACGATACCGAATTTATCGCCACCGAGAGGATCGTAGAAGATTTTGAATGTATCTGCGTACACCCGCTGCAGGTCGTTGAAGAGAAGCTGAGCAGGGTCAAATCCTGGCAAAACAGTTGCGTCGTTTTGGTCCTCGAGCATCCTGTTGGCATATTTGCCTCGTCGTGTGAACAGTTTTTCCTCTGCATTGATGTTGTGGACATAGCGAGGAAGGACGGCCGGGTCTAATTGTATCAGGACGTCGTAGTCGTCTGTGGGATGCGTAAACAAGGCCTGCAAAGAGGGTCAGAAGAAAACATCAACATAAGGAAACGGAGCTGTTATGCACCTGAACATCCAATTGCCCAGATTCCACGCCTTCCAAGCACTTCCAGGTAGCCTCTGCCAATGCCCTTACACGATGCGCTACGACAACATCAGGCCCACAATGCGTCCAAATACGCCCTTCCCAATCATGTTCCGTCGAGACCTTCCAAACGCTGGCACCACCAGCCTTGCTTGTCTCTTTCTCCTGGCCATCCGAAGCAACCGACGCAGATCCATATAAAGGCACGAACAACCCCTCTTCCCACTTCCACTCTTTCAAGAAGCGAATAACGGCTGAAAATGCGCGCTCCTTGCTCGCAGGCACGAGGTGCTGCACGGTCTGCTCCACATCCATATCCTGCGTGACCGCTTTCCCTCCGTTCAGGAAGAAAGACGCGCAAATCAACTCAACGACCTCCTCGCTGACATGGCCTCGTAGAAGCCAATGTGATGCTATCCACCTTTTGACGAGTCGGACGGTACCTGAGAAGGCCGTGTAATGGTGTGAGAGCGCAGCTATCGCTCGGTGGTGTCGTGGGGCGTGGATGAATCGACGCATATACACCTCCTTGGCCTCGAGCGCCTCGTAGTATTCCGGTGTTTTTTTCGTGTCCTTCGACTTGGACGTAACATGGGGAAGCCTGTTCACCGTTCCGTGTATTCCACGGTCGATGAGGTTGACCTCGCGATCATGCCAGATCCGTGCGTTGAAGGCCCACCCTTCTGGGGTGACTATGTCAAGGAGGGACCTATCCATGATCTGAGAGTCATGTACTCCGTCGCTGATGGCAACTTTTGCTACAAGGCCTTTAACTGATTCCATAAGTTTGGACGCCAATCGTTCGAAGAAGGCAAGCTTGATCGCCTGGACTGCCTTGAGGTCGTCCGGCCATTTCGATGACTTTTCGAATTCGAGGACGATGTCGATTGGCGCAAGATATCGGGCATTTGGTGGCAGGGCAGGGGCGAGAGATGGAGTCAGCGGTACAGGGCTGAAAACATTCGTATACCGGAGGGCCTCCGAGATCGGGCTGACGGTAAGTAGAGACAGCGGAAGATCATCGTCCAGTTTCTTGATACTCTTCACCAGGTTGTCGAATGCCGTCAATGCCCCTTTGACGCCAGTTGAAGCACCAGAGGCGAGATACTCACGAGACACCGACGGAGGAAGACGGAGGACAGAATCAAAAGATGTTTGCCAGGTCTCCACTGCGCCTTCTCCGAGCCCGAAATGCCGTTTAAGAAGATGCCGAACGATCATTGATGGGACGTGCGCCCTCTCGTCGGCGGTCGTCACCTCCCACACCACACTCTCCACGATCCGACCGTCTTTGAAACGACGCAATTCTGCTTTCTCCCCCCAGAGGTCGCGGAACTTTTGCAGGGCAGCCTCGTCTTGTTCATCTGCCGCAGGACCGTGATCGACGAGCCTGAATGCATTTTGCGGATCGTGTAGAATCCCGATGAAGATGGCATCAGGACTGGAAGGGTGGGCTTGCGATATGGAGCGAGGTAGCGATGAAGGATGGAGGATGGTAATTGCTCGAGACCTATCCCCTAGACCTTGACGGAGTAAAGAAGACATCGAAGCTAGTAACGCGGTGGAGGGTGATCCTGCATCCAGAGTCGAGTGTGTTGAGGAGGACTTGGGCTTCGCGGATGAGATATCGACCCTAAGTAGAAAAGATCAGTAAACAACCAGGATGATGTACGATGCAGAAGAACCTAAGAATGGTATCGAAACGTGTCAACAAATCGCGACAATCCTTAAGGAAAACACCATTGAAAGGATCTCCTGAGAAGGCCGTCTCATTCAGCCTTTCAAGAGTCTTGGAAGCCTCATAGCGTAGCTATACACTTGTCAGCAACCAACCGCAAAAACAGGGATGTCAGCTCACCAAATCAAGAGATCCTAGTGGCACTCCTGCTAACAGGTTCACCAAAGACAATGAATCAACGAAGACGGCCCTCGTATCGGCTTTGTAGTCTTCTGGGGAATACTATCGACAGATGAGCCACACGTCAGGTCAACGGAAAAGAAGAAAAATCTACCCGATGACCATCTGCAGTCTTAACAAAGATGGATTCTTTCTCGAAATCGTGCTTAGCTGGGTGGGGGTTAGCGCGTAAAGGGATTTCGATACAAAATCAGCGCACCAAGAAATTCCAATGCAGCCTTGAAAAGCTGATATGAACTCAGGCCTTTCCCAACCGAACGTCTTTTGTTCGCCTTCGTTGCTCCTGACCGCACCTCCTCTCCGTTTAACAGCAATGCCAACAAAGACCACCACCATGGCCCTGCTCCTTCGAATCCTCGCACACACATCCGAGTGCCTTCACTGAACCCTCGCTGGTTGGCCCATATTCGTAGAAGAGTCAGAGCATCTGAGAAAGCTGGGCAATCATTCTGAAGTGTATGGACAGCAAGAAGGTAAGATTTGGGTGTCAGCGTCCGTAGGAGAGCATTGTTATATAATGGCGTCGGCATGTGGACCGATTGGCTAGCGTCGTCATGAGCATCGGATGAAGAGTTAATTCGAAGGTTAGAATGTGAGGGGGAAAGGCGATGCAGAGGTATGGGAGAGTTTTGGGAGAGGGTGGGTAAGATGCAAACTTTAGCATTCAGTTTCGTGAAGTCTGTTTGTGAATCGTCTTGTTCCACAATAAATAAACGATCTCCACGCAGTCCGAAGCTGACGCACCGTTCTTGGGGGTCAGGACGAGCTTCGTCAACCGTGTATCGCCCTCCAACGACTCAAAACCAACATCCACATTGAGGGACTTCGACTTTCGAAAAGCAGCAGCGATGTTCGCGAGGTAGAAGGAGCGCTTGTGGAAGAAGCGTCCATTGAGGTAATCCTTTTCTTGGAAGAGGCTCTGTAGAAAGGTCAGAACAGAAAACGAACATTGTGGAAAACACCTCACATTGGGCATTTCCACAGCAAGGTCCACACCGAACCTCAGCCCATCTTTTGCTTTAACGCCAGCCTTATTTGCCCAGCTTCCAACAAGGGTGATGTCACTCGGCGGTTCAAAAGCAACCTTCCAATTGGTGTCTTCTGTCGGTAGTGGAAGTGAATATGGCACAGCGATGCCCCTTTTTTGCAACTTTCGAGAAGCTTCAAGAGGGTGTGTTGGAGGAACAGACGGGATCTGGTTGAGCGTAGCGTGCAGCGCGAAAAGGAAACGTTCTAGTGGAGGAATCCGCGATGCTTTTGGCCGAACATTGGGAAGAAGGGCGTCGATCTAGGTCAACTACTTAGATAAAGAATGGAGCAGATGGCATGAACACTCACCTGTAACTTGAATGAGCTCGACTTGAAGAGGTCGCTTGCATCTTTAATGGCTCTCAGTTCCTCTCCGGTTGGTGGTTTCTTCGGTTTCGTTCCAGGATGCGGTGTTATTTCCACCGCTGCTGCTTGAGATCCCTCGATTCCACCCCATTCTTCTTCAGCCTGTAACTCGTCATCTCCGTCCACCTCTCGATCAGACGTCGAATCTACACTTTCTCCGTCCGGCGCACCATTATCGACATTGATGTCGACCTGGGGAAGCTCCTCATGCACCTTTTGCGTCTGGTATCGAGTTACAATTCTGTCGCGGACAAGCACTATTTCAAATACCTTGCGCGGGCCTGGCACCTCAGCCCTTTTTCTCTTCAAGTTTTGAACCATTTGTCAAGCGAAGATATATCGCCAGTCGGCAGACGGGGACGAAGAGAAATTTTGCACAGCCACTAACTGATTGCCCGACCAACGAAGCGCCGGCCCGGAGCACATTTTGACTTCCACTCAGACGAATTGGATTGCGACTCTCAATGTGGGAGGGAAAAAACACATAGTATTACCCAAAGTGCAGAAAAGAAGCACAAGTGTGCCTACAGAACGAAATACACCAAGAAAAAATTACGTCAATTTGACCAACTATGAATGAAATTCAGTTTGCTCTATCAAACTTCGCGCCATCTTGCTCCGTGGCTTCATGGAAAACTTGAATGGGAGGGGGTGACTAGGAAGAAAGAGAGTAATACATGTAAGGGTCAGAATCCCGATTGTTGTTGCACCATGCTTACCAGATCATTCCCGAGGAAAAGGCAGGAATAATTTCGACTGGGCGGCCGAATTCATCATGGGCAGGACTGATGTCGAAGACGCTCAAAATCGATGCAATAGAAATCCAAACTTGCGCTTCTGCCATATAGCGACCTGGGCAGACGCGTCGTCCATACCCAAACGCCGCTGATAGGGGATCTCCTGAGGAGAAGTGCTGGTTGTCATCTCTGCCCATGAAGCGGTCCGGGTTAAATACGTGCGGGTCGGGGAAAACCTTCGGGTCATGGAGAATACCCCTTCACAAAAATCAAAACCATGTCTTATAAATTTACAATGAAGGCGGCTTACCAGGAGTTTCCAACAATAGTGGTTCCAGCAGGAATGAAATAACCGTTATACTCATCGTCCTGCGTGACCATGTGCGGAAGACCAAGAGGAGCCACTGGGTTCCATCTAGGAATAAGCAAAAGAGTGAGCATGGGCCTTTGTCCGAGGAACAGCTGTAGAGTTACCGTAAGACTTCTTTGAGGATCGCAGTCGTGTAGGGCAGGGCCGGCCGGTCACTAAATTCAGGAAGGCGATCTGTGCCAACGACGCTATCGAGTTCCTTTTGAGCCTTTGCTTGAACTTCGGGATGGATCAAAATGGCAAGCACAAAAGACGTCAAAGTCGAAACGGTCTATTTTAAGGAGGGGAGAAAGAGTAAGAGGTGCAGACGCAGGCACAGAAGGTGAAGGACTTACACTTTCCGCGCCAGCTTCGACGAGGTGCTAAGAATCAACATTGAGAAAGATTTAGAGTAGACTACATACCAGCGTATGCAAGCCCTGCGCAATTACGGATAGTATCCAATTCTTCCTGGACATTTTCCTTACTTTCAATGTCGTTCAGGAGATTTGATACAAAGGAGGGAGGTGCCTGTCCATTTTTCTATGGAAAAAAGAAATTATCAAATCTTGTTGACGAGATAACCTTGTTGAGCTGACCATGTCATTGAGGACAGACGCGAAGGGCGCATCCCGCATCTCCATTACGGCATTACGCCATTCATGCGCCTTGCGTTTGAACGAAGCGCCAGGAACCCACTCACTAAAGTCAATGACATAGATAGAAACGACGGGGAACCAAAACACAATCAGTCTTGCCATCGGAAATGAACAGGACATGGCGACGTACGGGACGTGTTTCACTGATCCGCAAGCAAGAAGAGGGAGAAAGGCGCATCAGTTCGGGGACTTCATCAGATATAGAGCGCCTCGGGGAGCCAAAATGAGGAAGACTTACGGATAGGAAGCAAGTCGACGAGGAACGCGCCAGGGCTTGCGGCCTTGCCCATGCCTTCGAGCGCTTTCTCCGCTATAGCTATATAGCGATCCTCCGTTGAAGCAATAGTGATACCGTAGGTAACGCCCATAATAACTGCAGCTGCGTTGCTACGAAAAGACAGGATCAGTATTCAGCTGACATTGAAGAAGGCTGTCAATTAAGTGAGCACTTACTGACGCAAATGGTAGACAAGGTTCTCCGGTGAATGGAGGAGCCGGCGGAGGAGTGCATGAGCCTCTGCTTTCTGGACCGGCCAGTAGATCGGGGCGACGGATTGCTGGAACTGGCGATGGAACATGCGGCGATGTGTTTTCCAGCGATCACCTAAAGAGAAGCTACCTTCAGTGGCGGCCTCCCCACAAGATCGAGAGAATAATTCACCGTACGGCATATGGCCAAAGCTAAAATTCCACCCCATGCTGTAATCAAAAGCATCAGCCAAAAGGTTTTCCTTCAAACTACGATGAAGACATACAGATCGTGGCTCATAGGCGATTGGTTGCGATCCGAATAGTTGATAGAGCGCTTTTCAAACAGGTCCTTGGCGGTCTCAAACGAGTTTACGAAGAGGACGTGTTTTCCCAGAGTGCTAATAAACACCAAGTCCCCTGTTTCGAGGATTGAGATCTCGATCAAACGCACGATTGAAGGAGGGCCCACCATACTGCTTTGCTAGTTGCTGGTAGGCAGCCACTTCGTTTTCGCGTGCAATGTCGAACATGTTGCCCACGATTGGAAGGGGCTTTGGGCCAGGCGGATATGGTAGGTTGTGCGGGTTGGCAAGACGGCGCATGCGCCGCCTTCTGACTGCCACATAAAGCAAGGAAACGACGACTAAGAATATAGCGGCAAAGCGCGTCGTCGACAGATGTTCGACGACGAGAAGACGACCATTAGCCACCATGGTCAAGAGTCAGAAGCGCAGTCAAAAGGATGAGCAGCGGGAGCGGCGGTTGCGAATTGGTGGGGCTCTGCTCGTAGCTGACCAGCGGGCCTGGTTTTATATCGATCAGCCCAGCGACAGATAAATCCGGACAGACGATAATTTCCAGGTTTTCCTTTTCGTAGGCCATGGATACGGGATTGAAGTAAAGTTTTCAGGCGCAAACTTCTCCGCCATATTGGAGGGCGAAGATACTGGCAGGCGAACATTTTCGGCTCACCATCGTCCGAAATCCATTTGTCGTTTGCCTCGGTAGGTTTCGAAAAGTCAGGGCTGGGTGAAGGTTACGAGACGCTCAACGCGGTCCACGAAGAGACTTTTCAAAAGTGCCGTTATGCGTGGGTGGCCCCAGGACGCAAAGGCGATGCAATTTTCAGCCATGAATTTATGGCAATCGTGAAGAAATACGTCTGCATAAGCTTACCTGAGAATCTTGCTTCAGCTCTCGGATATTGAGCACGCCAAAGGATTTTCTATCGCATCCGCCCTTCTGCAAACCTTGGGTTCTCTGGAAAGCTCTGATCCGCTTCACAGGAAGAAAGAGCCATCTTGCTGGTCCTTCCATCGAGGACGGCCCAAGAATAACTGTCCTCCGAAGATGGATGGAACAAAGCCCAGCCTCTTCAAGAATCAAGAGCCCCGAGTAGACCATCTGACGTTACGAAATGCAGATGAACAAGGCTTACTCGTCGCATTTTACAATGCAGTGATGTAATGAGGGGAAAAAAAGGGCCAAGAAGTGTAAGAGTTACAGCTGATTGCAAGTCAATAGATAGAATAAGAAGAGACGACTTGGAGTTTGTGATTTATGAGACTGGTGCAGACGACGTGGAGTCAAGCAGCTACGCCTCGGCAACTAGCTCATTTCCCTAATGCGGCCACTTTCCATCACGTGTAATAACCACTTTGGGAGGAAAGTTAAACCCAAATTTAGTCCTTTTGTCATCCCGTCCGTCATTCTCGAGTCGCGAGAGACCCAAGTCCTGTGCTGAAATGACCATTGTATCGAGAAGCTGAAAGTAAGGCCGCGCAAAGGTGACCTTTCTTCACACTCTCGTTGTCGACCAGATCGTGACACACTTGCAGCGGGCCAAACCGTGATGTGTGCTCCGCAGCTCACCGCTATGCTCTCGTGTTGGGCCGCGAGGGGGGACCTCATGTCCGTCCAAGAGTGTTCAAAGTCGGCCAATAACCTGTTCCAATGTATGCGGACGACGGTGCGTGTCTTTTACGCGTCTCATCACCCCAAACTTAAATGTTTCCTCCGACTTCCTACTTCGGCCCTGGAATTCCAATTTCTCCCATAGACCGCCTATGTTCCTTGGACAAAAATCTTTGGTGTTGCCTCTGGGCTCCTGATTCTGCACAACGCTATCCGTCGGCCGCTAGCCCATGCCCAAGAAAATGCGTAAGCCAACTATTAATTATCATCTTTCTCGACTAGGAAAATCTACACAATAGGTGTCCCTGCTCTGCCTCGCTTTTTTTCTGCCTTGGAATCTGTATCCTTTACTATGCACCCACCTAATCCACACTCTGAACCTTTGCTGTCTGAGGTTCCTTCATTTTCCTTCTTTGACTTTCATTCGTTTCTAACGCTATACTTGCAAAACACTAACCAACCACTCGCTTTGATCACGTCATGGAACCCAGTATTCACCGCCTCTCCGCTTTCGTCTTCAATTTCGTTGCATGAGATGCCACAAGGTGTGGGCCGACAGGGGAGTCGCCGACTTGCTATTCGGTTAATGACTGATCACGATCGAACACAGACCCTCCAGCAGAGTTCATTGGTTTCTACCAGCGGCGCAGCCCTTCAGCATTTCGGTCAAGGTGTTTTTCGTCCCCCGTGATTCGTCAGCTGTGTCAAAAGGTGTCTTGTCGTGTCGTGAGTGTTTGAACATGATAGCGAGACTCTACCCTGCCTTGCTTATCATCCCACTTCTGGAAGTGGGCAGATGCCTTGTATTTCGGTTAACCCTGATCGCTTAGTGAACTCTCCTTCCAATGACATGACTTTGCAGCAAGTCCAGCCACGAGGTATTCGTCCACGAAGACCCTGCACCTGGGATTTTCCACATTCTTTCCTTTGTCATCCTCACGAATGAGGGAAACGTACACCGTCGCCTTCCTGCATGGCGTCTACTATTGCTGTGAAGCAGCAGGAATACCACCAACTTGTCAAACGGAGAACGCTGGACATGCTGCTTCATTGCCGCTGAGCTGCTCTTTGCAGGAGCCTCATGTAACAAGTATGTTGACCGTCGATTGAGTGCATGTTGTGGATTTTGGGGTCTATAATTGGTCTATAAAGCAAGCTGCGTCCTAACCAACTCACACATGAGCGACCAGGCTGACGATCCAATCACGGTCTTCTGGGATCTCGGTGAGTTGTAAATGTATTGATGAGTACCTTGACCGTAACTCATTCTTCCTTGCAGAGACGGCAGGGCTAAACCGCTCAGCGGCGGGTAGCCTCTCTACCTACGACATCGTGGACAATATCTGGGCTGCAATCTCGAGGCATGGTGTCATAAAGACCCTGAGGGCATATTGGGATACCACGACCACATCCCTCACAAGTGCTTCACGAATCCGTTCAGAGCTAGCGTCGTCTGGGGTTTCGTTGATCGACTGTCCGGGAGAAGGGAGACAAGGAGCTTCCACCAAGCGGCTTTTAGGTACGGAATCCAGCACTTGTCGCTGGCAATTTTAATCTTACCAGCCCTTTTTCTTCTAGTCGATCTCATCTGCTATGCATGGGATAGCAGACCTACCTCGACTATCTGCGTCATCACCGAGGACCGTGACGTCGCATACGCCATCGCGACGCTGCGCATGCGGAAATACCGTCTTTTACTCATGGCACCAGCAGGTGCCCACCAGGATTTGACGTCGCAGGCGTCGGTCCAGATGGACTGGAGCAGATCGATCCTCGGCACCCATGGCACCGGCCCAAATGACCGCGACGATGGAGACGAGAAGCCGCCACCGTCATCTCGCCCGCAAGGATCTTTTGCAGAGCAGATGGCCCCTCATACACCTCCGCCCACTGCACCGCTCAATGCACGTTTTAAAACATCAACGACATTTGGACCAGTGCACGGCAGATCTGCACCTTCTGTCGAGATGCAAGACCTGCCCCCTCGCGGTCGAAGGAATTCCGTGTTTCAAAAGGTCTACGCCTCAGATTACAATGGTTCTGGCAGTTTTGGAGACGGATTCATGTCACCTCCGCCGAGAAACATTCCTTCATTCGGGCTTGGGGATGGCCCTCTGTTTCTTAGGCCTCAGTCACGACTCAAGCCATCTCGTTCGGATTCGGCACCACCGAACGTATTTTATTCAAGCCTTCCTGCAACCCCTCCTCCAACGACGCCTCGACCCTACTTCGCAGACGCAGTTCCTGAACCGCCGATCCCTGCGCTGACCGCAGCTTCGAAAGGGAAGGAAAGAGCATTCCCAATCCACGCTAGAGGCGATGTTGCTCCTCTAGTCCCGTCATCCCCAACTCCATACGCCCCTACATTCCAACCCTTCGAAGAAGCCCGATCGCCTGAGACGACACGAACCCTGACCCCTAAGAAAGACATCCGAGCGCAGGCAGCCTCCGTACGAACCGTTTCCTCTAGCTCCAACTCTAGCACCATATCTAGAGGTGACAGTGTGTTCTCGGTGATCGAACGACCTGACGCATCCACTGCACCAACCTCTGCGGAGCGTCTAGATGGAGATCACAACAAGAAGCAACTTCTGGAGACTTTGTCGCCTCAGATCCACAAGACATCAGCCTCTCGACCTCCAAGTTCTCATTGCCAAGAAGGCCCATCTTCGACAGGAAGTGTAGCCGCTGCCGTCACATCTGCTGCAACGAAGGCCACCCCCCGAGGGCCTCTCAAGCCTGCTCCCCCGCCTACGCCTTCAGCAGAACCAGCTGGCGCTTCAACAAGCACAGCTGCAGTACCCAAAGCCCTTCCATTAGCCAGCACGGCTGTTGGGGACTCAAGACCGGCTCCACCGATGATTTGGGCTCCTTTAGTCACTATCCTTCGTAGGACAGGTGGTAACGCCAGCGGCTCCTCCCTCGGCAGTCTGCTCTTGAAGGCCGACCCGAGCGCATATAAAAAAGCTGGCGTTTCCAGGTTGAAGCCTTACCTCGAAGCAGCTGTGGCCGCTGGCATTGTCAGAACCACTGGTTCAATGTCGAGCATTCATGTACACTTGGCTGCCCCCTATGGCTAATCCCAGGAGCCGAGCGTGAATCCTGATTGCGCTCCAGTCACACCTACTTAAGTACTTCTACAATAGCCTTCTCAATTCAGATGCTTCTTCTTCCGCCGTCTTCTCATTTGAGAGTTGCTGCCCTCTGGCTCTACTTTACTAACGCCGATTTTCTTTTATTGTTGCGAGCGCCCGGATGTCCGCCGTGATGATTGTTTCTCGTCAACATTTACATAAGATCCAACAGCTTCAGGTGGCATCTTGACAGCGGGACTGGGATGGTCAGAACAGCGCCCACAGCACCGTTGGTCTCGTGGTGGGTGCCTTCCTGGATTTGTAAACATTAAAGTTAAGCTGAAGGCCAGCTCCCTTTAACGCAAGGACCCGATGAATCGTGACGTGGAAACGGCCTGTACAACCATGGGGTTGAATGACAGGTTGTTGAAAGCCCTTCCACCTACTACCGGTGGCCCAGAGTCCAAGCAACTTGTCTGAAGACCTCTCACCGTTACCGCTTTATCAAGTTTGAGTAAGGGATGGCGAACGGCAGTGGTGTTGCCATATTCTGGGACTACGGTGCGTTTCCATTCCTCGATTCCAAGCGTTTCTTCACGATCTACTTTGGTAGAGAACTGCCCTGCCCCTTCGAATGGATCTGGCTACATCATAGCAAAGAACATCTCCGCTCTGGCCCAGCAATTTGGGACCGTGAAGTCGTTCAAAGCATATATGGAGATTTCTGAACAACTTCCACGAGCCCTTGTCATGCGCTCGGAACTACAGTCTTCAGGTGTTTCCTTAATTGACTGTCCGCACAACGGGCGAAAAGACGTCGCAGACAAGATGATGCTAGGTAAGGAGGTTTTGGAATCTTTTTTCACTCGCCTCAACATTTGAATCTAGTTGATATGTTGGCACATGCCATTGACAATCCACCACCGTCCACCACCATCATCCTCATATCGGGCGACCGAGACTTCGCCTACGCACTATCCATATTGAGCCTCAGACGCTATCACGTCGTACTCCTTACTCTGGCCAACGCACATCCGAGCCTCACAATGCAAGCGGCCGTCTGTTATGACTGGGTGAGCGAGGTCATTGATGTCGTCGACTCGCCAAAGAGCCAGTCAGGCATCACTGGCAGAGCAGGGCAGGGCGTCAACGATCCCCGCAACGAAAGCCTTGCCGACTCGGTGTCATCAGGTGTTGCATCCACAATTCGAAGGGCTCCGCAGCTGGAAGACGGAATCAGAAACGAGGAACCTATCGACATCACGAACTATCTTTCTGGTCGCACCCGCCTCAGGCAACCGTCTCAGTCATCCTCGACCAGCACCTACAATCTTCAGCTGGTGCCTTTGGAACAGTCGAGAGAAGATACTACCTATGTCGGCAGTCGGTCCGTGCATTCCCCTCCAGCAACCATTCGAAATACGTCAGCTCTTCTTCCTTTCCCCAGCACCCTTTGTACACCACTGCAAAGCACGTCCCGAGGACCGTTGATGGCTTCTGCTCCCAAAAGCTTATTGGCTCCTCCTGCAGTAGTGAACACAACCTCTGTATGGACAGCCTCGCAGGACATCCCTGTACCTGCACAGCCTAATGTCCGATCCACGCTGACATTGGCGGATAGAGACCGTTCTTCTGTTCTTTTAGACATGGACATCGTCGTTGAAGGAGTATCGACTCCTCGTCCTTCGCCTCGCCCTGCTTCAGCTCCTTCTTTGCTGCCGTCACCACCGTTTCTCCCGCAGTCTCTTCAGCCGGCGCTCAAACCTCCGTCCATCGCTCCCCCTTTACCTCCTCAGCCACCCCAGCCTTGCACCCCTTCAGCGACAGTCAACGTAGCAGCCACCATTAAAACAACACCACAAACTGCGATGACAACGACTAATACATCAACGGCGTCGACGAGCCCACCGAACCCGACTGCTGTCGCATCCGCAGTAGAGGACTCCGGCTCATTTCCGCCCATTTTTGCGGTTCTTGTCGAGACTCTGCAGAACCACAGACTGAAAGGAACCCTACGTCCCTTGCGCTCCACGATCGCCGTACAGATAGCAAAGGACGGAGTCACGTACAGAAACGCAGGCGTGGACAGGTTTAGCCAATATGCTGCTTTAGCACAGAAACACGGTCTCATTGAACTAGGGGGTTCAGAAGGCACTGCATGGATTTCCTTGCGGCCTGGGTGGGGCAAGGCAAACCTGTCTTAATTATTTTCCGTGGTCACGGACACAGTCCGCCCATTCCTCGTACTCTCTCTGAACCGCATGTCACCGTTGTATCTCTATTTATTTAAATCCTCAACTACTGTTTCATAGTCACGGTTGTCCATATTCTGCTTGTATCGTTGTCGGCCTCCAATTCAGCTACTAATCCTTCCATGCTTTGTTGCTCTTCATCTCGCAAAGGCTGTGGGTCAGAACGGTATGTATGGTTGACCGTGCTGGACAAAATTACATGAAATTGGTTTTCTTTCACGAACGTGAGCGATCGGTGACAACCTGAATCGCTGACAATCGTTAACTATTATCTACTAGTTCTCACAAATAGTACTCCCGATTCTTCGACATTTCAAGGACGAAATAGTATGAAGCGCCCAATATATCTCAGTCTCTTGCTCTGGATTCCAGAAATTATCCCAAGCGAGAGGCAGGGCAAGGAGGAAGGGATCACCTGTGCTCAGCAAGCGCCGAGGCCGGGCTTTCAGCATGTTCGGGAAGGCCTCTGAGATTCCGTCTCATTCTGGTAAGGGCTTGCTTGGGCGTAAACAGTTTGCTGAAGAGCAACGCGAAGCGAAGAGCTCTATCATTCTGCAATCAGGTGTAACTCGGAAGCTGGGCAGCAAGCCCGTTTGCAATCTGTTGTGTGCAGGCCCACAGCCTGAGTTCCACCGAGGACGGAAGAAACGGTGAAAACCATTTATTCATATGCATGTCGTAACATAGAATTCAGAATTCAGACATTCTCGTCATAATGCCATACACCAGACAAAACTCAATGAAAATAGAGCACGCATGGACATACAAAGAGTCAGTAATTCCACGCCGCGACGTCCTCGGATAAAAGCTTCAGAGGACGAGGAGTTCGAAAGGGGTTTGTCGGAGAAATTGAACGAACGACAGGCACAAAAGGTAAATGTACAAACAGTACAAGGGGAAAGAAACGAAAGTACAAGCTAATTGTACACGACACGACATGAATGAATGCAAAAATAACGTAGTCCCGACAACCTCGTCGCAGACGACCAACGTACACAGAAAAGATAAGATATTCCAATTTGGAAATTCAAGAAGCAAAAGCTCACAAATCAGGTCAACGAAAAGCCTCCAAAATCCAAGAAAGCTTCTTCAAGCGACATCTTGCGCACAACGAGCGCTTCCACGATGAGCCTCGGCTGCTGTTCGACTTCACCGTTCGCACTCATGGCGCCCACGATGCCGATGACGGTAGCATCCACGTCCAAGTGCGATTCCCCAGTTGTCGAAGCGGAGAAAGTGGGAAATGAGGGCACGGCTGTTTTCGGAGAAGCAAATACATCGTCATCGTCGTCGAAGTCCTCCGCGGATGCTGCGTCGATAGTTGGCAGCGCATCGACAATCTGGGTTGGCTCTTCCACGAGACCGACATGGAGCGACTCGAGCCCGTTGACAAGTGCATCGACATTGACCGCTGTGTCCTCTGCTCGAGGGATTGTTTCTGCTCGGGCTTCGAGGGCCTTCCTCTTCTCCTCCCTCCGCTTGTCTCGGTTCTGTCTTCGTTGCTGATTTTTTTCTTCAGGGTCGACATTGTGGACGAGCATAGCCAAGTGTTTGTGCTTCTTCGCCCTTTTGTTCTTGCCGCCCGCTGTATGTGCGGGGTGTGGGTGATTGTGCATGCGCGCCTTCATTGGACGAGGTTTGAACACAGACGAAATTTCGAGGTCGATCGAGAAACGAGTCTGCGGAGTGATGAGTTTCTCCTCATCCGGGTCCATAGCGAATATCGCCGAAGAGTCGCCTTGAGCGTCTTTCTCGAGGACAATTGTCAAAGACATGTCTTCATCGGCGTCGGTCGACTCGGCTTCCGTCTCTGTCGTCTCCGTCGTCGAATACCCACTACCTTCTAACGAGGATGGCGTTCCGTCTCTCCTCCTTCGGTCCCCGCTCCTCTTGGCCAGAGTGGCTAGAACCGCCGGGACCTCGATTTCTTTCACCACGATGACGCTGGCACCAATCTCGCCCGCCATCATCTCGAGCGTCTCTAGACTCTGCTCAAGCTCCTCCCGAGGCAGCCCAATGAGATCGCCAGAGTCTGCCACCCCGAGCTCGTAATACGCTTGGCCACCGCCTTCGAGCAGCCGCCACTTCATCTGCGTGACAAGGCGTGCAAACCGGGCTGGCGAGGGGTTGAGAAGCTGCAGTTTGTATTCCACATTGCCGTCGTCCGACTCCGGGACGAGCCTGGGGATGAGTTCGACCGCGAGTGGGCTGGGCGTATGTGCCCTTCCGTTGAAAGGTTTCGGAGAGGGTGGGGTAGATATGAGGGAGTCCCAAGGGCTGGGTACGCGAGGACTCTCAGATTCGGACTCTCCGAACATCCTACGATTTCGCCTGCTTGTTTTTTCCGGCCTGGATTGCTTTGAGGACTGTGTATGCGTTCAAAGCGGATATTCGTGGGATCATTGTCAGGATTTTCAAGTGCGGAGAGGTGGCGATTTCACTGATAGATATGCTAATTTATAAGACTTTCATGGGGGCGAGTCATATAAAGCGTACCTTTCAGGCTGTGAGCATGACTCTACAGGATGGTTGGTGAAATGTTGGTGGTATGAGTCAAAGACGATCGCCCACACAAACCCAGTTTCTCGGTAAACACCCGCGGCTACTCCCGGGCCGGCCCCAGCACTTTCCTAGTCCAGTGCAAGTTTAACCCAGTCCAATGCAACATATCATCTACGGGAGAAATACTGGGACCAACTTTTCTTTCGCGCTGTGACCGTGGTTTCGTATAATAAATTTGGCGTCCAGCGGCAATAAAATGATAGAAAAGCTATACTAATACAATAACTACTTGAAGGCCTATGAGGCTGCAAATAATAAAATGGAAATAAAAGACTGCTACGGAATAGGGGCGGAGAGCGACTGAACCTATACGCCGCCATATAAGTAGGAGGGAGTTCAAACTTCAGTACTTCAGTACCCAACACTGTTGGGAGGGGCTACCCCGGCTTCGTGTTCCTCAATCAAGGAGGTCTGTATATCATCTTGAAGTTCTTCTGCCTTCGGATCCTTGGTCTCCTTCTCTATTTCTTGACACAATGTATCTTCGCTGAAACGCGAATCCAGTGTCTCAAGGATGGTTTCCTTCCTTTCATTCGCCTTGCGTAGAGCTTCGACCTCCATTTGGAGCCGTTTAACGCGTTGCTCCAGCTGTACCACTTCGGTGTACTCCTCATGGGCTTTCGCCATCTGCGCTCATTAGAAATAAGATCAGACAGCAACATTACGGAAATCGATGAGACCCACCCTCTCCATATGTGCCTCGCCCTCTTTCTTATACAGTGACCGCGCCGCTTGCGAGATTAACGGGCGCACCTTTTCAATGGGCACAATCGTGTAGTATGCGTGGCGTTTCGCATTCGCGTACCAAGGGGTTATGCGAGCGCAGTCGACCAGGCGTTCATCAACGGCTCTGACTTCATCGCCTTCAAGATCTCGAATTAAATCCATCATGGTCGAGGCGTACCAGTGTGACTGGCGTCGAAAAATGTTGAAGAGCGGCTGGCACTGGTGAGCAACTATTGCAATGATAAATAGGTCAGCGTAGGGGAGACTTCTTGGGGTAAATGTGGTTCGTTTGATGGCGGTTGTCCAAGATGGTGGGCGCTTAAGACAGTTGATCTCGTCTCTTGACCCCTGTCCGGAGAAGTGGCTTTCATAGGAGGGCGCGTCCATATTTGGGTTGTCTTTGTAAAATTTCGCGTCCTTCTGACGTACATCTTCGAGCTGCTCTGCCGTAAGCCCTCCTGCAGGAGGGTCGGTGTACGTCAACATAGCGTACGCTATCCCCTGTTTGAGGCTCCCATATGTGTCTGATTCCTCAGGCCACGCTGCGCCGTGAAGGGTTTCCAGTCTTGCTGTCTGGTCTTCTGAACGGTAGAAACGAACATAACGCACTTCCTCGTCGGGTTTCGTCGTATTCACGACTTCAGCTACGAGGAACTCCCTCTCCCCAACGTCCCGCCACACACGGTTGGACCAATGGGTGATGGAGGTGACTCTGTATTCTTCCAATTTCGAGTAGAACGGCTTGCCCTGGCGGTTAATGCGAGATATTCGCTGTTCCAGCAAGCCGTAACCGTGGGTGATAGCATGTATCCAGTCCTCTGGTGGAAAGAGCAATCGTTCATCTAATTCTGAGTCGGAGGGGGAAAATGATGCATTTCGTCGTTGAGGTGGATAAAAGAGACTCCGAATTGAGAAGAATATCATGGGGCTTTGACTTGCATCCACTCACAGGCCATGGGGTTGGGTTAAATAGCGCAAGCCACGAACTTGAAGCACCTGGAAGGCCATAGGCTCGGCTCAGCAGCCGAACTACTACTAGAAGACAAACTTAGGGTTCTACGTCGTAATAATTATCCCCGAGGCAACTACCAGGAATTTATGTAAGTAGATCTTGCACTGCAATGACAAGAGGGTGAGGCGGCGATGGTGAAATGGTGTGAATAATGAAGGTGTAAAGTGCCGTTGTATATCAAACGAACCAACGGGCGCCTATATAGCTCCCTTTGGCATACGAATAGAATCTGCATCATTCATCGCATTTGAGTACAAGGTATCGTCAGAGCATACATCGTAATCAAATCGTCCCTACAGATAAATCGTTCGTTCCTGCATCACGACGTCCAACACAATCTAAGATAGCTACTGATACAAAATAAATACACTGTCTACCATTTTGTTGCCCTAATTCAACATTCGATCAGTTATGGTCCCTGGCAAGCGCCAGAGTTTGAGCGCAAGAAGGGAAGCTCACCCAAACGTATCGCCATCGGTAAGTTTCCGTAGCGGGGTACTTTTCCAATCGAGAGTATCCTTATACACCCTATTTCCCCACCTATTATCCCAATATTAGGACGACTCGTGGACAACTGATCGCCGCACGTACCATTTCTGGATCGTATTACGCCCGATATTCCCGTCCAGTGGATATTGTAGGCTTTTAACGACATAAGCGCCTTGCACACCTTCACACCACTATAAAGATCACACACCAAAAAAATACCATAATGAGGCCGATACCCGTGCCAGCATCCAAGGCGGCCGAGAGGACGTCTTCACAGCACGTCTTCAGTTAAGAAGCCGAGTAACAGATAGGAGAGAACCCACAATTATATTTGGCCCAATAGGAGAAGTGCTTCCGCCGCACCACGTACTGGAAGATGAACCCGATGATAGCCCAAGGGACGTAGTTGACTGCGGTCGCAGGTGGTATGGAGCCGACACCAGAAAAAATAAGCCTAGACAATCGTGGTTGCATCAGTTACCTCTTGTGCTCTCAGAGCGGCAGAAAGTCGGCCCATGTTGAGGACCAAAATTACTCACGGGAAACTAAGGCGCAAAAACGATGTTGAGTTCGCTGTGAGAAGATCGCAGCACAATGGAAGGTACTCACTTAAGATAATTTAGGATAGTATTGGGGTATCGTCGGGTAAATAGCCATAGGATGACGGGGCAGGCGGCGCCGATAAGGAAGAAGAATGTCAGACCTGCGGGATGAGGTTTCGCGCTGTCAGCTCTGCACCACACCATGGGAATGGTCGATTAGGGGCATACCACTAAGAAAATATCAGCAATTTGTCCATATTGAGCAGTGGCACCTATACTCACTAATAGATTTGTCCCTTGGTGAACTGCAGTCCGGGGCCAATCACGCCCCACTGGGAAATGATGGTGAGAAGGATCTACAACGGTTGATAAGAGGGTTCTTACAATTATAGAAGCTGTTCCGAAGACTTGTGTTGATGCACAGGTGAAGCTACCGTGAACAGTCAGAGCGAATATCTCAAGAGAAGACGAGGAGAGTCATACTTGTTTGGTTGGTTCCTATCACAAATGTCGCTACACGAAACATTACATTGTCAGCCACAACGCGTCTTGCTGCAGGCAAAACACATACGTGATGTTTGAGAACATCCTGGAAAGTAAGGATCAGGATCGTGTGCAACCTTAATTGTAACGAAAGGACCTACCACGACTGAACGCCAAGCTGGGCAGTACCCGCGATCACTGTCGCGACGACCTGACACCAAAACATAGGTCTTGGTGGAACCTATACCAGCGAACAGCCGATAAGCGCTTGCTCATCCGAAAGCGCCGAAGGCCGAAAAACAGCCTACCTTCATATAGCTAGGCGCCACAGTGGGGTCATGATCGTCAGGGTCCGAGACGGCCCTTTGCGGAACAAAGTACGTACTGCCCCAGTTTGAAATCGGCCGTAAATTGCATAGCTGCGGTTGGTCCCTTCGTCAACAGGAGAAGTGGCAATTTTATGAGGCGAGAACCAACCTTGTGACATCGTAATATAACCGTAAGTCTTGTCGCGACATCAGTCTGTGCTCAAAGAAAAGCAGGGAGTGATCTACCTTGAAACTGAGACGGGTGACGAAGACGAATCAGCAGAAACTCTCGGTCAGACGCGTCCAGACGTACATCATCATAGCATTAGGTTTTCCTGCAGCCAAGGATTAGCGTGATTCCTCGGCGACAACGCACAAGAAATTACCAGGAATCATGAAGCCCACAATGAGCTCCGTAATGACGCTACATAGCACGACTCATCAGCGCCACCCGCCGTCCGACCTAACAACCAAGCACTCACTTCAGACCAACTTGTCTGTTCGTCACCGCCTGGATCATCCCAATTGGCAAAACATAAACAACAGCTGCCGGACCCACATCAATACCGGAGACGCGCTCAATAGAAAAGGAAGGGCCGGAACTTACAAATTAACAAAGCAACAATGAGTGCCCAAATCGTCATGCCCGACGGCCACAGCTCAATGCACACGCATGCGAAGATGAAGGTGACGACTGTCCGTGATTGAGATTATTGCCGTACCGTCAGCGGCGATTCTTGCCAAGGCAAACACGAAATGAAAGACGCACCGAAAAGACACGCGTAATACCATTCCGGAACCTGCGGATACCTCGACATGAGGCGGGCATGGATATCTGGCTGTTCCCGCATCGAGCGCCCGAACTGCAGTCGGATGGGCCGATAGAAGTGGATAATGGCTGTTAAGTTTACGAGGAGGCGTCAGTACACAGAGCACACAAATTGGATGAGAAGAGCATCAGCTGGGCAGCGGGTGACGCAAGGTGACAACGACAACGCCGCACGCTGCTGGTTCTTGATGGCGGTCGCGGGGAGGAGAGCAGAGAGAACAGAGATGAATGACGTACCGTGTGTGACGGTGGCTGCAATAAACAGAGTGAGAGTCAGGACAGTCGACTGCCGATTATTCAAGACTTACATGTGATAGAGAGAAAAGAGAGCCCGTAGGACATCGCGAATGCCGTTCTAGAGGTTTCGAGGTCAGGCTCAGCATCATCTAGGTATCGCCATGAGACACTCACGGGAGGTACAATGGGCTATACGCTTTATACGCGTCCAGGTTGAGGCTCGCATCGATTGGGTTGACAACTCTCGATACGTCGTATGGGTTCCCCGTGTTGTCGTACGCGTTCAATCCTGATATCCTATCGAGCGAAACACGGTCATTCGATCGGTATGCTCTTGACCGAGATAACAACAGAGACTCACGGCATGTATTGGCTGTGCCACACGTTATTATACTTCAATTGCGGTGGCTCCGTCAGCTCACAAAAAAAAAGAGGGGAAGAACGACGCACGTATAGCAGTGGTGTCAAGAACCAGTAGAACACGAAAAACCCAATCATCACATTCGCCTCTGCCCACCCTATAATCCAAACCACAATTAGAACATGTCTCCTCACTGAACTCCAAGAAACAATCCCGCGTACATGGCGTAGCAAGTCTACGACCAGATCAGCACCCTTTCACTCAGGCAACAGCAACAAGCACTCACGGACTCCCAATGAACGCGATCTGGTTCCAGTCAAGCGTGATGAGCGAGAACCCCAAGCCACTATGGTACCTACAGATACGGAAACAGAACAAAGCAGCTCAGCAAGGTGCCATCCAAAAATAGATAAGCGCCACATACCCGAATATCTGGTTTATTTTCTGTACCGCCATCAGGCATCGTCGTTAGCCAATAGTGCGCACAACTTTGTGGTTCGAAGCGGGCGACATGGACAGGCGATGATGAAAGTGCGTGAGGAGACAAGAACTTACGACGTTGTCCGGCCATATCCAACATACCTGCGTGCCAAAGGTCAGTCCACGATTCTCATCAACTGTCGAACTCAAAGTGGAGGCAAAAAATCAGGGGCTAGCCGTCTTGATTGGCGTGCACCCTAAGGTCAGGGTTGCGCCACAGTCAACGTGGACGCGCTGGACCCTAGCCTCACGGAGGCAAACCGGCAACCAGATAAACAGGGAGGGGCCCGCCGACAAATCGAGGTCGGCACAAACTGAGATAACCGCCCACATGCAAAAACACAAATGGGAAACCACAAAGTAGATACACTCACCCAACTAAATACGCTGTTGATAAGCCAAGATGAAATAAGAAGATGGTCAGATAATGCTCCGAGGCGGGTGCAGGAAAGGGCACCGTTGATGTCGCGCGTGCAGATAAGTGGACAGATAGATACCTGAGGGCTTGGAACAGGTAGCCAGGGACAATGTCTGAAGGGTGTCATGTTTGGTTAGCGTTTGGCTCGGCCTAATGGCGGGAATGGCAGAAGGGGAATGGGCTCGGGGAGAGAGGTAAGTAGATCACCTCCGGAAAGGAAAGATGAGGCACGGGTGGACGTCGGAGAAGATGGGCAGGAACAAACAGATCTAACGGAATATACGGGAAGTGATAGAGAGGTGGAACGATTTGACTTACACCAAATAATCGCCGCTACAAAAGCATAGAGAAAAAAGCGTTCTCTGCTTAGACCGTCTCTTGGTCCAATGCCGGCGTACGTCTGCGAGTGTAGAGTGTTGAATAGAGCACATGATACAAGCGTGTTTGGCCAGACTAGTTTCAAGTTGACCGTTGGTGAGTAGCTGCCCTGTAACCCACAAAATAGGGACACGTCAAAATTAGAATAGAGACTTACTCATAGAGGGAGGGGCGACGAGAAATCGGCGAGCGATACCACCCATGGAAAATCCGATGAGCTGCGTGGACATTACGAGCATCCAGTTATCTATCAAGGTTGACTCAGCCTGACAAAATTTGGGCCTGGAACAGGCGCTTCTCACAGGCAAAACTCCAGGCCTGGTTGTAGTACACGCGCTGGACGGCGACAATGTCCGTCGCGTACGCACTCTGTGCTCCGACGCTGGCCATTATCGTGACGAGCACCTAGAGGCGGGGATAAGGCGCTGTCCGTAGAGGCGGGAGGGCGAACTCACGTGTTCCTTGATAGTGAAAGGTCCCGGGTTCATCTGCACGCCAAAAACGGTGACTGATGGGCATAAGCGCACCCACGCCCGGCCAATGGGAAAGACGAGAAGCTGCGCCACGAGCTGTAATTGTTGCGGACCGGGAGGGAGGTGTTAGCGATGCGCATTGCAGGGACGCGAGGTCACTTACACCTCCAATGGCGACTGATGGATAGCGAAAGTAGAAGAATTGGTTCATGCCGGATATGAGAATAGCCCAGAAAATGCCGAGGACCCAGGCGCGGAACGTGGACGCGGGCATCTCTGGGTCGTCAAAGTTGGCGACGGCGGAACGGACTTCTGGGTACGGAGAATCATCCTCTGCAGCAACAAGTTTTGGGCGACGTATGAGCGCCAGGTGGCTGCTAACGAGATCAGCACGCACCGAGAACGGAACTGCTGTCAAAGTTGGGATCGAAGATACTGAGAATTGCGCTGTCATGGGCGGTGTAGGTGGAGGAAGTGTCGGCCTGATTTTCTGGAGCGGGTGCCGGTGGTGAGTGTGGACTCGATAGGGCTCGATATGACGGTGCGGGCGACGCACCTAGGGATTTCTCTGGGTCTCTGAGATCGTAGTCCAAGGCATTTATATCCTCCTTTGAGTCTGACCCGTTCATGGCATCCCTCCTGCGGCGGGTGGTGGAGCTGCTTCCGGGTATTGGGGGATAGGTGTGGGCCGTTGAGCTGTCCAGCGCAGTACGTCGGGTCTCGCAGCGTTACGGGGACTGGGGGTGCGAGCGGGCGAAACCGGGCAGCGGGGGAGAAGCACGGAAGAATGGTGGGAGGAGGAGAAAGGCCAAATAGTTTGTGCCAGGGAGGAGAGCAGCCATCTGAGCGAACGTCCACAGGCACAGATGTTCTCACGTGATTCATCCCAGCGACCACAGCTTCCCTTGGCCGCCGACTCGTTGTCGTGTGGGAGCCGTAAACTCAATCAGGCCAATATCTCTGTGCCTGGTCTTTCCCAGATATCACAGTCCTAAAATTACTCCGCCGACCTCTTTCTCCCCACCGAGCCCCGCCCCGCCCACGAGCTATCACATAGTCCGAATAAATTGGCGCCCATGCTGGACCACTCTCGCCGTTCTGTAGACCTTTTTTTCATCCAACGCCATCCACCCGGACCTGGTTTTCCAACAGCTGCACCATTGAGCTCAAGTCTCGGCGATTAAATGGCCAATCCCAGCCGACTCAGTCGGCTGGGGATAGACTGATTTGCCAATTATTTGTGGCCGCTCGGCTTTCCTGGCGCATCCAGAGGTAATTATATTACAGGTCATATGTGGGTGCTCGACGTACAAGTGGTGGTACCACTTTGCTTCCGTTTATGCAGATTCATACCCACACGTTCATTGAATGTAGTCGATCGCGTTATTCCTTCGACGCGCTATCATTGGACCAATCTACTCCTTTTTTCGATGCACCCCGAAAAAAACACGGGTAGCCAAACGGAAACACGGCTTCGCTGAGTGCAACGGTGTTCGCCCGGCCGGTTGGTATTCAAAATGGGCACCGTCTGCCCCTGGGTGCTGGCCCAAAGTCTCCGTCGTATGCGCCAGTATAGTATATTGCTTCATATCCTGTGAAATATAGCAATTATGATATTGAGGAGTGTGCCGAGCTCAAGGCCATGAAAGGATCGGACACGGAGCTTTTTTTTAATGAGATTATCATTCGACCTACAATGGATTGGGATCCAGCAACACGAGCAATAATTTCCGTAGAAGAAATAAGTAAAAGGGTGTGTTGGCCCGCATCGAGAGAGGCAAACTTCCCCGGTCTCCTGGAACGGAGGGAAATTAATGGGAGCACTGAAAATTCAATTGTCGGTATTCATGTTATAATGATCACAAACTGTTTTATGGCTCCCTACTTCGGATTTTTAAAGGATCTATGTCCTGTGTCACTCCTTCGTTTTGCCGACATTTGTTGATGCTCCGAAGCGAGCAGCTAATGGAACGCCACATCTCGAGGAGTGATACCCTTATGATCCCCAAGAAACTAAGTTTCCCTATTCTATAGCAAGGGTGAAGCAAATGCAGTCAATTTATTGACCTATTGTTCGAGGGCTTTGTTTATCCATGGCCAGCGTCAGCGTCGCACAAGCGCTTCCTCTGACCGCCTGCCGGCGGCGGCCGGGCCATTGGGGATTGACCAGACCTCCAAAATGTCTGTTGGATGGTTTCCGAATATTAATTTTCTCCCCGCGGCCGTTCTTTAAATTGTTTCGTAACACTTTATTACAGCTCGATCGTCTCATCAAACGTGTTCGCCAAGCCCTCTGGTTTTGGCACAATATTTTCCTGTTTCCGTCCAGAAGCAGAGGAGAAAATGCCTCACTGGTAGTTTGTGGTGGCGGAGATAAGAAGTTAGGAACTGCAGTGAGCACCATTTGTACCAGCTAATCTTCCATCAGGAACGACTGAAGCCCTCTGAAGCCTCTCCGGCCGCTCAACGAAAAAGATGACTTCCATCGCGACGACAGAAATAATCAGCAATTATCTTGTAAGCTTGGCGATAGGCACAATTCACGCAATCCCTCCAATCTCTCCCGAAAGGCATCACTCCAAAGTCGTTCCAACACGTCATCGCGTCATCGGCGAATGCATAAAAAAAGCCGTCGCCTCACCCGAGTCCAAGTAGACCAAACTTTGGACCAACTCTTTCCCAATCCGCCGTGAGGATGTATACATGCGGCACCTCCTCACATCCCTCGTGTAACCCGATTCTCGAAGCACTGCGTGACATATGTACACTATCCACCAAACTTTTTATTCCTATCACCGAGCTTCCTTACCTCACGTCGCCTTTCCGACAGAAACTACCAAGTCGCTCGTCTGCGTCCCAGATAATCTTGGACTACATGATCCGTCCTATCATCTATCTCTTTGCATCTCTCCAAGCCCTCTCAAGGCTTTGCAAGACGAGTCAAGAGGTCTCAAGAATTCTGAAGACTAAGCTCAATTGTGCCCGCCCACGAGCGCTCCACCACAAGCCCCTGCCAAACCCATGGAACTGAGAACAAGCCGATCGTGGGGAACGAGAGCATCAGAAATTTCTTTTGAAGACTTTTTACATCGGTTCAAGAGGCGCGCTTGCGACAGATGACGTTGTGGGGTTCTTTGGAGAGTTATCAGATAACGCCGGAGAACCAGAGGACGACGACTAGGTGGCGGTTAGAAAATATCCGTGTGTCCTCGCTGTATGCTGAGCTTCGTCTGAACAATCCCTTCTCGTCTCATCGATATTCTCGCCGTTGCAATTCCTGAATCCCCCCATCGTGTCCTCCAAGTTGAACTACATAAAAATCCACCGAGACCTCGATGGTGCGTAGGCGAGCCTGAGGTCCACGCCCGCCGGTGTGGCGCTATCTTCTTCCTAAAAATACTTGCATGTCTCCCACTGTAAGACCCTGGCCCCATCGCGCTGCCGTCACTTACGTTAATTCCCGCCTACCCCACAAGCCACGGGCCGCCTATCCACAGACGTTGTAGAACATCGTCGGCACCGCATAGGCAGCTGATCGACTTCACATCCACCTTTGAATCATAATGCCCCTCGGGAGAGTACACATTCGTCTCAGCTGGTTCCACTTCGCAAAAATATAATAATCACATGCATCTCTGCCGTGTAATTTAAACTTCGATGGGCGTCCATACATATTTCCAGATCTTTTCAAGTTCTCTGCAATCCTTACAGCCTATGTATGGGGTTGGGAGGAGTTCGAATTCGAAAGAAGAACGGTGAGCACCGGGGTGCCCGAGGTTCTTTAAGTTGATCGAACATACGGCGGCCTGGAGAAGGTTTCTTGATCATGACTTGGTGAACTCAATGACACCCCTTACGAGGCTACGCCTATCGTAAGTCTACCCTTTGTTCCTTGGTGCCTTCCCTCCTAACCCCACCCCTGACTGACCTGACCAGGGCTTCCCATCTCTCAAGATGATGATAAGCCTTTTGCGTCCTTTACATCCCCAATCCCCACTACTTCGTCTCCTGAGCACTCTGAAGTTCTCGTCTCAATACAATTGCACGATCGCGCAAGGCTTGGCCGGGCTCACGATCGCTGTGTGGCGCGCAAGCCACGCGCGTCGGGCTGTCATGATGATCGGTCGCGTGCGCGGAGCGCGCGCGATCACTCGCCACGCGCCGTGCGGGGCGGTGGCGCTCTGTCATCTTCTGCAATCTGCGACAGAGTCAGACTGGAATTTTTCGTTTTTGAAGAGCAGAGGTGAAAAGAAATTGATGGTATTAGTTCAAAGTTGAGCGTTTGAGCACCGTCAGAATGATAATTCTTTTACACGGAAATTTAGGCACAGGTTCACCGATGATCGCAACGACCGACGCCGATAGCGCACTTAGACTACGGTATCGAAGGCCTTCGCAAATGTTTTGTATTGCGGCTCTGAACTGAGAGCTCGACTCCGGTTAAAAGTGAATTGTCGAAGTAGTCGAGGAGCATCAGCTGTACCTTCTCGCCAACTCACTGCGATCTCTGGCCTATAGAGAGACCGGGCGTGCAACCCAATTTACCTCTGGAAGAAACTTTCGCCTCTCCTCGAGGCAACCACAGAAATTTCGCAGCCCTCCCATTGAACCCATTGAACTTGCATATCAAAATCTGTGCCGTATTGCAGGCACCCAGGCTCGACGAGAAGCTCTAGCTATATGCTGACATGACGACGAGATAGAGCACATACGAGACAAAACTAAATGCCTTCCGAATCCCGCTATGAAACTTACCACGACAAGATCAGTATACCTAAGAAGCTCTAACTCGTTCTCACAGCCAAAATGACACAACACTTTTGTGTCCTGAGGCATACGACTCGGAGTCCATTAATTTCGAGAACCGGGATGCAACCCGAATACTTGGAGAATTAACCAAGACCTCATGGGTGAGAGAAAACGGCCTCTCGTATCTCCCAGACAACATGCTCAAGGCTGTGTCTTGGTCCAGCCACGGTCTATCCAAGAAAGGTAATGTGGCGCCCACTTCAATCAAGGCGCTTGAATGTTCTGGCTATCTACCCGACAAATTGCTCCCCTGCTATCGATTTGAATCTATTTGAATGCTATACACAGGAAAAGAGCCGAAGAAATTCCCACAGTCAGGAATTGATGTGCGCGGCGTAAAAAACAAATGTGCGCCACACAAACGCCTATAAAGGCACTGGAGAGGGAAGAGGAAAGCGCAAGATCATTCATCACCGTCAAACTATCAGGTCCATCATAACTTAACCGATATTAAACGCCGTTGACAATCATCTGAACGATATCTTCTCGGCTAGAGGGCGGGCCTTGGGCCACTTCCTTAGGAGTTCTATTTAAAACTGGGTCTTATGGGCCATTCCAGAGCCCTGAGATTACGGGCGATAGTGCCCAGATACTACTCCTCCCTCCTCCAGCACACAGCTGCCCGGCCTCAACGTTACCCTACGTTACCACTGCAAACAGACACCGTGACCTCAACCCGTCAGCGGTTCAGCATCTAACACACCTTGGCGCCACTGAGTTTATTCTATGGAATAGATCTTGAAGCTTGAGCGAAGGAGCACCTGAAGAGGCGACAGTGCGACGTGCGACACAGAGATGCTGGATGCTCGAAGGAAGGGGGCATTCGCAAAAAGGTCGCTTATACCTTGTCGGGGGAAAGATCGCATGACCACTGACCGACCCCGCGACCTGTGGATTCCCATTTTTTTGGGACGTTTCTGGCAAGCCGGTTCCCAAATTTGGAGCAGCAGTCTCCAGCGTCAATATCAAGAGGACAGCGGCCAAGCGCTACATGGCCCTTACAATATAAGTAGTTTAGTCCAACTGTGGACCCGTTAGATTGCTTATCTGTATTTTCCGAGTCCTGCTCCCTGACTCGAATTCACGACGCTGGTGCTCATACATTGGCCTTAAAGTTATCGGGCATATCTGAGTGGTTGACAGGTGACACCGTTGAGCCTAGAACAATCGGGGATATCCACAGACCAAAAGAATAGAGTCCAATCATGCATAAGGGGTAGGCAAATATCCTGGCACATCTAAGGAAAGTCTCCTGGAGATTTCAATTTGGCCGGAGATGTGCGGCCGGTAAGGACGAGGATCAGAAAGCACCGCGTACAGAGTCCTATAACGACGCCGGAGAGGAACGAGGGGCGCATAGCATCATATATCGCTATCAGACAGTCGAGTCCACTACGAGTTGACACTGACATTAGACAGCCGTCTGAGCGATATGTCCTCGGCTGCAGGGGGAGCGTTGGGTCACTCCGCTCCTTGACATCGCCGTATTGGAACCTTTACGTTCTTCAATACAACACCGCCATCTCTGCACACACGACAGCCAGTCCTACACCTGTCATGACCACCAAGGGTGCCAGGTTCCACCACGCGAATGTCCTCTGCCTGATAAAAATCCCCTTCTGATTCAATATCTGCCTCCACAGAAGCCCCGCGAGCGAGGCACTGAACGTGAACGACACGGTCCCAATATTTGAGGCTACGGCGAGAGAAATAGCCGCGGACCTGTTGAACGCCTCTAGGTTGATGTCTGTGTCCGGCAGGGCAGACAATGACGCCGCACGGACAACCTTGGTGAGGAGAATCGTTGCTCCGATGTTCGTCCCACTGATGTTGCAAAGGACAACACCAAGAATGCCCACCAGCCAGATCGTTGGATACATCCGCCGCCCCGACGCGACGACGAGCCAGCGCGCGAAGATCTCTATCCAGCCTTGGTGCGCCAATCCCTCAATGAGGATGAATTGAGAAAATGCGAATGGCACGAGGGCGAATGGAAGACGTGGGAAGGCAGTGTAGAGGGTCGGAAAGTGGGTTGCAAGGGCGTGTTTGTAGTTTTGGTAGGTTAGGTAGGGTTTGACAAGGAAAGGTAAGGGGATGGTAGTACTTTTATGAGAGGGTGGGTGTTCGACTTGAAGAGGGGCATTGCTATCGAAAGTGACGGCCCTTTGATTTGCATTTGTTGACGCTGTCTCCTCTGGCGGAATTCCTGTGCGATGCCGCCGGAGCTGCCGGAGGACGATGTCGTCTCCCACTTCCGAAAGGTTTTCGTCAGACTGTTTGGCTCTGGCTTGCCCAAGCATTGGCATCTTGTGAACATAGCGGTACAGTCGAACTCCTCTTAACCCATACCCCCTCCGTGGACGGCCCGGGGTATGGGTTATTGGGGGTTATGGGTTGTGAGGGGAGTGCCAAAAATAGACCGGGAAAGTGGATGAAAAATACGATGGACATCTGGGTAGAATAGTGCATTTAGGCCCACCGCAAGTCCGCTGCAAGTGATCCAGGGGGGTTTGGACATTGAGTTAGGATGAATCATGCTCTCGGGCTCGCCTAGGCGGATTGCCTCCATTCAATGAGCGTACAAGCGCCATTTTAGTGCGAGTGGGCGCAATGTAAACGACCCATGACCGGCCTGATTTTCCGTATGGGCTACCAAATATGGGCCACTTATGTCCGGCTTGTAAGCCATCTTTCGCTCTCACGGTTCTTTGGGACAACTTTCATTAGTTTTCGGCTGTTTTTCGGTGAGATACAAGGCCTTTCCATCAAACAGGGTGAGTTGCCGCCCCCATAAATGCCAATAAATGAGACTAAATATGGCCTGATGGCCGGTAAAATCTATGGGTTTTGCCCGCGAAGGGGTATGGGGCATGGGTTATTGCGGACCTATGGGTTATGGGACGCAAATCCCCGCCCACCAAGTTGGTGGATCGAGAATGCTATGGGATAAAAGGGGTTATGGGTTATTAGGAGCATGGGTTAAGAGGAGTTCGACTGTAGTGATCCCATGCGACATCGTAGATAAATTTCGCGGCAGCGAACGGCAAGCTGATCTCCCAGACATCGACATGGAAGAAGCTCACGATGATGATGACCGTCAGGCAACTGCCCAGCAAGAGGCTTCCCACCCAAGCTCCTCTGGGGTCGAGCAGGACGGCTCGAACATCCAAATCACCTGCCACATTCAGGCGCCTTGGCAGATATTTGGACTTATGGAATTGGGCGGCTAACGCGATGAAGCACACGGTAATGCACGCCAGGAATGGTAGGATGGTGTATGCAGTGAAGGCTGCATTGTTGACGCGAAACCCTTCACAGATGACGACATTCGTTGGGTTCCCAACGAAGAGAACCATGCTTGCCGTGTTTGCAGCTGCAAACTCTGACATGAGCCATGCGATGGGATTGAGCTGAGAGCGAATGCCATAAATTTCCGCAGGTATTGCTTCGAAAAATAGGCTTACTTCATTCACTTTCGTATAGTACACCAAAAACGCCGTTCCCGAAAGGATGACGGGGTCGTTTCCTCAGACGACGCTCAGGGCGGTTAACATCATGTAAAAGTATAGGAACAATTTCCATCCGTTGTTTCCGCCCTTGTTGCTGACCCAGAAAGCGGCAGCCTGCAGGACTCCGGTTATGTCGAGGGTAATGGCCATGTATGCGAGCGAAAAGAACAGAATGAGGATATTATACGGCTTCACCCCATCAGTGCCGCTAGAAAGCAGAGTTCAGCAAAAACTTTTCAGGCAGGGCTATGACGTACACGATCCCATCTCTAATCTACGTCGCGCATTAGTAAAATGCAATAGCTGTAGACGAATAACACTCACATTTCTAGGGCCCAGACATTGTGCTGCCCATAGAACCAAGATAGCGAGAATGGGTGCTGTTGTCAGGTTGATATAGATCCGTTTACGGCCCAGGTAAGGTAGAAAAATCGGAAGCGAGAAGGGGTAGATGACGCAGATGATGGACAAGATGAAAACCACCAAAGTGGCGATAGCTGAGCCTGAGACCATAGCCTACTGATCGCATATAACCACTCCTATGAAAGATAGAGACCTCTTGCTGCTGTGCGACCTTGAAAGGGCCGAGTAAAGTGGCCCAGAGGCTCCACTAGGCTTCGTCCTACGTCCTTTATGTAAACGATTTTTGGAGGAAGTGGAGCACACGGGGCTGTGCACAGCCTTGCCTATTGATATGAGCGTTCTAGCCGTCTGCCAGAAAGAAGCCCTTTGAAAGATCTGAATAAATTGTACCACTCAATGTTTCAACATGGAGCGGCCAGCAGAGTTCATCCCCCGTGGTGGCCGCCGGTGAATCGTGATCCTGACAAAGGTCCAAATATGATGGTGAGCTGGAAGCAACATTGAAGTTGAACATTTATTGATAACTGACATGCTGCCATATCGCACACGTGCATACGCAACTCGCCAGAAACGATGCGCTGCCAAGAGTTGAGACTCAACAACCTCCCCAGATTTTGACACGACGTCGGTGGAGCTGCGACGCTGAGGCTATTCACTCTTTCCGCCATCCACCTCCGACGAAGCAGCCAAATAACGAAAGCGCAGTTTTCTACCTCAAGCTTTGCGACTTTGGCCTTTCAACCTTCGTGTTCAGGAAGTTGATCGACAGAATATTGGCTGATACACCATGTATCGGAATGCCATTATACCACAGACGGGCCCTGCAATGCCGCCTCGGGTGCCTCCGCCTCGGCAGAGGCATGGGGCACCATCCGGTTAGGCAATAAATCTTTTAGTGCTTCGAAAACTTACTTTCGTTCAATAGGACCGTGGCCTTTTCTAGATATCGACGACGAGGTCGATCGAGTGCGCATTGAAGATCCCTACAGCCATCTCCCTCTGTCAGCAGAAGCATGCGCCCATGCACAGACCCCCACGCAAGAAGTGTGCTGGTGCAAATACCCCCAGTCTATGTATCCGAACTGGACGAAGCAACAGCAAAAGAAGAGTCGTATTTCGAGGATCATCGATAAGAGGCTAGAGACGTCTACAATACACTATCTGGATGTTATGGAGGACGGGATGTTTACCAGCCGAGGAGAGAGGGAGGTTAGCCCGACCACCCAGGACAGACGCTGGCTTGCTATCCAGAAAGGCGTAAGCATTTCGATTATGTTTGCGAGGGTACGTTGTAAAGGTTGACCGTTTCGTGCAGCGGCCCTCGGGAGTACGCGTTCGTGTCCTCTTCGTTGACAATCTGTCAGGGCCAGTGCTGCAAATGCTCGGAACAAGATACAACATCGAACCTTTCTTCTTCTCCTCTACCATCGGCTGGATACCGGCACGATATCAAAGCCATGTCATTCCTAAGCAGTCAGATCGTAAGCGTCTATTTTGACCGCCCTTTCATTTGGTTGAATATCAACCTGCCAGATATCACAATTACTCTCAGTTTCATTCGTTCCATCCAGACCCCGACCACAGTCCCGCCCAGTCCCAACTTAAGTTATGAAAGTGTCTTCAGTCGGGCAACAAACCGTGCCCCGGACCTCATCATCGACACACAGGCGCCTCTCCCCCTTCGATCCAGTGAGCAATTTTCTTGAATAAATATTTCCTTGCTCAAGACAGCAAAACTCAGACGGTATCCTCCTCCTTCCTGACCTACTGGCTTTGCATATGGTCCGTTCGGCCAAGGGAAATACCATCATCTCCCTCCATTCTGAGCCGGAGCATCGTGGCACAACTGCTGAATCCCTTCACCAACGAGTACAATTTACTGGTCGATCTGTATATTGGAGCAACATATTTAGAGACACCACCGACCCTACCTTTATCTTCTTAAGCTTTCTTTGGTATGCTCTCTATGCATGGGACGAAACTTTGGAACGGCTATATAGCCACATATGCTTCTTGGTACGTCACGTAGCCTTGTCCGCTCTTGTTTTCGTCGCTGATGGCTTGTGGAAGGAAACGCAAGTTATCGCTACTGATGATATCCAGATGACGCATGAGCTGCATGTTGTTCGTGCACACCTCTTGCACTACGAATCTTTGTTGCATGACTTCAAGAAAACTGTAACGTTTGTTATGGACACCCCAAACCCGAGGATGTTGGCTGGGTCGGAGGAGGACAAAGCGCGAAGCGCAGAAATTATGCAGAGGGAATGCAAAACATTGTTAACGGAGATCAATCGCCTCCAAGTCAGTCGCAACATGCAGGATAAGAGGTTGAAAAATGTCATGAACCTGGTAAGATGCCTTTCTTTTACCGCGACAGAAGTGTGGAGCTATAGACCAAGGGATTTACAGGGATTTAGTCGTGTTGCCATCGAGGATAGTCGAAGGATGCAAAGACTGACCGAGGCAGCAGTGAAAGATAGTGCAGGTCAGTCAATCATGGGCATGTTAACACGTTGATCCATTAGGTCTTATATTTCCATATTTTCAGCTCTGAAGCAGATTTCGTACCTCACGATGGCCTTTATACCCGCTTCTTTTGTTGCTGTACGTCATGGGTGTCGGCGTCTGTTATAAGGCCAAACTGAAATTTCCTTGGCTTAGGCTGTCTTTGGGATGAACGTCACTATTATCAACCCCGAATCCTTCGCAACTCTGCCTCAATACGTTGTGGCAGCCATATCTCTTACCCTTCTGACCATTTGGATAATTGTCGCGTACCAGATCCAGATCAAGGCCCCTCCTCCCACCTCAGCAGACGCCGACGAGAAGGATGGAGGAGAAAAGTCTGAACAAGCCTCTGAATATACATATCACGGATTTGGCAAGTCCAGGGAAGAGACGACGGAGAGGTTTATGAAGCTGGATCTTTGGGGAAGACTGGGGTGGCCCGTCCTTTTGTTATTCTCGTTCCTGGAGAGAAGGAAATGGTTCAAGGAGAGGCGTGCGAGGCTGGGGGTTCAGAAGTGACTTTATGCTCCTTAACCTACTAGTGCTAGATATTTATATCATCTATGTGTTTGTATGCTATACTTACTCCCCCACTGAGGCTTGTTGTAATCTATGTAAATCTCCATTCTATGTACTCACAGAGAATACGAAACCTTGAGCCGTCCAATAGTATCGAGATAGTCGCCCTCGACGGTACAGCACGTTCAGGGCACGTGCAATTTATTCAAAGGGTCTCTGCAACTTGAACCTCAACCACATCCTCGCCCACTCTCTTTCTCTTTGAGCCCCAATTTCCTACGTATGATCCGCCTGATTATTCGTCGGTACGTGGTACATGACGCCTCAATTACGGCGACAGCGTGACTGATCTCCCTTTGGCACCAGGAATAGAGGGCAACATCGGAATGAATAGAGAACGCCCAAGTCCGCCGCCTTTGCCAAGATGGGAAGCTATTCATGGTATGCACAATTGAACTAGAGGTAGTGGATTGCGCGATTCATGTGGCTGATACATTCTCTCCCATGCAGAACCACCTCCGTCCGGCGATGAGGAAGACGAGGATGAAGAGGACGAATTATTGTCTAGTTCGTCGCACCAGACGCCTGCCCCTGTCAATCCCGTACTCAAAAGGAAGGAAAGCGACTGGTCCTCTCAGTCGATTCCCAAACGCCCGAAGCATTCTCAACCAACACCAAGGAGCGAGCCTGGTGGTTCAAGAGGACAAGCTGAGAGTGTATCCGCTCCAGGTATGGTTCTTACGACGCGTTCTTTGACACCGAAACCATTTACGCGCCTTTTAGTACGCCAAACGAATGGGTCGCGTCCTCCATACCCCAGCACGTCCTTTTCCTCCACATTCATTCCTGGCGCCTCGAAAGGAGCTGCCCCATCTCTCACTGCCCCTTCCACATCTAGCCAATCGGTGCCTTCGATGCTACCACCTCCTTTACCTTCTCGAAATATTTCTTCTGAGAGAAGACCGTCTTCTGAAGCGGCAACCAATTCTCAAGCCTCATCGTCGAGTAGGAATACAGATCAATCGTCTACCAGGAAACCCACATCCACATCCACCTCTATACCTCGTCCTCGTCCGATATCAAAGAAGAACATCCCAAGCTCCTTGCCGCGGGAGTTATTTTCTGCCGCTGTCTCATCTTCCCGCAAAGCCTTGTCAGCCAATACTTCTGCAAAGCCGAAGCCGAAGCCAAATTCAAAACCCATGCCATCTAATGAGATTATCGAAATCTCTGACGACGAACCTTCTCCCCCCGGACCGAAAAAGTCATTGCCTCCCAGCGAGATCATTGAAATTTTCGATAGCAGCGATGAAGAATCGGCGGTTCCTCCTGCTCGTGGGTCAGCCTCGCAGAGCGTGCCTTCGTATGTTCCAACAGGGCCCCCACGTAGAACCAAAGCTAGCGTCAATGAGGAAAGAGTTATTACGAGCGCGTCACGTTCTAGCCTCTCTCAGAAAGATAGGAATGGCGACAGGATGGATGTCGACATTGAACCGTCCACCTTGCAACCGTCCAAGACCAGCTTGCTACAGCCAGCTCTCGTTCCAACCATTCCGATGAAGCCAACCGATGAAGACCAATGCATGGTCGTGGACAGGATCAAAGAGCCCCCTGATTCGACGCTCTCCGCCACCCGCATTCCCTCGACTCCGACTTCTGCTTCATTCAATAATAATAAGGATGAGGTCCGAGTGAAGAACTCTGGCGGATATACACCCTCATCTGTACCTCGACGGATGTCCACAGGTAGCCCCAAGTCTGCCGCGAAGAAGCCAGTTAGCCGAGAAGGTTTGACCCCCATTTCAGCACCCCCGTCTGCCAGCACCCAACCGTCTCCTTCAAAACCCCGCCTCCAACGAGGTCTGAAGAGTGCTTCTGCTACTTTCCGCCCGCCAGAGGAGGCTTCACTGCCATCACCTTCAAACAGCTCTTCCGAAGCGCGGGCCTCATCTCGACGGATGTCGCATGCCAACTCTGATGACGCTGGGATCGATATGCGGAATCTGAACGAGGCATTAGGATTGGGTGCGTTATCAAGTCGGCAACAAACGCCAGAAAACCCTGTTACGGTCAAACCACAGCCGATCTCTCCTGAGATGCCCAAACCATCAGTACGTAGTTTATGACATCTTCATCAAAATGCCTTCTCTTACTATTATTTCAGACTGCCCGCAACCTCATGCTGGAGAGGCCCAAGTTCGTTGCCCGGAAGTCCAGTGGCGGACGCATTCCTGCTCCTCAGATACCTCTCCGTGAACCGGGCACTGCTGACATGCCCATCGACCTAACCTCCGACAACGAAGATGTCGGCCCCGAGGATGCTGTCATGGAGAAAGCTCGCGAAAGTGCCAAAACCCTTGTGAAACTTGTCGCAGACCTAAAGGGAAAGAAATTGGAGGCTTTCACCCCACCTTCAAGTAAGTCGTGTGCCTTGGTGTAGTACCGTATATTTTTATAGCTCGTCTCTAGAACAGCAACCTTCCACGAACGCGCTTCTGCACGAACCATATGCATCGTCTTCTAGAGCCAGCGCTTCAACAGATGAGCTTGCCCTTAGATCTGCCGGGGTTTCTGCCTCTCCTCCCCCTAGATCGGTATCTCCTCAGTTTGGCTCGCCAGGTATCCCAGTTGCAACAAAATCATCCGAGGTACAGAACGAAGCCAGACGGAACTCGGCTCCTTCTCTAGGGAAAGAGCCAGTGAGCCGGGTCATTCGCTCGTCAAGTCCACTATCTCGACCAGTTACCAGCCCTCGAAGTCCTTTGACGAAGCGTCCTGAGGCACGACCTTTCTTATCTGCTTCTATGCCGCAGGTCCCAACTGCCCTCAGCTCGCTAGCGAAATCTGCGACAAGTCTTCAATCCGCTGCGCAATCTGCGTCATCGTCGCATAGCCTCCCTGCTACAGTTCCTACACTTCGTTATACACCAACTTCGTCTGTGTCCACGCCGTCGGTTTCACCAGTGCGAGCAACACAAGCAGCCCCAGTGGCCCCTACTGAAAACATTGTCCAGGAAACATCTCATGCCGTCGTTACGAAACTGCATGCACCGCAAACTGTGCTGGATCCAGCTGCCATCGCAGCGCAATTACCAAGCGGAACATTATCCGAGGACGAAGCGACCGAGGTTCAGCAACTGATTGCAGAAACAGATGACGAGATAGAAGACGTACAGACCAAAGATGATGCTCTAATGGACGTCGACAGTGATGAGGAAATGCCACCTGAGGCTAGTGTGGATGCCAACGAAGGTAGCGAAATGGGTGACGCGCCGGAAGATGACGTGCCTGATTCCAACAGCCTCGATGATCTGGCACTTCCACGAGACCCAGTCGATCCAACAGGGCGAACTGATACACCCAGCGATGGCGAAGACAGCTGTGGTTCCTCAGCCTCTCTCCCACCTGGACGACGGCGGTCTTCTCGGCGGTCCTCGCATTCGTCGAGCGATAATGGTTCCAACGAGGTTTTCGACGACGATTTCGGCCTGTCTGTGTCAGCTCCTGCCAGCCGCAGCACGACGCCGGAGGATATCGTGTTAGATGTTGTTCCGAAGAAATCGTATGGCGGTTTCGCTGCTGTGACATGGGCCGAGTATAGGAAGGACCCCAACAACTTCAGACCAAAGGTCTACCGCGCCAGAGATTTGCCACATACCCTTCAAGACCACGTCAACAGGATGGTCAACAGCCAAGAAACACCCCACGGCGCTCGCGAGCTCTTCGAGGCTATGATCAGTGAGAACACGGCAGATGATGAGCCACTCGCACCGCATATCAGAGTAGAGAACGACGTGGATGACGAGGCGACCCCGCCATGGGAATTCTATTATTCCAACAAGATGTGGCACGGTGAAGGTGTACCAGATCCCGACATCAAGGGCCTCCTAAGTTGTGACTGTCGAGGCTGGTGCAACCCCAAATCGAAGACCTGTGCATGCCTCAAGCGACAACGTGATGCTGTCAAAGACAAAGACCTCGTCGTTGAGTTCGCCTATGATAAGAATGGCAAGCTCAAGATTGCGGGCTATCCTGTGTTTGAGTGCAATGAGCTTTGTGGGTGCAGCGAAGAATGCCGAAATCGGGTAAGTCTCAACGGTAAGTTCCAAGCCGCCAAGAGGTTCTGATGGCTCATTTAGGTGGTTCAACATGGCCGAAAGGTTGAAGTCCATATTCGGAAGACGGAAAGCAAAGGCTGGGGTATGTTTCCGACCCTAAATGCCCGAAAAAAACAAGTCATCAACAAGTCTCTCTTTCAGGAGTGTTTGCTGGAGACAAGAAGATACCACAGGGCACTTTTATTGGTATTTATTCTGGAGAGCTTTTGATGGATACCGAAGCCCATGCTCGTGGAGTGTACTTACCTGTTTACTGGCTTCTTTCCTGTTCTCAAGCACTAACAATTCTCAAAAACAGAAATTACAACAAATTTGGCAGAACATATCTATTTGATCTTGACTTCCACCATTTAAAAAGTCATCTACCAAAAGAACAGCAACAAGTTTGGACATCTCAGTTTACTGTTGATGCATATCATGCAGGAAATGTAAGTGATATAGACTTTCTTTTATAGGAGAATGCTTATGGACTTTTCTTAGTTCACTAGATATCTGGTAGGCCAGAAAGTCACTTTCTGGACCATTTTACTGATCCTATTGAAAAACCAAGAATCATTCTTGTGACCCGAATTGCAGGCTATACCCCTGCTATATCAATGAGGGCAATATTCAGAAGCCTCTTCTGACTGTCTTCTCTATCCGAGATATTGAACCTGAAGAGGAAATCTGTTTCAACTATCAGGGAATATACCCAGGAGAAGAGGATGAAGAAGAGGAAGGTGAGGTAGCTGGTTCGGAAACAGGAGAGGCCAAAGACAGTGTCTATGTTCCTTGCAAATGTGGTGCCAAAAATTGTTCAGGTGAAGTGAATTTATGTTCATTATATCCTTCTACTCACTGTTCTAAACATTCAGGGAAAATGTGGAATCAGTGAATACACCCAATCTACGTACAGTTGCTATCATCATACTATCATTATTATTCATCTTATTGACGTGGCAGAATACGCAGAGGAATTTGAAACAGAATTAAAAAAGATAGTGTCAAGGATAACTCTAATCATCCAGAACAATGACATCGTGGGCTTGCCGTGCTGACCGTCGACTGCCACTCGCACCAGAGGCGCTCTCCACCCTTCGGGTTGGAGGCTTCTGTTTCCGTGTCCGCTTGGATGGCACCTGAGCTTCCGGATCCAACACCTCAACATCATCGTCCGAGTCAACCAAGTCCACCACATCCCCTGGATCCTCTACAGTTCCCGACGCAGCTGTACTCCCTCTCTTGCGCTTCCTCCCTTGTACCAGACCTCCTTCCTCTCCGTCCGAGTCGAGTACGACGATAACGTCGTTCGAAGAGCCACCACCACCCATCGTCGCAGGCCCATTGGTCCGCGTTGACCCCGACCCGGACGCTGAGCTCGACCCATCTACAGCGTTTGGAGGACTAGTGTCGGCTCGTTTCTTTCCCTTTCCCTTGTTTGGAGGCGCTGCTTGCGCAACGGGAGGCGGCGGAGGCTTGGCATACGTCTCCGTCCATTGTCGTGCTGTGGCATCGTGTTGTTTGCGGTTACGCGTGTACTGGGTCGCGATCGAGGGTACTGCGTTTTGAGATTGGAGTAACGAGGGTTCATGGATCCGCAATTCCGAGCAGGAGTGAAGGAGGAAGTGAAGGAAGGAAAGGAAGCTGTGTCAAAATCGGAAATCCGGAATGTCTTAAGCAGATAACTTACCGAGAGGGTCCTCTACAGGCGGAAAGGAAGTAAAGCAGTTAGTAGGACGTTGACAGACTAGAGAAGTCGCGACGTACTGGGATTTGGATCCGTCAAGAGAGACGAGAGCGAAAGCATGACCTTGAACAAAGAAAGTGCTGGGGACCAGTTGTGCTTTAGGATGTCGATACAAATGTTGCCAGATTCCGCAATCTACGGGCTTTCAGTATCGTGAATCTCTTCAATGATGCGCAGGAATACGCACGTTCATGTGGTATATTCTAGAGGCATGGGGTTAGACACCGTCTGGGCAGAAGGGTCGCGGGTTGACACACCTCGTCTTGAACAATACTTTCGGTGCTGAGAACCTGTTACGCACAAGCATGAGTTGGAAAACGCGTCTTGACTTTCAACCCTGCAAATGACACTCACGGATAGTCGTTCGGGAGGACGATCTCCACATTGAAGATGCCACCGTCGTATACGCTCCCTTGTGGTCCGGGTATGCTACCCTTCCAGATATACAGACTATCGCTGGGCTCCAAGACGATTGGCCCAAGATCTTCCTTCTTCAGGTCTGCAATTTCGCGGTGAATCCGTTTCAAGGTCATCTGGGTATCCGTCGTTAGAAAGGGGATCGACCTTCAGAGAATTAATATTTACCGGAGATGTGAGTCCAGGGGGCATGTTGTTCTTTGCTGATTAGACAGGGACGTTCGTTGGGTCGAAAGGGTATGGAGTAAGGACTAGTTGAAGGATAGGAAGATTGCAATGGAGCTAAGTAACTTTCAAGGAAGAATCGACTCGGCATCAACTCGGCATCAATGCCGAATTTGTCGATCCACGTGATGCGCTCGAAGCTCCCTAAGCCTTAGGTTCCTCGCCGCTCGGACCCCTGCAATCATCTTCTGGGTACCTCCATTATCATGAGTCCCTTCTGAACGCTCATTTGAGTGCGGCACGATGATATCTTCCTCGACAAGCTTGAAACGACGACGTTACTGTCTCCGCTCTGGGCGGCTAGAGCTCAAGATGCAGAGTCAGTGACCTCAACCGACGAATCTGACAAGGGATGTGGAGGATGACCTAAAATCTGTGGGTGTTGTCCCTTACACTAGAGGGCTCTACGCCTACTTACTCTGGAAACAAGCCAGCTTCTCCCTTTACTATTGCTCAGATCTGGCGGATCGTTCAGTGCGGTCCACACGCGCCTTCATCACGACCAAACTGAGAAGAAGCGCCTCGAGCAGTCAAATAGAAAAACCGTCTCCTACAAACTCTGAAGTGTCACTGGGGATGTCATACTTGCACCAACCACCCATAAAACAATGCGCGATCTTTATTGAACACTCAAATCCTCCTCGATGCCATCCTGATACACGTACAGCTGTCTTCGCAGACCCCACGAGCTGGGTAATGCAGGAGGAACTGAACAAAGATGCATTGTGGTTGCACGGCCTAGCTGGGCTGGCAAGACCTCTACATGCCAAACTGTCGCCAAAAGGTATCACGAGTCTGGCGATCTGGCGGCAACACACTTGCTCTCAAGGGGAGAATTGGAAACTGCGTATCGCTACCCTCGCCTGCCATGAGGCCATAAAGACCTTTATGGTGACAAAAATTCTTAATGACCCGTCAATCCTTGAAAAATGGCTGGCAGTGCAATTTCGACACCCCATCGCATCCCCAGTTCAAGAGGCTGCGGCTCATATACTCTCCAGATCTTGGTGCAAACTCATTATCACTGATGGACTGGACAAATGATAACCATAAGGTCGCACAAAATCCATTCTCCGCCTCCTTCACAGCGTGGTGAGTCGTAAAGCATTCCCTTTCTGCATCCTTGTTGCCGGTCGCACGGAACCTGCGATCCTGGACGTTTTGGATAACGAACTATGCTCAACAACCTACCGCATCGAACTCAGTGACAATTATGAAGCCGATAAGAATATCGCAATTTATTTACGGAGCAACTTCTCGGATATCCTTCGTAAGCACTGGCGCAATCGGACAATGACCGCCTTGCTCCTTCCACGGCCCCCAGAATTAGTCGTAAAGCAGCTGGTAACCCGAGTATCGGGTCAATTCATTTATGCGGCCTCAGTCATTCAGGATGTCGATGTGCGACACCAGCTTCCATCCACTCGACTTGACACAACCACGGCGAACTCGGCTCCCTCTGACCCAAATCCTTCACCGTTCATTGAGCTAAATCTACTTGACCGCCATATCCTCTCTGCAGTCCCTGATAGCCCATCTACATTCAGACACACTCCGCTAATCCCCCTCAAGGATTCGGATTGGCCCGAATCCATTTTCCTTGGGAGATCTGAGGACCAGTAGGAAAGTAGCCCCCAGGATGACCGAAATGGCGCTTCTATGTGGCAATAGACATCTTGGACCTGGTGACCCTTGCGTGGCGTAAAAAGATACGAAGACAAGCAGCTGCTCCGATTGGAATGCTTAGGACTCGGAAGTTAAGGCTATCGATGTAGCGGACATTTTCTCGAGTTGCGATGACATATGAGCGAATCTTCCCTGGGACGTATAAAATGAGCATCATCAGCCAATAGTGCCATAGTGCAGTCTTCACCTACCCTCTAAGAGCCTCTCCTTGTCGATTTTTGAAAGGCAGCTTCGGTTGGTTCCTCGTAATGTCTAGATCAGCGAGGCTGGGGACACTGATAATTACTTTCAGCACACGTCGACACTATGAAATACACCGCCCTCGCTCTTATAACCCTGGCCTGCTTGAGCGTCCCGTCAAAGGCCCTTTGGTGCTGTTACTCCTAGGTCGATGCGTCTAGCGAGAACTGCTGCCGGCGTGTAACTGGAGGAAGCACCTTTTACTCCCCTTGAAGCGGCGTCGTGAATGGCCAGACGTGTGATATAGGGCCAGATCCATACAAACAAGAGGTGTACAGGAATTGTTGTTATAACCGCGAACATATCCTGAGCCAATGCTTTTAACCTATGAAGCCTTGAGGTAAATAAATATCATTTGTCTGTTCAATTGGTTCAACAGTACTGATGAATGCCGGAATTTCTTCCACATCGGATGTGTGTGTAGTCAATGACAATCGAGTGCTTGTAGAAATGAGTGCGATGTATATAACATACGTTCAGAGATGCGAAAGATGATGCCTCTGCAATCGATCAGTCAAGATGGCGATGCAAGCGCTTAATCACCCGCAACACCTACTGCCCATTGTCTTTGACTAGGGTTACAAACAATGGGGTCAGACACTTTCCAGAAACACCACAAGACTAACGCTGTCCAGTGGGAACGGGGTGAACCATCAGAAGAAACGCCCCAAGAGTATAATTATTCAAATACGGGATGCAAAAGGGCGAGAAGGGCGTTCGCACGACGACTGAGGCGCCGCTTCCCTGAGGTAGTCAAGCCCAGTTCGTAACGCAGATCAAATCATAGAAGAATTCTCGGACTCGCGTGTCTTTCACGGCTCTGCTAAAATAGCCTGAGGGACATGGGGTCCTCAACGACTGCTGGCCTTCTTGAATTCTGAATGATCAAGATAGTAGTTTAAATAAGCGTGGGTGGCCACCAGGGCAGCATCCACCCTTAAAGCTCATTCTCAAGAGATTCTTCCATTGATTTCTTTAAAAAATCTCGTTTGGTTCATTTCATCGCGCTTGCGATGCCGTCTGAAGAATGCTGCCGATCCTAGATTTTGAAGGGAGCCGTATCTCGCTACATAAATTCAACGCTTTTATTTTCATCTCGTTTATTGATTAAAAATACCAAGGAGAACCCCGAGGAAGCGGAGAGTATACATAATGATTCCGAACATTTTTGCCCAGATCATCCTTTAGGGTTTCTTTTGGGACTTGCGCCACCCACAATATAATTTCCTAATATATATACGTATTGTATTTCACGTAATGGTTCATTAACCCTACAAATTTACAACGCGCATCCGGGTTTCAAATGGTCTTGCAGTGGGTAATGATACAGAAAAAAATATAATACAGTAATACAACTTTTCGACGCTCAGCATGACGCAACTTCAAACCATTCTCACGGTGAACACCTCCCCAGCCGACTTCTGCACTGCCGTTATATTCCCTCCTTTTCCATCGTCCTCAAAATCACTTTGATACCCGCCAACCTTCTCTACATCCTTTTTCCTTGTGACAATCTGAAGGTCGACAGCCGAGTCCCTCTCGGCCTCAGTCTCCGTGATAGTGCCCTCGCGCTCCTTCGTCCCCATCCCGAGCTGGTTCCCAGACGCCATGCGCATCATTCCGGCACCGAAGCCTGATCGTGTCGATGGGGCCCCACATGCAGCGCTCTGTACTGACACGGAGTCTAGCGTGGAGGTGCGGTATACGCGGCAGACGGTGACGTTAGCCACGACGGCATAGAAGACCATCATCGTGAGACGGAACGGATCGGTGCGTGGGGAGGAGGCGGATGTGTGCGCAGAAGCGAAGAACCATATCGTTTGTACCAAGCTGGCTAGCAGGGCGGTGCTGTCATTTTGGAACAGTAAGGACAGTTCGGAGGCCAAGTGGCAAGTGAGGACGGCGAGAATGAACTCACAAGTAACAGCAATGCATGTCCGCAGTGATCTCTCTGGCAAGCTTCGGGATACGGCTCCTCTGGTCGATCGCCGCCCAGTAGCTTTCTTGAATCGTGGATTGCACGCCTTCCCTCCCCTTTTTCGCCTTGCTTGTGGCCTTCAGTGCTGCGAACAGAACCACGCTGGAGAGCAAGGCGTGGAATATTGTGGTGGTAATAAATGCTGCAGCGGTGTACTCATTTTCCACGGCCTCAGAACAATATGCAAAGAAGATATTGTCCTTAACGCCAGGTACGATCAGCATGCTGGCCCCGACTACGGTGGCCCATGACACGCCAAATGTTGTGAGGATGATTGGGTGGTTGGAGAATAGGGAGCTGAGATGTAGGTATGCGAGGAGGGTGGTGGTGCATGCAAGAATGATGTATGATGCGGTTAGGGCGGATTGGAGGGGGCCGCAGGTCGTCGTTGGGAGCGCTGGGAGAAAGGAGTGTTAATAAATTTGGATGGATTAAATTGAAGGATGACGAACTGATATATAACGACCGCCCCAAGGCATATGCGAGGGTGAACGATCTAGATGGATATCAAGATTAGCCAGTTCGACTCTACCGTTTCATATAGCTCGGGAATGCGTACCTCGACACGAAGAAGATCACCATCCGTATCTTCGATGTTCCGGAGACAATAAGCTGATAATCGCCCTTGAGGTTGTGGATCCCATCCCATATCATAACCTAGAGGACGTCTCCATACATTATCGCTTCTGTAGACGAAGATAAATGAAGAGTAGCTTACGCTCAGAGCTCCCACATGGACGTAGATTGAGAAGTTCACCCTGAGGCTATCGCCTGGATTGAGGCCAAATATCAAGGGCAGTAGCGCATTGAAGCTGAGGGACATCTTCAATCGAACTGCGAGAGGTCCAAGAGTCCGATAGCGTGAACGCGCAGGCCAATATAAGCAACGTTGCCCAGCGCCTTCGAGCTAGGTGTGATACCCCGTCCAAGTGATCAAGCTGGTGGGAGAAGGCAGAGGGTTCAGACTAGCTGGCAGTATCTTGACACAAACTTAAAGCCAATGAAACACCGCCAGGGGCACGTCAAGCGGGGTGCCGTACGAGTACAGCTTCCAATTGTCAGGAAACATAATGATGCCGGAAGAAGACACGGAAGGCCATAGAAGGGGACTGCGGTGGGTGCTATATCATCGAAGGGAACATGGATGGGGTGTCCGGCGAGGATGATGATCTCGGGCGGTGTCCAAGCCGTTGATCTTCTACACTCCAGGTCGTCATCGGTGGCGGATCAGCACACTTCTTTCATTTATGAGGACAGCAATAACCAATCCGCTCGCCTCCTTCTATGAGTGTTATTGCCCTAGAGTCTGAATCCTTTTCAGGTCGATGCCAGCAGGTAATATATAGATAAGACGAGATATAGGAATATTGCGCCCTGGTCACGATCACACTTATCTCTCGTTCCAGTTTTTACGGATATCAATCACCCCAACTGCGACGAATTCGCTTGTTGATGATCAAACCGATGCCTTTCCTTTGCTGTTCAGCGCCAGCGCTCAGCGCTCAGCCCTGAGCCTCATGGGATGAGGGTCCGACAGAACGAATCGACTAGAACGTGCTCCACGTTGACGGAAATAGCCGGCTCAGCCGTGGAGGTACCCTTCTATGTCCACTTCATGTCCGTAGGCTCGGAATGGAAGGGAAAACAATATGAGATGTGGTATAGCGGACAGAAGCGGTACGGATTAAAGGTACCAAATGAATGTTGTACGCCAGACGATGGCAATTACGCCGGAACAATGCGTCTACGGAATAAGCGCTCAACGAGCGCTTCCGAGAGCCGATCGGACTGATCAGGCGGTCAAGGCGGCCTTTATTCCCCTACATCAGGGTGTGTCCCATTGGAGCTCGCAACTCGAGGCAGTCCTGCGAGACCCTTCTAGTCCCTGGAAGCTTGTTTCTGGTCGCCCGGCGTTCACGATGTATCCCATGCGCCCTTTAGAACAGGCCTCTGCCTCGAGAAGAAGTCCACTGATATTAGTACCAAATCATTACTACCTATAATTGTTGTTCTTATTGTAAGAGAAGGTAATATCATAAAACGTAAAGAGAGATCTCGGGGAAGTTTTTTTATCCCCGTACGGCGATATTAGATCGTTGATAATGTGCTATCTTCGCCTATACACGTTCAATGACAGTGTCGGTTGAAACCTCCTTTTGCATCATCAGTGGATTCTCTCCCCTCTGCCTTCCGTCCTCGAGGTGGGTAGAATTATAATTCACCCTCCCCTCCGAGCTCACCCTCCCTTCCGAGCTTACCCTCTCCCTCCTGTCGATTGTCGTTCTCTCACGTCTGATGGAGAACCGTCTGTTAGAGAATGCTTGGAGTGCTGAATTGGAAAACGAGCGGATATCGTAGTTGTTGTTGCTGACGGTGCTTATCCGGAGAGTTTCGAGCCTCGGAGGCTCGCTGACAAGCCCGAGCTTCGTGTTCCTAAAGACGCGGCAAGTTAGGATGTTCGATAAGACGACGGTCGCTGGGGCCAGGTGCATGAGGACGAAGAGCTGTTGTTTGGCGCCGAATATGAGCCAACAGACGAGGGAGCCGTTCTTCCATAATGCAATGATTCTGTTAATTTAAGTGTAAGCAGTGTTTACGTTAATGACTTGTAATTTTACATCTGGGGAGAAGACTTACAGATAGTAGACTTGGCTTTGATGCAGCATCGCCTTGGAAAAGGCCGGCATTGACGCGCCAAAAAACGCGATCTTCAGTCCTTTTGGAATCGATGTCCCCTCCGCACTATACAGCTGATAAAACCGATACGACGTCGCGAAAAACACGAACACGTCGTAGACCATCACCGCGAGGCTCGTCGGCTTGAGCGACCTCGACCTCGAATAAAGGAGCTCAACACAGTATTTCGTGGGGAGGATATGCATGACCGAATCAGCGAAGATGAGCGGGACGAGGGCGGCCGTCGAGACGACGACGAGCCAGCAAAGCCCGAAGAAGACAACGATGCGGGTGTCGTTACAGTACACTGCGCAGACACGGACGTAGAAGAGGAGTGTGTCGAGGCAGAGACAGATGGTGAGGAAGGACATGTTGGCGAGCTCGAGTCTTCTACAATCGTCCACCTGGGTGGCTGCGGAGTCATGTGTAAGCTGGAGATCGCCACGAGAAGATAATATGCATTACTCAGTAGCAAGGCCCTTCCGACCGCGTACACTAAGCCAGCCACTCTGTTTTGCAAGAATATTTGGCAAACGGATCAGCAGAGAACGGCTTATCCTCACACCTGGATAAAAAGTACGCCACAGTGACGAAGCTGATGCGATGCTTCGTTAGGAGAACGTAATCTTTATGCAGATTATGCAAGACGTCCCAGACATACGCCACAGTGACGAAGCTGATGCGATGCTTCGTTAGGAGAACGTAATCTTTATGCAGATTATGCAAGACGTCCCAGACAAGAACCTGCAACAGCATGAGTGTTCTGTTGCAGAAAAGAGATTCTATACGCACTGCCAGGGATGCGATATGGAGATAAGTCCCGTTCGCAACTTGAATTGCAATGTCTGGTTGAAGGAAGTGCGGATTGCAATGTCTGGTTGAAGTGGATTGAGTACGGTGGGTACTGATACATGTTCGCCAGCGGATGCCATGAATGCCGTAAAGACGAAAAAAAGAACAAAAAAGAGCGAAATGAGGCGTCTACGGGCCATTGTTCTGAAGCCTTTATAGAAACATCGCTGCTCCCATTTCTGTCCAA